TCTTCGCTTCAATCCAGTCTCTACAGTACAAGGTGGTCAGCCGCTCTGTTGATGATGTCATTGCGTCGACATTGATGGCATTCGGCATGCTCAACGATGAGAAGCTTGCCAATGTTTTTCTTACCTTGCAGGCTGTCATGCGTCTTGTGCTTGAGCACCGTGGGGGTAACCATTTCAAACTCCCGCATCTGCACAAGGACGCGATGAGACGTGCTGGCACCCTGATGTTGAATGTCACCTGCCCTGTGTCGCTTCTCGTTGCGGCCAACATGCTCCAGCAGTAGTTGCTTTTTGAATAATAGCCAATAACATGCATTATTGGTATCATCAGCCAATCATAGAGAAATGGTGGCAGTAATATGAAAAAAGTGAATTTCGAAATGGTGTCAGTATTATGAAACAGAGGAAGTATATAATACGTAGTACTACTGTTGACAGTATTCGTTAAGAAAGTCCTCGTGCGTAATCCACCGGATGGCAACCATACCCAGTCCAAATCAGCATTGACCCCTCTTCATTCCCCATTTTCGGACTTACTCTGCACCTCAGTCCTTCCTGGTGGCCCCGGCTGCGTAGTGTACAAGGAGAAACTGCCCAACACCAGCTACTTGTTGCCATTATTGCACACTTCAATTTAACCAATCATCGATCGGAATTCATTTCATTGGCTAAAAACACGCAAACCCTGTCACCTTTCCATCTCATTCGTCAATTTCCCCACCGATAGACACATGAGTGACCTGTACGTGTATGTGGCGTCGGCGGTGGTGGTCGCCATCTCCGTGTACTTCTTCGCTCGCCCCGGAGTAAACGAAGCCGACAAAGCATTTGAGGCGAGGTACAAGGCCATGCAAGAAGAAAAGCGCCGTGCCGCCGCTGCCGGATCAACTGGCGTGAAGGCAACCACGTCGTTGACGGGGGGAAGCTCCGCGATTGTGGCCAAGAAGCCCGTTGTAAACGGACCTTTGGTGACCGTGTTCTACGGATCTCAAACAGGCACGGCGGAGAGTTTTGCCAAGACATTGGTGTCGTTGGGCAACGATCAAAAGTACTTTGCCGTGGACCTGGTCGACTTGGAAGAGTTCGAGCCGTCCTTGCTCAAGACCCTCGAGTACGTCATTTTTGTGGTTGCGACGTACGGCGAAGGCGACCCCACCGACAATGCGGTGGAATTTATGAAGTTTCTGAACGACACGGACGGCCACTTGGCCGACAATGAGTTTGACACGGTCAAGTTCACCGTGTTCGGGCTCGGCAACAAACAGTATGAGCAATACAACGCCATCGGCCGTGCAGTGGACGCGCAGCTGGCCAAGCATGGCGCGCAACGCGTGTTCCCTCTTGGAGAAGGGGACGATGACGGGTCGCTCGAAGAGGACTTTGATGCATGGAAGGAGAAGCTGTGGTCCACGCTGCGTCGGGCCGACGGGTACCTGGAAACGTCGGACGAGGAAGGAGATGTGAAGGCGTCCAAGACCAAGGCGCCTCATCTCGCGTTTGACGTGGTCCCCGTGGCGGCGGCGGCGGCATCGGCAACCGCCAAGCCCATTCCGGACGACCTCATTCAAAACTCGACCAAACACTTCTTCCACAACACGGAAGCAAAACTGGTCGAAACGCGCCAACTGCGTCAATCCACAGCGTCTGGATCGACGTTGCACTTGGAGTTTGACATCAAACACGCCGGCGTGACGTACGCGACGGCAGACAACCTGGCGATTTTGCCGGAAAACGACCCCGCCCTCGTCACCCGCGTCGCCACCGCCCTCCGCTTTGACGAAGACGGCGTCGTGGAGCTCAAAGCTCTGGACAAGGCGACCAAGCTGCCATTCCCCACCCCCGCGACCATCCGCACCATTCTGAGCCAGTACTTGGACCTGAACGCGGCGCCGCGCAAAGGAGCGCTGACGGCGCTGGCCCATTACGCGACGTCGTCCGTGGACCAAGACCGGCTGCTCCGGCTGGCGTCGGCGGACGGCAAGGCCGAGTACCAGACATGGGTCGTGGACGCGCACCGGACGTTTGGCGACGTGATCGAAGCATTTCCGTCGCTGCAGATCCCACTGGTGGCGTTTATCCACATCTTGCCGTCGCTGCAGCCGCGGTACTACACGATCTCGTCGTCGTCGGTCGTCCATCCCACCCGCATCCACGTGACGCTGGGAGTGATCGCGACGTCGGACCTACCAGAAGGCCGCCAGTTCAAAGGCGTGACGTCTAACTACTTGGCCAAGCTGGCGCTCCCCGACGCGGCAGTCCTAGACAAGCCAAAGGTGGCCAATCCGTACGGCGAGCAAGGCAAGAAACAAGTGCGAACGTGGCCCAGCATCCGCATGACCATCCGCAAGTCGACGTTCAAACTGCCGCCCTCTCCTGAAACCCCCGTGATCCTCGTCGGACCGGGCACGGGCATCGCCCCCATGCGCGCCTTTCTCCAAGAGCGTCACGCCCAAAAACAAGCCGGAGAAACTGTCGGGGCCACGTGGCTGTTCTTTGGCTGTCGCCGGCAATCCGAAGACTACTTGTACCAACAAGAGTTGGAAACGTACCAAGCAAGTGGCACGCTCTCCGACCTCCACGTGGCCTTCTCGCGCGACTCGGCGCAAAAGGTGTATGTGCAGCACTTGATTCGCCAACAAGGCGCGGCGTTGTGGAAGGTGCTGGCTGCGGGGGGGTACGTGTACGTGTGCGGCGCGACGCTCATGGGCACGGACGTGCACAAGGCATTTGTGGAGCTGGTCCAGACGCACGGAGCCAAGTCGGTGGTTGACGCCACGCGCTACGTCCAAGACTTGCAGCACAACCACCGATACATCCAGGAACTGTGGTCTGCGTAAACAGTAGTAGTAGTACATGGATGAAATAGAGATTTGCAATTACGTACTTGTAGTTTTGAGTTTGCATTGGTCACGATTGTGATGGTGGGGGGGGGGACATGTGATCATTCTGTCAGAGCATATCTGGACGAGTACAGTACTTACATGTGGACATGTCCACCAATGTACTGTAGCCGGCCAAGTCGACTTGAAACCATAATAGACATCACGTTACTGTTAGTTAATCCTAAATAAATTGCTGCGTATATTGGGAGAGTAAACCCTCACGGGCAAAGGAAGCTTAACTGTAGCTCGCATGTACAGTAGTTAGTACGTAGAATCGATGTGAAGTCATTGAACATGATATCGACAGCCCTTGGTTCCAAGATGTTACGAAATCACACCAAGAACTGTTTGCTTCAAAGCAGCTAATCAGCGCACGGTCAAGAGGGCGGGGCGGTACTGTCTGGACGACGGATTGCGCACCATGACCAGCCCGTGGGGTTTGTGCTGACTTATAAACACAAGTTGCAACGTGTTGCAGCTACAGAATCCGACGGCGCGCAGCGACCCCCGCACATGCGCGACGGAAGTGACGAAACCCATCACCGATCGCATCTACAGGTCCAATATCACGGAGACCCTTCCGCTTGTGAATATCGTCACGTACCTCGATCTCGTCGCTTCGTTTCTTGGCTTGCTTGGCCGTCAACTCCATCTCGCCCTGCCAGCGGTCGTCCCGCTCAAACTCGGCCACGTCGCGTTCTGTTGGAAAGCAAATCTGTTTTTGTGCGTGAATCCTCCATATAAATATATTATATATATATATACGAAATGCAGTATTCATACCATCGCATTGTCTTCTACAGTTCCCCGTCGAGGCAGGGCCACTTGCACACAGATCAACGTGGACATGGCCGTTGGAACCATCGCCAGGTCTAAATCAAACCATTTAGTCGTCAACTATACGCGAGCTATCTTGTACCTTGTTTCGCCGATGGGTTGTAGAACGGAAAAGGCTCCATAAACTCTGCACCGCGAAGGACACAAAAATCCGTCAAGTCGTTCGAGAAGAGCAGTCTCCAGTCCGGAGCGAACGGCGACGCCACTTGAAGTGCGTGGAAGGGCGTGCGCTTGGCTTTGGGTGTCGCAGTGTGTTTGGCTTCTTTCTCTCGTCGAACCGCCTCCCAAAACTCACGACCAGCGCCAGTGTCGGGGTAATCCCTTGGAAAGCTAGAACCAAAATATCAAAATAAAATTATTATTCCACGATATAAACAATGACAAGCCCCATAGGCTTTGACCATGTACATGCATTGAGAGGTACGTACTTGAGCAAGTGGTGGCGGGTGCGAAGGGCCTGTCGCTCGTCCATGCCAATCTACATGTTGTAATGAGCAAACCACTGTAAAAGCTGTGGAATACACTCTACATTTTTTAGTGCTCGTACGTACCGCCGACGCGCCTGCAAACACGAGCGCTTTGAGGACGGTGGGTGCCATATTGGCGTGCACTATGACATCCCATCCGAGGGCGTTCTGCACGGTGATGCTTGGGAAGGATGGCACGGCGGCGTCCGATGGATTGTTGTGGCGCCGTGGAGGTTGGTTGACGATGTGATCGTGGACAAACGGCGGCGGCATGGCGGTGGCATCCCACAGGATCGAGTCGGTCGCGTTGTTGGCGTCGGCTGGTTGGGGGGTTGGGACGGCCAACGGGTCCGGTGGAGTCGGCGACACGAGCTGGCTGTAGCCCGTGCCTTGCTCGGTGGCCCAGCGAAGCACAGACGCAAATCGGGCGTTCAAGGCGGCCACGGTCAGCTCGTCGGTCGGTGGGAGCTTGGCCTTGGTGACGGGGCACGCTGGGTCGGGCACAGACGCGGGTGGTGCGTCCACGAGGCTACTCATCCCAGTGTTCTTTCTAGCTTTAGGTTGCGTTCGGGGGTCGGTAAACTGCCAGCTCTGGATGCGGGATGTTTCAAGAGTTTGGTTGGTAGTCCAGCGCAGTCGATCGTGGCTTTGGAAGACGCGGGTCATCACGCGGGGGGCTTGGGGCCCTCGGAGCTCAAAGCGACACAAGTCAGCTCGCCGCTGCACGCAGACGTTGTGCCTAGAAGTCCGTTAGAGACATTTGAGATATGTGAGCGTTTACGAGTCGAGGCTGGCGAGGGTGGAGAGCAACGGCGGGACCATACTCGGATACGTCCAGAGCCACACGTGCAGAGAAGACGAATCTTCATCACGGCTACGTTTGCACATGACGCGGGCGGGACCGATGGCGTTCATAGGAAATGCATCCGCGTGATACAACATGGACGCTCCTTCGACATCGCCATGGAGCACGTCATCGGTCAAAGATTCGTCCAAAATGGAGTCCAGCGCTTCCAGAACGTCCTCCTTGGGACCATGGACGTCAATGACGGAGAGATACGACGTGTCGCAGACGGTCGACGGGGCGAGAAGAGCCGCGGCCGTCCCTCGATCCAAGCGATGCAGGGAAACCCATATGCCGTCCACCTTGCCCATCTTCATGCGCTTCGCATGCCATTGGTGCGTCGCCAAGCGATCCGACTTTTGACGAAGCATGGCGCGTCGGCGGTGTTTGCGGCATCTCTCCTCGACTCCAGTGGCCGACTGCTTGGCTCGAGGTTTGACTCGAAACCGCGCGGGGAACTTGTGAGACTTGTACGCATTGGCTCGACGGCGAAGATGAAAGTCTTTGCGACTCTTGCGTATTCTCGTGTTGGAGGACTGCTCATAACCGCTCGCAACGTGAATCTCATGCAGTTCCTGCACTCGCGCCGCGGCAAACGGTACGACCTCGATCACGTCCATGATCCAGCTCACTGGTTGATTGTCGAGACACGTTTGATTGGCCAAGCTGATCCAAAAGTACCATGCAATTGGACAACTTGTATTAATATTTGATTTGATATAATGTGACCAATCGGTAACGTGGCAGTTTCGAATTGCAACTGTTTGAGATAAACGTGGTCATGGTGCCGCCCATCCTCCCGACGCGGCCTTCGATGGAGAAGAGAACGTCGTCGCCATCTCTCAAATCTTTGCGCGATCAAAGTGGTGACTTCAAGCAAGGCACGCTTCCTCGACTCTCTTCTCCAAGAGTAGATGACAATGCAACCGACGGCCCCAGCGGCGATGAGGAAGCCCACCGCATACAGGGGTCTGAGCTGCAGCACTGCGAGAGCATCCTTAGCACAATCCAAAAAGAAACAACGAGCAATGGGAGTCGGTGGGGAATTCGATTGGACCTATATTGGATTCAACCTGCCTTTAGATACATCACGATGCTGGAGTTCAAAGAAACGAGTAACCCAGCGTTGGACAGCATGCATCACTTGTACGTTGCACGTTTGACACATTTGTATGTGACACAGTGTCGTTCTTGGCCATGCTGTAGTATGAAAAGTACGCGGAAGGAACTGGGTGACCTCGAACTGCTTTGTGCCAACGGCTGGGACAACGACGACATCGACGCCATTCTCGCCACAATCCCCCGCGACCAAGTGGCCACAGCCCAACATCTGTGGACTGATTCCCATTAAAAATTGATCTACTCTGGCAACATAATACTTCCCTTGCTGTTGAACTGGGGCCAGTTCGCCTTCGAACGGTCGAGCTCGTCCATGTCTTCAGTGCTCAGCGCACAAGAGTTGCTGACAGGAAACACTTGTGACAGCAGATTCATGTAACGCAATATGTACGCGGACTCGGACCACATCCTTCTCGTCGATGTCGCGGTACTGGTGGTCGTTAAAGCAATTCCACCGCTCGCTCAAGACGTGACGACGTGACCAGGACATGGCCAATGTGGTTGACACCGCGTGGAGATTATACACGGCGGCGGGAACTTCGTCGGGCGCCAGCTTCCCCCCGAGGAACTGCCAGTGATGGAGCCCTGCGTCGGGTTGTGCAACGGCAACTACAACTTGGCACTGACGCAATGCCACGTAATAATATACACATTTGTAGTGAGAAGCCAAAACAAAGATTTCGTGCTTCTGATTGGCTGTGTTTTGTACATTTTGCCAGATGAGAAAAAGTGAAAACCAATCTTATTGTGCACGACAATGCACCCCATCTTGCGAACGTTTCGACGGGAATTGCATGCGTTTCCCGAGCTTGGGTTCAAAGAAACCCAAACTCAGAGCCGCGTGAAGCAGTTCCTGATGGAGCATGCAAAGATCCCCGAGGGGAGCATCCGTCCTTGTGCCACCACAGGCCTTGTCGTGGACATCGAGTCGTCATCGTCCGTTCCCTCCACTTCTTCGAACAACGTAACCTGCATCGCGTTACGAGCTGATATGGACGGTCTCCCCATGACAGAGAACAATCCACATCTGCCGTACCGCTCGCAGAACGCCCAATGCGCCCACATGTGCGGCCACGACGGGCACATGGCCACGCTCGCCGGAGTTGCCATGGTGCTATATCCCCGTCGTCACCTCCTTCCCCAAGGCACTGTCGTTCGCCTTCTCTTCCAGCCGGCAGAAGAAGGGCCCGGTGGCGCCGTTCCCATGATCGAAGGAGGTTGCCTCGACGGCGTCGACGAAGTGTACGGGTACCACAACTATGGGTTTCCGGTCGGCAACGTTCACGTCCGGAGCGGCCCAGTGATGGCGCACGAGCAAGAATTCTCCATTTCCATCACTGGCAAGGGTGGTCATGGCTCTGCGCCGCATCTGTGCGTCGACCCCATCATCGTGGCCACCCAAATCGTGACAGCGCTCCAAACCATCGTCAGCCGGAGCCTGTCGCCGTACGCGAGCGCGGTGGTGTCTGTCACGACGCTCCACGCCGGCGAGACGTCCAACGTGATTCCGTCCACGGCGACTCTCGGTGGCACCATGCGCGACTTTGACCCGGCCGTCGCCGCCACCCTCCGCCGCCGCATGGAAACCATCGTCCACGACACATGTCACATGCATGGGGCGGAGGGGACCGTGACCCTCGTGGAGAGCTACCCGACGGTGATCAACACCCCGCTGCAGACCCAAGTGGTGCAGCAAGTGGCGGCGACCGTGCGCGCCGTCGTGTCGGAGGACGGACTGCCCATGATGGCGGCAGAGGATTTCGCCTACTACCTCGAACAGCGCCCCGGGTGCTTCTTCTTCCTCGGGACCAAACAAGCTCAAACCGAGCAAGGGCGGGACCTACATTCCGACTCGTACGACTTCAACGACGACGTGCTGCCGCTGGGTGTGCGCATGTTTGTGGGGCTGGTGGAGCATCGGTTTGCATGCAGCATCGTCGCGTCCGAGCCCGAGTGGACTGCGCTGTTTCGGTAGTAGTACTAGTTAGTATTAATACTTAGTTGGTAAGAATAGTACAGGTTGCCGTTGAAATCAAAAGCTCGTGGGCGCCATACGATAGATAGGCCTGTGCAAATTGCCTGTTAAAAGATAACACGTATGTCCACTGATAATCGATAACTAGTCTAAGTCTCAGTACCAATGCTAAAGTCAAGTGAACTTGCGAGCGTCCACACAGTTAGTACTAGTATTAATAGTGGTTACTACGTAGTACTACGTAGTACTACGTAGTACAATTGAACGACCCATCTATATTAGTAGTAGTAGTTTGTGGTTACAATTGGACTTAACTAACAACGCAGCGCGAGCTATCAGGTTCGTGGAGCAGCGCCGCCATCTCTTCGTCGCTCAGCACGGGCGACGTGCTATTGACAGGAAACACTTGGTGCACAGGCAGCGACTTCATGTCCCGCCGGATGTAAAACAAAATGTACGCAGACGGCGTGACCACATCCTTCTCGTCGATGTCTCGGCACTGGTGGTCGTTGAAGCACTTCCACCGCTTATCGCTTTCGCTCAAGACAGTGGCGACGTAGTGGCCGCCGCCCAGCACGCCAATATGGTTGACCACGGCGTAGAGATCGTACACGGCGGCGGGAACTTGGTCGGGCGCCAGCTTCCCCCCGAGGAACTGCCAGTTCTGGAGCCCTGAATCTGGACTTGATCGCACCAAGAACTCGGTCAAGTCGAGCCCTTTGAGAGGGAACTGCACCAAGTGCCGCAGCTTCTTGCGACTCGTAGCTGTGTATTGAAAGCGCTTGAGTTGAATCACAAGCAGCGGAGGCACCCGCCATAGATCCATCTTCTTGGCCGCGGGCGTCAGCGCTTTGCACCGACTGCAGTACGCCTACCAAAGCAATCATAGTATATGAGGGGTGTAACGAACGGTCGAGAGAGAAAGGGGAGGCTCTCACTTCGTCCAGGGGTTCACTCGCTGTAAAGTCCTTCAAGCATGACTGGAGACTTAACACTGCTGCTTGGACTTTGGCTTGCTTTTCAAACGACGCGTGCACCTGCAGGAATACAACATGATCAACTAACTCCATATATTGTGAGGGATTTGCTCACCTGCACCTTGCTGGCTTCGGTGGCGTCGTAGTCCTCCGCCATCGTTTGAATGTCCCAGTCAATGGCGATGGTTTCCCGCCCGCACACTTGGAGCAGCGCGTCCGGATGGCTGCTGACCAAGCACCCGCGGCAGCCACTCAGCCACGGACACCGCGAGCACGCCATGCCATCCATTGTCACCAACCGTAGGCAAAACCCAAACCTTGTGAGCTCTACCCAGACTGTTTAGCATATATATATATATCATTTCGGAAGCGCAGCACCCAAATGCGTGCCCAGTGCCACGGTGGCCACGTCGCTGGCCCTGCTGGCGGACGGAGGGAGGTGGCTGATCTGAGCCGGATCGGGCGGTGCCGACCAGTGAAAGATGCGCCGCAGCCGGCGCCAGATATACGTGTACAGCTGGTACCCCGTCGTGCGTTGTGGCACGACCGCTACGACCAGCGGCGTCCCAAACAGCCGCAGGACGTTCGGATCGGTAAAAAACACTGTCGCATTTTCCAGGCGCCGGTGGACCACGTTCAAAAACACGTGGCTGCCTCCATAGTGCACGAGGCGGGTGCGCGAGTACCTAACCCAGTCACACATGACGTCGTCACATATTACAGCATGTCATTAGGTACTACTACCCAAAGTCGACGCGCCCGGTCCAAAACGCAATGTCGTACGTGCCGTTGGCGTTGCACGCAGTGATGCGGGCGTGGGTCGGCACAGGGCTGCGGTCGTTCTGGACGCCCACCGCATCACCGACATGCAGCCGCGTGTCGAGCGAGACTTCGGGAGCGTCGTACAGTTCGACTTCGAGTTCGTATGCCACCACCTGCTCCTGCTCCTTGATCAGGCTCAGCTTGAACTGGTCCGGGTACACGGACTGAATCGTATGCTCTTGGCTGTTGATACACGCCACCATGAGCGGCGTCGACTCGGCGAAGCCCACCTGCCGGGCGACCGCGCGCTTGATATCCGCCACGACGCCATCCCGCCGCAGCTCGAGCGAGCATCGCATGGGTTCGCGGCCGCAGTGGAACACCACCGTGAGCACGAGCACAAACGTGTCGGTTTCGCGCAGTGGCAACTACAACACATTCGGGGGGATGCCACGTCATACTAGACGCCGCTCATGCATGGAGAATCACAACTACACTGGCTTACCTGCAAAAACGTGAACGGCTCAAACGACGCCGACTGGTACTGGCACGTGTGGCAGCTCAAGAGCGACTTGTATTGACCCATAAACAGCGCGACCACAATCGACACCTCTCGCCGCAGGTAGTTCTGCCACCACTGGTCCGCCACGACCGAGTCCCTCTGTCCGGCGCTGTCCGGCTGCTCCATCGGCGCCGGAACGTCCTTGACGCGGTTCAAGTCTTCGCTAAGGCCGCTGAGTAAGCACGCCAGCAGCTCCTGTGAGTCGTGCTGGTCATAATTGTCAAAGTGTTGGTTGAATTTGGCCACGGCGTTGCGGAATTGCACTGGCGCTACGCTCTTCTTGTTGGTGCTCCACAGCACATTCACCAAGTTGCCAAATGCCACGGCCAGTTTGCCCTACCAAGCAAAACGTACGTACACAAGAGGTTAGTTGATTGAAAGGGATTAACTAGTACTCGGCCTCGTTTCGTATATCTAGTAATAGTACGGTACGTACTTGGGTGCCGAGTTTATTGGTAAGATTGAGGTCGTATCTGAAGTGGCCACTGCGAAAGTAGTCGCACAGAAGCCTTGAATGACTGAGGCATTGGATGGCGCTGCTCATGTAGCACGTATTGCCGAGATTGTCAAGCCCCACCAGTCCGTACGAACAAGACGAGGGCGCCGCCGCTGCTTTCACGCGATCTCCTGACGCTTTCCCGCCTTGATCAGTCTATACAATCCCTTTAGAAACCCATCTTATAACAACAGATACTGCCAAATGCACCTGGGACAATGGCCACGACCCGTCGGCATCTTGAATCTCGACAATTAAGATCGAGTCCTGGGTCAATTGGTCGTACGGAAGGGCGTCGTTTGGCAACACCAACACCTTCAAATAGTGTCATATAAACAGGCACATTTAGTGTGAGTTGCTTGCTTACCTTGGACACACAAGTCGTGCACCACAGCCGCGTGTGATGGTCTCGAACGATGAGCACATGGCAGCAGTCTTGCAGCACAGCACCCGCCCGACTGCCCCGCCCCACCACCACCTCCTCCCCCGACACCGTCACATCCCCGCGGACGTCTGTGCGGCCCACACGCAGCACCAGCGGGTACAGTTCCAACTCCATCGACGACGCCAAGTACGTCCGACCAAACGACGGCCCCCCGCCGTACCAGTGCCCGAGGGTGGTATACACTGGTTCGGGCAGCAGCTACGCATACATATATATGTATTGGATGGAGGACATCAGTCGAGATGATGGAATGTATATGTTTACGTGAAAGTGCTGACCCACGACCATGTCGAGCTTGAGGCGCCGGCTGCCGTGGCGGTACTGCAGACTCCAATTCTTCATTGGCCCAGGTCGCTTGGTCTCGTCTACACCCACAGGCAGATGGAGCCCCGACTGCTGGACAGTGTCCAACGCTAGCGTCGGAAAAGCCAAGTTGCCGCCTTGGCTGCCGTTCAGGGGATGGAATGAGGTGTACCCACACCAGTTGTACCACCACGTCGAATCGACCAAGTACCACACCTACCCCCATATATCATTTATTCAGACAAAATGATATATATGTCTGTGATGGCGTACATGCGACACGTGCGGCTGGTCATATTCTGTCCATCGGGCGTCGATGATTCGGCTCTCAATGGTTGGATCTTGCGGTCGTAAACAGCAGTCGAACTGACAGCAAGCCGCCACCGCCATTCGATCTGCAAATTGGTCGAGGGACGACAACTGCAGCCCACCAAATTGATCTTCGTTCAAGTCGGTAAACACCGTCTCGTCTACTGTTGATGCTGCCTAGTACATGAAATAATATATATCAATGGTGAAAGCAATATACATATATATATAGTACCTCTGACGAGGCCGCCACTGCCGTTGCCAACAGCGCCGCCTTGGCTTGCGGAATCTTTCCATCCACCTGAACCACTTGAAACAAGAACGAGCGCTGGGCATGTCCTCTGCAGAAATTCGACAGCAACGCGCAAAACGAGGCAAAGTCGATCTTGTCCCCAAGCCACGGCGCCAGGAGGTCGCAGAACGGCCGAGACACGTGGGGTTCCAGCACCTGCAGCAAAAAATCGGCCGTTCGAAGCGTCAGCCGACCCCTCAGAGCCCGCTGGAACCACTTCTCCAGGCCACAAATCTCTTCCAGCGTCAGCAGCGTGCTCCGTTGGATGCGCTCGCGCACCCGGACGACGTTGTACCGGTCCTGGAGATCGCGGATCGCCGGATGGGGCTTTCGACCGACGTGGCGCGCGAGGGTTTCGAGCCATGTGAACAAGAACGCAGGAGATTTCTCGCGAAAGGCCGACGAGAAGTCGGCGTAGCTTAGCGTCGGCACCTAGGCAAGGTGGTTAGACATCATCAGAGATATGAGAAGGGTCAGGAGGTGTTGAACCTTGCCGGGCTTGTCAAACAGGGCTTGCAATGCCTCGTCCATGGAGGGGATGCCGCGCACGCCGTAGATGACGTTGGCGAAGCGATCAAGAATGTCGCGCTGCAGCTGTCCCGACTCGCTCAGGTCGTACACGTCAAACAGGAATTTGCACTGGTTTTCCACCAACAGCGCCTTGTTCCCGTGCACGTGCTGCGTCAGGTCCAATCCGGACAACAGCTCGCTCCACTGCAACAGCCCAGACCTTTCCGTGTTGAGTACGTCGAAGAGACGTTCCCCTAATGTCTTGGGCAAGCGTGGAAACGCATGCAACACCATGATGCGAAATGTGTCCTTCTCCATGCCGTGCTGCTGCTGCTGCGGGGCATTTCGACTGAGCGAAGTCACCCGCCTGAATCCTTCTCGCAGTTGTTCCAGCTCCTCCAGCCCTGTGTCGAGTACGGCTCCTTCGCCGCTCTGGTTAGCTCTAACATGGCGACCGCCGGCGTTGCCATGGACGGACTCTACGTTCCCCATGCAATCACCTGTCTGGTTGAGGTCGACAACGAGGCGATGAAGCTCGCAGCTTTGCTCGCGTTTGTTGGGAATCCAAATCGAGGGGATATCCGGATAATTTCATCGTCGTATACGGAAGTGCACTTTGCACTTTTCCACGCCCCAACTAACGTAAAAAACCTTTGGCGAAATGACTCCCTTTTACCCAAAATTTGGACTTTTGTGCTGAATCGCCAAATCTATCGATCGAATCTTTATACTGAAATTTGTATGTAAAAAGGTGTTTGGTATCACACTAATTGAAGTCACACACTAAATCGAAATTGCTGTTGATTTCCTGCAAATCTGATTGGCTAAACACTTCTTCTGATTCTTCTGTAACGTTACTGTAGATTTGGTTGTGTCGATGCATTCTCCATGTCGCTTCTCCAGAAAAACATATAAACAATATTTCTTCTGAGGAAACACATAAACAATATTTCTCCAGAGGAAATCGCAGCTCTCAGGAGTTCACAATTCAACACTTGACGGTTGTGACAGTTCAAACGGTTTCATTGTAACGCCAAAGCCAATCAAATCACAAGGATTCAATTCTGCAAAGAATCAGCCAATCCAATCACAGGGATTTGGTTCAGCCAATCCCGTCGCAGGGATTGGTTCAGCCAACAACCATTAATTCCGTGCATGCTGTTGCGCCGCCTGCCTCTCCTCGGTCGTCCTCTCTGCATCCATCGAACCATCATGACAACGCCAGCCGCCGCCGACTTTGAAGGCGAAATCATCAGCGAAGGCCGCGCCAAGATCCTGTTTCCCAAGGGCAACCAAGTGTTCTACAACAAGGTGCAAGTACTCAACCGCGACCTCTCCATCGCCGTGATCAACCAGTTTGCGCACGAACGGGCCAAGGAAACCATCCTTAAGCAGCGGAAGCGTGAAAAGAATGACGCGGTGCCCACGGTCGACGAAGTCCAAGCGCATGTCCGCGACAACGCCGACACGAACGGCCTCAAAATCTTCGAGGCGCTGGCGGCCAGCGGCCTTCGCTCCATTCGGTACTTGCAGGAAATCGAGGGCGTGCAATCGATCCTCGTCAACGACTTGGACCCTGCCGCCGTCATCTCTATCAAGCGCAACATCGAAGTACGTCTCTCCCCATCGGCACATATCATTCTCATGGGGCTTGTTCCTAGTACAACCAACTGAGCACGGACAAACTCATCCCGAACGAAGACGACGCAACGTCCGTCATGTACAGCCATCGCAAGGAAGCCGACAACTTTGACGTGATCGACCTGGATCCGTACGGGTCGGCGTCCATCTTCCTCGACGGCGCCGTCCAAGCGATTGCCAACGGCGGCCTTCTTTGCGTCACGTGCACCGACATGCCCGTGCTCTGTGGCAAGGACCCTGACGTACGTTTGTTCATTTCATATATATATATATATCAACTCAACACGATATATATAAATCTCGTCATGATTAGGTTTGCTTTTCGCGGTACGGAGTCGTGCCATACAAGTCCAACTACCTCCACGAAAACGCCCTCCGCATGGGTACTACTTACTAACGCACCACTAGTTAGTCGTACGTTTAGTTGATTATGACATCTTGTTAGTGCTGCACTCGATTGAATCCGCGGCGGTCAAGTATCAAAAGCACATTGTGCCCATCATTTCTTGCAGCATTGACTTTTACGTGCGCGTGTTCGTCCGTGTGTACAAGTCCCCTGTCAACGTCAAGGCGTCTATGACTAAACAGTCGTACGTGTACCAGGTACTTACTACTACTACCTACTACTCCATCATAAACCAAATATAACTATTGTGCTTTCGAGTGAAATTTTGTGTTGTGGTTTCTCGTTGGAATTTAAATCCTTTTGATTGGCTACTTCAGATGAGCTCAAAAGTATTAACCAATCAAAAACTTTCTCAATGAAATTCAACCAATCAGATCGATTGTGGATCGATTCGATTCGATTGCACCCCCTCCCCAAATTTGTACTATCAAATCGACAATAACGACTAACTCGTGTTTTCATGTGCACAGTGCACCGGGTGCGACAGCTTTCACTTGCAATCGCTTGGGAAATTCAACGGCAAAACGTACCACGCGTCGTTCGTGGTCTGTTACCTCTGTAGTGCATGCATGAATGCTTTTGACGATACACGGCTCGTAGGAACCGGATGTGGTGGGCAGTGGCAAGTGCGATCAGTGTGGCCGACGCTTCAAGATGTCTGGTACGACAGTCCCAAACGATGTCGCATATTCCAAGGAACGATAGGTCCGATCTGGTCGGCGCCCCTGCACAACAAGGACCTGGTGCTCAAGATCCGCGACAACGTGCTCAAGAATCCCACCAAGTACCCGACCAAGGACCGGCTCCACGGCCTGCTCACGTCCGTGTCGGAGGAGGTGCAGGAGGACGCGCCGCTGTACTACACGCTGCCGGGGCTGTCCAAGACGCTCCACTGCCAGCAGCCCCGCATGGACGTACGTACTAGTACTAGTCGTTGGACTAGTTTAGGGTTAGTAGGTAGTAATGGGGTGGCTGACCGTAGCAAGTGCAAGTGGCGCTCATCAACGCCGGGTACAACGTATCGCAGTCGCACAAAGTGCCCGAAGCCGTCAAGACGAACGCCCCCAACCACGTCGTGTGGGACATCATGCGCTCGTGGGTGAAGAAGCATCCGATCCATAAAAAGGCAAGTCTATATATATATATATATATGGTCAGTTTACGAATGAACGATCGATCGACGTAGCGAGTAAACGACAACCACGACGTGGGCGTCAACATTTTGGCCAAGGAGCCGGCATTTGAAGCGCAATTCTCGGTACAATATACACCCTTGGAATACTGTATTGCGTGGATGTGACGGTGGTGACTAGGGCAAGCGTCCATCGGCCGACAAGGAAAAGGCGCTGCGCTTCCCCAAGAACCCTGAAGCCCACTGGGGCCCCAAGAGTCGCGCACGGGGCTTGGCACCGAGTGAGCTGGCGAACGTTGTGGGTAGGTGGTTTTGTCAGATGGAATTGGTTTGAATACGCGGCTGTGTTGTAGAAGCTCACCAAGAACCCGAGGCCAAGAAGCCTAAAGTGGACGAGTAGATGATGGAGTTAGCAATATGCGACTAAAACAAGTATACAAACCTTCTACTTATTCCGGAATTTGGCTTACTCTCTACGAAGACCATTGGACGTTTTTTGCCAAAAATATGCTACAGAATATCTCAATTTTTTACCCTTTTCGGCGAAAATCATGAGGCAAAAAGCTGGTTGAAGGAGAGGCGTTTCAGTAATTATATCAAAAAGTATCGTAAACTATACTTACATTTCGTATTGAGATTTGGGTGTTACAATATAAATTTCAAACATATCCACTGCAGCTCCTTGGATATCTTTGACGATTCTGAATGGAGTCGCGCTCATTGAGCGGTCAAGGCGCCGGGCCGTCGACGAGCTATGGGACCGCTTCAGCAGATGGAACTGGACCTTCTTCATCGCCGACACTGCCAACGTCACGCTACGCTTCGAACGAACCATCCACTGCGATGGTCCCATCATCGCGTAGCTCGTTGCCTCCGATTTCAACGTCGGGTCCGTCGGCCTTTCCGAAGCCGTACTCGACTGCGTTACTAAATGCCGCCGACGTTCGTTCCCCATTGCTCAAGCGAACTTCGCCCCAAACCTATGGGAGTGTTCCGAGTAGTCCTGTGATACCATCTACTGCTGTGGCGAAGAACAAGGTGTGGAACGACAAGAAAGGCGAAAAGAGCGCGTGGGATTACATCCACATGGACGTGCGCCGACAAAGCCGCGATCGTCTCAGTCGGTATGGTTACGAAGCACGTGATAGTTCACACATCTCCACCGTGCTAGATTTCTCGACCAGAGCGACGTTGGCTCGATTGTGGACATCGTCGAGGCAGTGTCGGCGGTCGCGTTCGCGTGCATATACGTCACCTACACTTACCTTCCTGACGATGCGGTATCAATAATACTTCCCTGCTATTCGTCAACATGATGTGCCATCTCATCGTCGTAGCACCTCGTGTACTTGTGGCACGCGGAATTGCTCCTCGCGAGCTTCTTCTTGATCGACTTTGCATTCCGCGGCATCGCGTTGTCCACGGAACCTCTTGACGACATGTTGTCATTCACCGGTTTCGTGAACTTGGGCACGATCTTCCCCGTCTTGCCTGTGTCGTTCTTCATGGCAAACTAGTACCCGCCACACGAATGATCCATTTCCACCTCGTGATCGTTTCATATCATTGTAGCAACTTTTGGACGTCGGGCACGTTTTGGCGCTTCGTGTACCCCCTTCGGTTCCTCAAGGTGTACGTGGAAGTGCGTCGTGTGATCAACCGCTTCCACAACGACATGACGCCGCTCACGCTGTTCGCCGTGAACGCGTATTTGCAGATCTTTTGCCTGCTCTTTTGCTCGGGCGGGGTCATCCAGGTACATACATAATATATACATAAATATCTCTGTCAATATCGATATATAGTATTGTACTAAGTCGCCTGACATTAGATTGCCGAGACAACGTACGGAGACATGGACACGTACAATGGCGAGTGGACGTTTTTCCACTCGTGCTTCAACTCGCTGCTGTTGTTCGTGGCGATGAACTACCCCACGGCCGACAACACGCTGACCAAGTGCTTTGTCATGTTCTTGATCGTGCTGCTCATCATCGTCGTGCCGTACCAGCTCTCCATCTTCTTTGAAATCTACGGGTCGTACTCGTCCTACGAGTATGCCGTGCTCACGCCGTCCAAGCGCATGAAGCACATCGTCCTCTGCGGCGACCTCACGCCCAACCGCATCGAACAGTTCTTCAACGAAATCTTCCATGAAGACCATGACCTTGTGGACACGCGCGTCGCCGTCATGTCAGACGAAGACCCGTCGTCTGATCTCGTACGATTCATTAGCATCATCAAGCTCTCATCCCGTTGCTTTTGATAGGTCGCCATGTTGCTGGATCCGTTCGTGGCGAAACGCACGACGTTTCTGAAAGGGTCGATTCTCCACGATTATGATGCCGCGCGCGCGTCGTGTGCGACGGCCAGCGCCATATTCGTCCTCACCCGCAAAGTTGGCCAGGAAGACGTCAACTTGTCCGACCATCGGACGTTCATGCGAGCCATGGCGGCGCATCGAGTGGCCAAAGACGTGCCCATCTACGCACAGCTGCACCTGTCGTCGAACAAGCATCTGTTCCATGACATTGAGCAGAACAACGTGCTGTGCTTTTCCGAAGTGATTCACTCGATCTTGGCGCAGAATTGCCTCTGCCCCGGCTTTTCCACGTTCATATACAACCTCACGACCACCGCGGGGTACCATCCTTCTCCCATCTCTAGCCACCATCTTGAGATGCCGCTGTTAGATGCGAAACTGAGTTGGACGATACGTGGGAATCTCGATACCTGCACGGCGCCAGCCACGAGCTGTATTCGGTCCAGCTTCCCCCGCCCCACGTAACAACCAACCCATATCCCATAATCACACGAGGACCCTTCATTGTTGTGAACCAACTACCGTAGGTGATTGAAGGCCTGACGTTCGCCGAAGTGTCTGCGTGGGTGTATTCGCGGTGCAACGGAGTGATTTTGTTTGCGATCCACGTGCTGTCGGCAGATGGCCATGGCACGATTGTACTCAACCCGGGCAGCACGTACTGGTGCCGCGGCAACGAAATCGGGTTTGTGATTGCCAAAGATCGCAAAACGGCCGACAACGTGACGTCGATGGCCAAGGAAACGACGCCGAAACAGCCGGGTGTGTCAAGCCACAGCATGCTCAAAGCCGACAGTCTGCACGACTTGGCTATAATCGCGGACGTGCCGAAAAAGAAAGGAACCAGCAGCGCCACCACCCCGGGTGGAGGTGGCCCCCAAGCGTTGAGGAAGAAGCGCAACTCGCGGATGTTGATGTGGTCGGCCAAGGAATCGAAACCCGCAGGCCAGATACACAAACGCACGTTGAAAGAGTGCGTCGTGTTCGACATGACCAAGCTCAAGCTGTCGTCGTCGCCCATCGTCGTGTGTCTCTTGGCGCCGACGTTTCCCGACCACATGGAGTACTTTGTCGTGCCGTTGCGCAGCCCCGTGATCAAGGAGCACCATCCGATCGTGTTTTTGACGCATAAACTGCCCACCCGCGAGTCGTACGAGCCGCTGTCGTGCTACTCGGACCTGTACTTTGTCGAAACCACCAAGATCTGCTTGGAATCCCTCAAGCGGGGCGGCGTCGAGATCGCGCGACGCATTGTGCTCATGTGCGGCGGCGGCGAGTTTGCCGAAACGAGCAGCGCCGAGTTGCTCGCCGACGCGGTACGTGCGCACGAGAAAGGTCTTGATGATATCGTCGTCATTTGAGTGTGCTTTGTGCCCCCTAGTCGTCGATTGCTACGCACAAAAGCATCACAAGCCTGCTGGGACCTGCCCGGGCGCCCAGCGTGATTACGGAACTGGTGAATCGGTACACAAAGCTATGTCCATGATTGTGAAAACTGATTGATTGTCGTGCGGCATGATGATGCGATCGATAATATATATAGGGCAAATGTGCATTTTATCTCACACAACATTGGGTCGACGCCGTGGTTCACGGCAGACGACGACCCGAACAGCGAGCTGTCACTCGTGGACGCCGGCAGCTTCTCCAGATCGCGCGCGTTTGCGTCGGGCTTGACGTACAGCACGTCGCTGTGCGATAGTCTCATGATCAACCAGTTCTTCAACCCCATGATCAAAAACATCGTCCGCGAGTTTGTCTTTTCGGCCCTTCGCGCGGTAGAGTCGTCGCCATCATCATCGTTGGCCCCTCGTTGACTCGTCATTGTTCGTAGCACACGGCTGTGTTTCCCAACGTGAGCTCGCCAGTCAAAGCCGGCGCCCCCGCCCGCATGGCCGTCCAGCGCAGCGCGTTGTTCACGTGTGAGATGCCCATGGACTTTGTGGGCAAGACCTTTGGCTACGTGTTCGACCACCTCCTCGCCTCGGACGCCATCCTGACGTTGGGAATCTACCGCTGTGTCGACCACACGGCGCTGGCGGAGGCATCGACGCCGTTGCCGCCCATGTCCCCCACGGGGATGGAAGAGGTTACCCCTCCCCCCGAGCCCTTTGAAGAAGGCGCGCTGACCCCCCTGATCAACCCCACCAGTCGCATTGAAATTCCTGAACAGCACCGACCGGTTCCGTACGGATTTGCGTACGTCAACCCCAAGCCCTATGACATCATGACTGGGAACGACCTTATCTACGTCCTGGCGCACAAGCAGCCATATTGGATTTCGTAAGCGAAATGTATTGAATATAGTGTTACAGACCACTTGTTTCTTTTGCCAAAAAACTACTCGAATTTGATTGGCTCACTGAACATCCAATCCGATCCAGCAATCGCGCATTGGGTCCGCCACCCTAAAAATCTCGGATGATGATGCAGACGTCGGTGCGTGGGTTTGTTGCGCCGCTGGCGTCGTTCTTAGCTTGTCCTTAGGTGTCTTTGGAAGTGGTCGGGACTGGCTCCGACGGCACAGAGTCCTCCGTCGTGTTTAGCATTAAAAAGCACGGCGTCTACAGTGACGACGTGACGGTGGTCAGGCGGTAAAGTGCTTCGCCTGATTCATGCATCATGTGATGGCGTGGATTAGGTACATTGTAAACTGCGGCGAAGGCACGCAGCGCCTGTGCAACGAAAACGGCTTGAAACTTGGCTCGTTGACGTCCATGTTTCTCACTCGACTGGATCCACTGGTAATCCCTCGACTCCACTTCTCGTGACCAGCATCTTTAGACGTGCAGTGGCATTCCAGGCATGATCTTGGCGCTGGGTGGGTGCGGCACGCCAGAGCTGAGCGTCGTGGGCCCGCGTGGCACCCATGCATTTGTTAGCTCCACCAAGAGCTTTGCCCGTCGCAACTACCCCGTGATCACGTGCTCGGAAGTGGAGAGTGATGGTCGCACTGGCCAAAGCCCGTCACCTCCGCCCTCCCACATTAGCCACACAAGCGCTGCATCGTATGATCCTGTTGTCGACGACCGCTACGTGCGCATCACACCGGTGTCGGTAAGACGAACCCAGGGGCTGCCACGTCATGGGACTCCATCATCAACCTGTCGCCATTGCAAGCAGCAGCGAGTCGAGCCACCCGCGAAAAAGAGCGAGCCAGTCGTGGTGTCGCGACCAGCGCTGGCGCACGACCAGCCGATGCTCCAGTGGCTCCAATCGTACTATCAAGACAAAGATCCGTCCAAAGTGCCGTATATTCAAGTGATTCTCAACAAGTACCAAGGCCGCCACGACGACCTCAAGCACATGCTGGTGGCCAAGTACGGTCCCTTGGCAGCCCCAGACGAAGCCAATGATGACGAACCAGAGACCGTTCAGACTAGTCCTCGGAAAGATGAACGCACCAGCTCGAACAGCGACGACACTGTCGTCGTTTCGGACGTTTCTACGAACACACGACAGGCAGAGCCCAATGACGACAGCCAAGATGTAGTGCTGGCGTCCACAGCATCATCCAGTGACGACGAAGATGACACCAACAGCATGGAGACGTGGCTGCGGACGTTCTATACCCGGCACAACCCAAGCATGCTGCCGCGACTGCACTCGGTCTTGCAAATGTATGCAGGCCGAGAAGACCAGCTCAAAGCCATGCTGGGTCAGAAATACGTGACCAGCACAAAAGTACGTACGTCCTCATGGTCACAACGGGACGCGCACTCAGTGACACAGTAGCGACCCCTCGAACAAAACACCCAGGACGATGGGACCAAAAAGTTCAAGGGGGCGTCTATCGACAGTGTCACAGACGTGTTCCTCACCCCTCCGTCGACGTCGCGACCGTCCCCCATTCAGTACGACCAAGTCATTTGCTATGTCCTCGAGTACGTCCACACATCTCTCCCTCTCGCCCGTGTCATGAGCGACAATCTTAGGTTCAAAACGTCGTCTGATTCCACTACGATCGCGTGGGTGGTCGATGTCCCTGATATGACGTGGCTGCCCCACGTCACGGCGCTCTTGACCAGTTGCCAAGACCATCATCCAGCTCTGGTCGTGCACTTGACTCCGTCGTCTGTGGCACTGCACCCCACGTACATCTACATATGTCTAGTGTTATCCTGACGCTCTTTGTAGTTATATGGCGTGGGTAAGCGCGCACTCGACAGCTGGCCATACGCGCCATTTGCTCTTTGACGGGCAATTGCTGGACGAATTCCGCGACGGAGCGTGTGCCTTCAACTTCGAAGCGTCCGCCCGCCTTCGCTTGCAGTTGCACGCCAAGTCGGCGGCGTTGTTCCCTCTCTCGTCGCCCTTCCAAGCCATCGCCACCGCGACTCCCACGTCGGCCGCCTCTCGACTCATGCTTCGATCTAGTGCCGGGACTACCTTCCACGTGGCACAGCCAGGGCTGACCTGCCAGCTCACTGCCATGAAATCCAACCAACAGATCGGTTTCCACTATCGGACGTGTACGTTGCGGCTGGCTACAGAAGTATCAGCACCAAGTTCAGTGGAGCCCGCCGGACCGCCTAGTCACGCCCCCAAGCTGGCGTTCCTCGGTACAGGCTGTGCCGCGCCTTCCAAGTTGCGCAACAGCAGCGCCATCTACTTGGACTACAGCCCCCCGTCGACCCATGGCATCTTGATCGACTGCGGCGAAGGTACGATCGATCGTTCATAATACAAGGCTGACATAGCTTCGTAGGTACGTTTGGCCAGCTGTGGCGGCAGTTTGGGCTGGCGACGTCGGCGCGACTACGCACGTTGCAGTGTATTTGGGTATCGCATAAACACGCAGACCACCACTGCGGGCTGCTTCGAGTGTTGCTGGAGCGACATCGCGCCTTCGTGCGCAACGCTCAGCCTGCCACGTCATTGGTAGTCATTGCCCCCGACGCCGTGTTGGCGTACGTGGCACGCTGGCGCGCCGCGTGGCTCCATGGCGTGCACATGGTCACGTGCGTGGACTTCAACCACCCCCAGCACCCCCTTCGAAGCATGGTGCTGGGACTCACGGGGTTCCAGAACCTGTGGAGTGTGCCGGTGCACCACTGCCACGACTCGTTCGGGCTTGTGCTGATCACCCACACCGGCATGAAGGTCGTGTACTCGGGGGACACGCGGCCGTGCGACCGCCTTGTCCACGAAGGGTTTCGACCCCATGTGTTGATCCACGAAGCTACGTTTGAAGACAGCATGTACGAAGATGCGGTCAAGAAGAACCATAGCACCGTCGGAGAAGCGTTGGAAGTTGGACACCGCATGCAAGCGCAGTTGGTGCTGCTCACCCACTTTAGCCAACGGTACCCGAAACTGCCCCCTCGTCAAGCAACAGCATCGGGAAGCCCGTGTGGGTTTGCATTCGACGGCATGCAAGTGACGCTGGACGCGCTTCCTCAACGCCAGCATGATCGGTACATGCCACCGCTTCCCATGGCACATGCACCGATGAGCACGGAAGCCACGTTGGCCATGTTCATGACTGCAATGCGGAAAGACGACGTCCTGACGACATCGTCGCCACCGCCGTCGCCATAACAACGAAGTTTCAATTACCGGTAGATTCTGGCAAGAAGATGTGGAAAACTTCCGCAATAAATAATACATACGTATACCAAGCATCGTTTCTGTCCCCACCTTTCAAGGGAAAATCCACGGAATCTCCACAAAAATATATGCGACGGCCTCGGTGCATAGATGATGCAGGGGTTGTGGGTACGTTTCGTGACAAAGACGTGGATTTGTCCCACGCTGATTGGCCGAATGCACAAACTGAATGCAATTCCACCAATCAAACACGATGAGGTGATCGTGACGCGACAACGTCGACGGATACTTTGACCTAATCTGCGATTGGATGTTTTTTAGCACAAAGTGACACGGGATTGGATGACGCCCATCCCCGCCCGAGTGACTGAAGATCGCCGCCTGCTTTGCTCATTCTTCCTTTTGCATCCTCGCACTCGAACAACTCTTCTCACCATGACCCAACAAGTCAACATCGGCATCAACGGCTTCGGACGCATCGGTCGCCTCGTCGCGCGCGCCGCCTTTGCCAACCCCAACACCACCGTCGTGGCCATCAACGATCCCTTCATGAGCTTGGACTACATGGTGTACCTGTTCAAGTACGACTCCACCCACGGCCGCTACCCCGGTACCGTGGTCGCTGAAAACGGCAACCTTGTCATCGACGGCCACGTCGTGCGCATCTTCACGGCCAAGAACCCCGCTGAAATCGGCTGGGGCACCGTCGGCGCCGACTACGTGTGCGAATCCACCGGTGTGTTCACCAGCACCGAAGCGTGCTTGTCCCATGTCCAAGGCGGTGCCAAGAAGGTCATCATCTCTGCGCCCCCCAAAGACAACACCCCCATGTACGTCGTGGGTGTGAACCACCACAAGTACGATGGCTCGGCCAACGTTGTCTCGAACGCGTCGTGCACCACCAACTGCTTGGCGCCCCTTGCCAAGGTCATCAACGACAAGTTCGGCATCGTGGAAGGGCTCATGACCACTGTCCATGCCACCACCGCCAACCAATTGACCGTTGACGGTCCTTCCCGCGGCGGCAAGGACTGGCGCGCGGGTCGCGGCGCTGGCCAAAACATCATCCCCGCCTCGACCGGTGCCGCCAAGGCCGTCGGCAAGGTGTTGCCTGAATTGAACGGCAAGCTGACCGGCATGGCGTTCCGCGTGCCCGTCGCCGACGTGTCCGTCGTGGACTTGACCGTCCGCCTCCAAAACGGCGCGTCGTTGGCCGAGATCAAGGCCGCTTTGAAGCACGCGTCTGAAAACGAACTGGCCGGCATCCTCGGGTACACTGAGGACGACGTCGTGTCCCAAGACTTCATCACGGACAAGCGCTCGAGCATCTTTGACGCGAACGCGTCCATCGCGCTCAACGACAACTTTGTCAAGCTCGTGTCGTGGTATGACAATGAATGGGGCTACTCGAACCGCTTGGTCGACTTGATCTTGCACATGGCCTCGGTCGACAACTAAATTTTTAATCAAAGCGAATGTGTTTGCCTCCTTCTCTCTCTCTCTTGGAGTTGTAGTAACAGTCTACATTGGCTGGCTTGCCTGCTGTGGACTTACTTGTCTGATGTAGATGTAGTGATGCTATTGCATCCCTGAGAGACACACTTCGACCAACCTGCAGGCTATGTTAACAGTTGCTGCAATGTGTACTCTTAGACATTTCACGAATGGTTGGAGGTGTCTTGGCGTTGGGAAGGAGGAGGTGAAGTGTACTAGTATACTATGTGATGTTAGAAATGACTACCTGTATGTACCACATACATGGCAGTGCCAATAGGCATTGATGGCGATGTTTATCTACTTTCCACCCGCTTTAGCGCGCAATCCAGAAATGAACCCGTCCTCTACAAGCATCGTGTGTGTGAAGAATGGACGTGTTGACGCATCTGGTCACGTACTCTCCTTGAGGCCTTCGACTGGCGCGGCTTTGGCGCGAGCTTTCGCGTAGCTCTCTGGGTTAAAGCCAAGGAGGTCCAAGTTCTCCTGTTGCATGAGGCCCCTAACATACGCACGTCACAATCAAGTCGTTTACTCTGGCAATGTACTTGTCCATGCGGCACTGCAGGTACTCTTGCGACAAATGCTTGCAGTCAATGTGGCTGTTCTTCGCCCCCTTCAGACAGGCCAAGAACGTCTAAGTCATGGAGCAGCATGAGCCTGGCAACAACATACGATTATCACCTTACCTTCATCTGGTCTTTGCACTCCCCATAGTGATCCAGAGGGAACGAACCCTTCTCCGGTGGCTTCGCTTGAGACGCCCCGCCACCAAACGCGTTCATCACTTTGTGTGAGCTCGAATTCGGCGTATCCGAAAAACTTCCCAATTACGCACTCTGATTGGCTCCATGAATTGAATTATCCGGATTTGACCCAGATAGGCCACTCGATCTTGAGTAATCTTTGAGTGCGATGCGAGTGTTCGGCAATCCACATCACTTGGGGAGCAGCTCATCATGCACCTTCTCGGCGCACCATCCTCATCGTTATACCGCCAGTCGCTTGACCTCGGTGGAGAGCATCCATATTGACGGAAAGTTGGACGAGGACGCTTGGACATCAGCTCCGTGGACTGTCCCGTTCACCGACATCATCGGGCCGCGCCATTGGAGTCAGCCGTGGTTTAAGACCCAGGTCAAGATGCGCTACGACGACACATTCCTGTACGTTGGCGCGTACGTGGAAGACACGGACGTGTGGGCGACCCTCACAAAGCGCAACTCGGTCGTGTTCAATGACAACGACTTTGAGATCTTTGTCGACCCCGTTGGGACCACGCACAACTACAAGGAGTTCGAAGTCAACGCCATCAACACGACGTGGAATCTGCTGCTGAACAAGCCGTACCGCGATGGGGGCGGGGAAAACTCCACGCGAGTGGACCCAGTCCACGGCTTCGACATGGTGCCCCTCGGACTCCGCAGTGCCGTGTACGTCAAAGGCCGCGCAAACGACCCGAGTAAGCTGACGCGTCATCATGTTCCCAAGCTCAAAGCTATGGTGCTTAGACCAACATGTACATTTTTGGACGGTCGAAGTCGCTTTGCCGCTGGCGGCGTTGGCGTGGAAGACGACGGCAGTCGTGCCGCCGCGACCAGGGTCGTCCTGGCGCATCAACTTTTCCCGCGTCGAATGGTACGATGATACAATCACTTGGAATGATGCTGAGATGTGAAGGGTCGTGGAAGTGGTCAACGGGCGATACGAAAAGATGAAAGACCTCCCCGAGGAGAATTGGGTGTGGAGTCCCCAAGGTCAAGTCGCCATGCACATGCCAGAACGGTGGGGATACCTCCGCTTCGTCCAAGCAGACCACATCGAAGATGCAAATGAACGAGACGATCCTGAATTCCCCGCGAGGTACCAAGCGTTTGCCATCTACTACGCCCAAAAGGCCTACCGACTGAAGCACAAGCGATATGCCGACACCATCGCCGACCTCTTGCCGTGGATTGCCGACAAGCACGTCGTGTCCTGCCTGCATGTGACGTACATGAACGTGACTGCCGATGGATTCTTCGCTGGGGCGTCGGCGTTTGGATACACGGCGCACATCCGATACGACTCGTTCATTCATGTGTCGTCAACCAACGATGCGGATGAGGTAGCGTTAGTATAGGTGTGGAGGAGTAACGTACATGCAGCATTCGTGAGTGAGACAAACGTACCAGATCGCTCCGTGCATCCCGCATGCATGGGCCACTACAGGAAGACGACCTACAGGTCTGTGCCCATCACGCCTGTGAGTTCTGAAATGGGTTAATAACACACGTATTTTACGACAGTCAAAATAGAGGATAATTTAATCGTGGTATTTTTTGGGGTGCTCCAATTACCGTGAAATAGTGTAAGCCCATGAAATTAACTTCCTCCCATTTCCATCGCCAGCGCCGCCGCTTTTTCGTGTCCGTACTGTACCATGTCAGATGTCGAGAAGCCGAAATTCGAGAGCAGTTTGTTGGCATCCTTGCATAAGGGAGAGCACCCGCCTCCTCCGAGGACTGCCACCTCACGCAAACCTCCGCCAAAGAAACCGCCGTCTGAAGACAGACAACCTCACGCGCGTCCACCACAAGCTCATGTAAGCGACAGTGGGCACCACAGGAGCAAGACCAAGCAGAAATTTATGTACGTACAGAAGGCCTCGCCGACTACCGACGTCCCGCCGGCAACACCATCCCCTGCAGTAGCCGAGGCACCACCACTGCCCGGTCCAATCCAGGTGCCACAAGCGGCGCAGCTGCCGTTGCCTCCTCCGCCAGAAGTCAAGAAGCCATTCCAATCGTCCTTGATAGCTTCAGCTCAAAGCAGCAGTGGCCCATCCCAATCCAAATCGTCATCTTCGTCGACTCCTCATCAGTTTGCTGCAAAGCCATCTACTGCGACGCGGGCATTGCCGACGGCCTCCAAAGATGGCGCCGACTCCCGACCATTCCAGTCTTCGCTCCAGGCATCTATTGGCTCCAAGATGACGCCGGACGAAGCAGTCGAAGCGGCTCCGAAGAAGACTCTCCGACAATCCATCGAAGAAAAGAAGCTCGGCCACCCGAGTGATCGCTTCTTCACCCGATCGGTCTCATCCCGCGACGACAAGCAATGGCCTCATGGGTCCAGACGCCAGGAAGGCGACTCGGCCAGCTACCGCTTGGACGCGCCAAAGGGCAAACTCACGCGGCAGTCCAGCCACGACGCCCACAAGCAAGGCCCTCCGCAGCTCGCCCGCCAAGCGTCGTCCGAAAAGCGAGGTATATCCGTCCGCATTCCCTCGTTTTAACGATCTTTCCACTGCTATAGAAACACCCCCGTCCATTCTCTCCAGACTTGGCCCCGCCCCGGATGACCACCGCCACCCGCCGTCGATTCATGCTCGCATGGGTCCCCCCATCGAATCGGCCAAACGCGACGCCCCCCTCCCCCGCTCCACTTCCCCTGGCCTTCGACCTCAATCCTCCGACTTGGACCGACCTCCCCCTTTCTACGGACGCGACACCAAACAACCAGACCGAAGCAAGTCATCATCCAAGTCGCCTCTATGTGACAAGCCCCCGGCCAAAGGCGGGTCGTCGCAGCTGCTCACGTCCATGCCGTCACCACCTTGTCGTGGTGCCACGTCATCATTCGTCAAGCCCCCCGTGAAAGGCTCGTCGCTCGTGGCATCCATCTCCAACGTGGACGCGCTGCGCTTGCAATTGACGTCGTCGATAGCATTAAGCCACGCGCGCAGCAATTCCCCAGCCCACGCCCGCCAAGCGCTTGACAAAGTCCGCTACACTGCGACCCAATTGCGAGCGTACGAAACAACATGCTGGAGCACACCTCGTGTCTTGATTCACAGTATCCTGGTATGACTGAAATAGGCTCAACAAGTCCCCCAACGTCCCACGACCGTTCGATCTGGTGGATTTGACCAAGATCGTCGTGACGCCGGCATCCCCGCGAGCCAAGTCGTCCAAGTCGTCGGGTCGGTTTTGGTCTGCACGAGCGACGACCTCGTCCGTGGTGCGAATCCATGCTGGGCATGCCAGAGGAGGAGCGTCGCAGCAGCAAATGCGCGGCGGCAGAGGTTTGTAGAGCCAGGCGGGTGTGTACTGACGGTTGATGCTGTAGGGGGTCGTGGGGACAGACAACGGGGCAAGGGGGCGCGCCACCAGCCGCCGCCGCCGCCGCCACTGTCGGACGAGCCCATCGTGCCGTTCGTCAAGTCCGAGTCTCGATGGGTGCCGTCCAAGGAAGACAAGGTCAAGCAGCCCAAGGACGTGCAACACCAAGTCAAGACGCTTCTCAACAAACTCACCCGCGACCAGTTCGAAAAGATCACGGCGGACATCGCGGCCCTCCCGCTCAAGTCGTTGGACACGCTCAATATGCTCGTCGCCATGATCATGGATAAGGCCCTGGAAGAGCCCAATTTTGCCCAAGTGTACGCCGACCTGTGTGTGCGCCTGCATCAACACCTTGCCGCGCACCGCCCGCCCTTCCTCCACGCAGTGCACCACGTCGCCGACCAAGTAAATCGCCTCGACGATTCCTGGCCATTCATTTTGTATGGTGGATAGGTGTGGTACTGGACAGCGGCAAACCGAAGCACGTTCCCAGCGTTCCATGGCCCTGTGACGAGGTACTGAGCGAATAATGGACATGGGAATCTGCTAATACCCTGGCGCAGTCGCGACGAGTGTTTTGCGGGGGCGTTGGGTGTGCACTCAAAGGCGGACAAGGAGGTGCCGCCAGAAGAGGTGCAAGCGCCAGCGTATTACGTTCACAAGGGTCATTTGGTTGTGGTGGCGACCAAGGCCGGTCTTCCCAAAGAATTGTACTATGCTGGTAGGTCGTACAAGTATATATATCATATATCTCCAATCCATACCTTCACGAATCTGCATTCTGATGCGTTGTAGCTGTACAAGTGGACAAACTTTCCGAGAACGAGCCATTGATGGGCACATATCCCACTGGTACGTTGTCGCAGACACATGTCTTCTCTATGGATGTATTCCAATGCAATCCATTGGCAGAGGAATCGGCTATAAAGGCGGCCGCGACCTTCACAAGCTTCAAGCGGCTGCTCGTCACTCGATGCCAGCACAAGTTTGACAGCACCGAGCACAAACCCAAGCAAGCTGACGATGCCGACGACCCCGCTGCCGTCCGCGTACGTTGTCACATATTTTGGTCAAACAGTTGGCAATATAACGTCGAGCTGTAGGCGGCGCGACGCACCAAGACACTGATGCTCGGCAACATGCGGTTCCTAGGCGAGTTGTTTAAGGTGGAATTGATTGCGGTACGACTACAAACCATGGACATATATCATGGATATATCGAGGTAGTAAGTACTAGTCAATAATACCCCCTTATCTAGGAATCGGTGGTGCAACAGTGCATTTTCAAGTTGCTTGGGCTCGAGCTAGTCCATGTCGATGGCGGCGCGCAGGCGGCACAGACCATTCGGTACCGATATATATGCAATATATATATATTAAGGACTGTCATTGAACCATGTAGCATGCCGGACGAAGAGGACTTGGAAGCGCTGTGCAAGATGCTGGCGACAGTAGGCAAGAAATTCGACCACAAGGGCGTCAAGACCGCCATGACGATGATCCTGGTGCGCATGGTGGAGCTGTCGGACACGCCGTCGCTGCCGTCGCGCATTCGGTTCCTTCTCAAAGACGTGTTGGAGATGCGGGACCATCAGTGGGTGCCGCGTCGAAAGGTACAGTGACACACATGTATGTCACTGGGAATGTCACTAAAAATGAACAAACTGGAACGCCATAGGAATTGCAACAGAAGACGCTGCAGGAAGTCCGCAAGGAAGCGGAAAAGCTGCAAAGGCTGGGCAAAAACGCCCAGCACGACGATTTGCAGGGCAAGCGCCATCGCACGGCGCACTCGAGCTTGGACGTGGCCAAGCAAAACAGCATGTTGCTTCTGAGACAGACCACCATACCCGACCAGCCACCAGTGACGTTAGCAGTGGACCCGACCAACCGGATCAAGAGCATCCTGCAAGAGTATTTGGCCCTGCATGACATTGCCGAGACGCGGCAGTGCGTGGCCGAGCTCCCCCGGGACAGCCACTTGGCATTCGTTGAGCAAGCGCTGACGCTGGCGCTGGAAGGCAAGGAGAAGGATCGCGCGGCCGCGGTGGACATGCTCGTGGGGCTATACGAGACGCTGACCCTGGGCGCGACGGAAATCCAGAGCGGCTTGCTGGGCACGCTCGAGTTTCTAGACGATCTGCGCATCGACATCCCCATGGTGCACGAGTACTGCGGACTCATTCTCGGCCGAATGATTGGCGCCGGGTGCTTTGGCCTGAGCTGGCTGCAATTGGGGGTCCGCCACTTGGTACGGTTTCGATACTGATGAAAGATGGAGGTTACGCGATGGATAGGCGGAGAGCGGCCTGGCGGGACTGCTCGTGGCCGAAGTGCTGGGCGTGATGGACGACGACATGGGCGCGGACACTGTCGCGACGATGCTGGCGCGAGAGGAGCTCAATGTCGCCGGCTTCTTACCGCCGGACCAGCAATCACCCGACGCGGTCGCCGCCTTCCTCAAGGCGCATGACTTGACGGGCTACTTTTACGAAGACGACGACGAAGAAGAGGACGACGAGGAGGTCAAGGACGCGCTGCATGCGATGGTGCAGGAGTTCCTGGTCGTGCAAGACGTGGCCGAAGTGGACGCGTGTTTAGCCGACTTGCAGCCGCATCCATGGACAGTGTCGCTGGTGAAGACCGTCCTGAACGAGCTCTGCGAATGCAAACCAGCCCAGCGCCCCCTTCTCCTGACCCTTTGGCGCCATGTGCTTCCGCACGTCGACCCCGCGGACGTGGAGGTTGGGCTCTCGTGGTGGTTTGACCAGCTGGACGATGTCGTCGTCGATGTGCCCCAAGCCGCAGTGTACGTGGCGCCCGTCGTGGCGCAGGTGCTGCACGAGCGAGTGCTGACGTGGACGTGGCTGGCGACGGTAGTGGACGGAGCCAGGCCAGCCACGGTCGTTCAACTGGTCGAAGGGGTATGTTATGCGCTGGATGCATTGGACAGTCGAGACGCCACGCGACAAGGGATCTGTGACAGCGGTGTGTCGATGGACAAGTTTGCAAGTGGTGGTCGACTGGCGCCGTGGTTCACATGATGATGCTTATAGGAAAACACAGAATAGTTGTATGAACAAAGTTATTGAATTGAACACGACGAACAGCAGGTCGGGGTAGGCGTGCATCCAGGGACCTCCGTGTCCACAGCCACTTCCTCGCTGTAGATCCACTCGCTGTCTGGCGCACCCGTTGCCTTCGCCCCGACACGAATATGGTACGAACACGACGGATTCAGTTCGTCGAGCACGCCCGTGGACGACGTCACGGGAAGCACCGCGCTAGATCCCCAGTCTTCATGTGGCTGCTTGTACTGGAACTGATATTCGTATCCAGGTTGCACGATGGGAATCTCCATCACGAGCGTCACTTCCGTGCGACTCACACATCGCGGCGGCGGCGGCAACATCGTTCGAGCTAAGAATCGGCAAATGCAGGATTCTGTCGAATGCAATGTATTCGATTTCGCAGGTTATTGTATTATTACTAACTTCAAGTTTGATCCGTATTAGCGATACATGTACTTATTAATACTTGAAATGGTATTTATAATTCTTATTGCGAAATTTCCAGTGAACATCCAAATCGACTGTTCCAGAGTATCAATTGTCACAGTATCATGAGCGTGTTCGTGAACGTAGGCCAATGCGGCAACCAAGTCGGTGGCGCGTTGATGGCTCTGGCCAAGGACCCCAAAAGCAGAAATAAGCGCCAGGGAGGCAAGTCTCATTTGCGATGCATACTGGTGGACACGGAGCCAAAGGTGGTTCGATCTATTCGAGCACCCGACAGCATCGCGGCCATCCACATGGAACAGAGCGGCCGCGGCAACAATTGGGCGATGGGGTATGCCCGCTCCAAGAACGTGGCGTTGTGCGAACACGTGATGGAGTCTCTCCGTCGGGAGATCGAGGCCACGGACTGCTACCGCGGGGCAGTGCTGCTACATAGCTTGGCCGGCGGCACCGGGTCTGGCCTGGGGTCGCGCCTGCTCGAATCCATCCGCGACACGTACCCAAAAGCGTACATCGTGAGCGGGTGCATCGCCCCATCGCTTCGTGGAGACACTCCACTGCAGAACTACAACGCGCTGTTCACGCTGCGGCATCTACAAGAGTATGCCGACGCCGTGCTGTTCAAGGACAACGACGACCTGCTGCGGACCGTGTCGCATTGGACCGCCCTCTCCAATCGTAGCGGAACTGTGTCGCTTGGAGATATGAATGCGCTCGTGGCGGCCGACTGGGCCGGCCTGCTCTTCCCCACAGTCGCCCCCACGTCGAAGCTCCGACGAGAGTTTGACGTTGGAGGGTTCGTGACGAATGTGTGTCCCATGTCCCAGGCCAAGTTTGTGGACGTGCGATCTGCGTACTGTTCGACCAAGCTGACTTCGAAACCGCCGCATGCTTGCTTTGCGCAGCATTTGACGGCGGCGGTCCATCACGACCCCCTAGCTCTGACAAGGCAGGTCCTGGCGTCGTTTCCCAGAACCACCTACGCTTCGTTAGGTCAACTGGTGGTGGCCAGGGGGTTCAATGTCGTGCCCGTGCAGTCGCTGGTCGATGCCGTCAAGAAGGGCGTTCCGCGAGTGGAGTGGGGCATCCCCCCGCCCTTCGCCGTGAAATCCATCGCGAAAGCTGTCGACGGCACCATGTCGTCTGTGACAGTGTGTTCGAACGGGACAAATATCGTGCCCATCGTTGAGACGCTGTTGGAGCGAGCGGCCAGACAGTTTCACGCCCGGGCATATGTGCACTGGTACGCCAAGTACGGCGTCGACACTGACTTCTTTACAGAGTCGTTTATCCACACCCAAGCCATTGTGGACGAATACCATGCTTTGAACCAGCCCGATGAGTGAATGCTCTCTCCCCCACATCAAACACCAACACCACCAATATGTTTATGTCAACTGGTTGGTTGTTAGTTTCTATGTACGAGCCATTTCGTTACGGACAAGGCAGCAGCGTGCTCAAGACGGACACAAGCACGGGCCACGTGGCGTCATTGGCGCCGGTCGTGCGCAGTATCCGCGTGAGGGCGGCCAGCAGCGCCCCATTGCGCTTCCAGAAGAGCTCGGGGGCGGTCTGCACCATCTTGTGCACCAACATGAGCGTCGGGTGCTTGACGGCATCGCATCGGCCGTTCAGAATCACCAGCACCGTATCGAAGAACGCCTTTTCTTCGTCTGGACTGAAAGCCAGCGCTGCCATGATCAGCCGCCCCAAGTCGTCAGTCACTTGCCACATCGTTCCATCGATATCGTGTAGAAAGGCGGCGGCCACATGCGCTTGGTTCTGGACGTGCCAGAGGAACCCCAGCTCCTGCCGGGCACTCACGGTCGCCGACTCGATCCCCACCGACAAGAACGGAAGCAGCACCGCCGTGCATAGCACACAGTGCAGTTTCGAAGTCACGTTCGACCCCAAGACGGCGGTCACGATGGAGCGGACGAGGTCGGCGGTGGCGGGGGCGTCCACGTTGTGACACGCGGCCAAGAGAATGTCCACCGACACATCCGATGACGACGTGGCGGTGCCGGCTTTCGGTCCCGATGGCCGCGACGCGAGCAACATGTCTTGGACGATGGGCATGGGAAACGTCGACTTGGTCACAAATGCCTCGAGTAGGCGCAGCGCCGGTTGCTGGTACGCGTCGTGTGTGTGGCGCAGCAACGTCACAGTCTCCCACAGTAACTGCGGATACAATGCGAGCTTGGCGTCCGGCATGGTGCTCGTCATGTGCGCAAGTGTGACAAGGTACTCGGGCACAAACGCTGCCTCATTTGGATTCGACATGGCGGCGGCGAGCAGCTTGGTCATGTGCACGCAGACGGACCCGTCGAACGGCGGACGGACCAGCCGATACAGCAACAGCCCGAACCGCGCGTCAAAGTGGTGCGTCGTGAACGACTGTACGGCCATAGCGGCCCACTGCCGTCGCTGGGCATCTGTCAGCACCAGTCGGCAAAAACTCTCGACGAGCGTCTCGAACAAGTCTGCCGGCGACGACGACGGCTCCTGTCCTTCCATTTGGCTATCGGAAGGCGGGCTTACTATCGTGGCCAAGTACTCGTGCACGGCGTTTTGCATGGTGAGGTAGGTCACGGACGCGTCCTTGTGCAGCATGCCGTCGACGATCGCCAATCCGTCCGCTTCCACCCCGTCGAACACGTCGTCGTGCGCACTCGCGCGGTCGTGCAGCTCGGCAAACAACACGGAAAACACGCGGTGCGCCACCATGACCACCCGGCGGCCTTCGTCGTCGTCGTCGCTTTGGGTGACGGCGAGCCCCGACAGCAGCACCACCGCCACACACGACGTCCGGAACGTCTGGTCTTGCGCATCGGCATACGCCAAGATGGCCGAGACCAGTCGGTGGGAATCCATGGGCGACGCCGACATCCAGTTGACCACATGCTTGGCCACGACAAACTTCTCGTGGGTGGGCAGCGAGAACAAGAACGACACGATCGGTGGCACATGGCAGTAGTCCTTGGCGCGGGCCACATCGAGCCACAGCGCCGAAAGCGCCGGGAGGAGGTCGCCGTCGTGTTCCTGCACCGTGAGCCGGAACAGGAGCGTCATGCACTGCTTGTCGATCGCGTCCAGCTGCGTCACCCACGGCGAGCACTGCGCCATCACGTGGAACTGCAGCGCCGGGTTGGCCGCGCACTTGACCACGTACGAGAGCATCACGTGGAGGACGTCGACGCTGTGGGCCGCCCATCGCCGCGCGATTTGATTGGTCACGTGCTGCAGTTGCCTCGTCGTGGCTGGCTTGGCCGGAACGTGGTGCGGCTGGTAGGCATGGGGAACCCCCTCGCGATCCTGGCCCATGGTCACGAGGATGTGCATGGCGGCGGCGGCGGCGTCCGTCGTCGTCGTGGGGTGGAGATGCAGCAGCGCGACGAAAATCAGTTCGCACAAGCTGGGGCTGGCCATGAACTCGTCGCGCAAGTCAACGACCACGGACGCCACGACGTGTAGATAGTGCGTCGCCACGACACATGATGTCGCGTCCGTGTAAAAGCATCTGTCGACTGTTTGTGGGATGATGGCGCCGGGGTCGCTCTGCACGAGCAGCCGCAAGCCGGACACGACGATGGCTTGGAGGTCGTCGTCTGCACCGGCGGCGAACGCGCCGTCCATCCATGCAAACACGGGCGCCACGTCGGTGAAAACGGGACCTACCATCAGCATGGACATGGCCTGGTACGCCCGCTTGGCCAGTTGGAACTGCTGCCATGGGGTGCTCTCGTCCGGCGGGACGTACGGAAGAAGCATGGCGGCACGGACGTCGGCAGGCGCGGCGGTGCGCGGCTGGTCGGCGCACCATTGCCACATGGCCCCGAACCACATCTCACGCGTGGCGGTGGCCGTCACAACGTCCGCAGTGTCGTCGTCGAGCACGACCAAAAGGTTGTTTTGGTGTACGATGGACTCGACGATAGCGCAGAATTCGTGTTGGATCCACCACTGCCACCCGTTCGCCTGCGACAACGTTGGTGGTGGTGGCGGGGGGGGGGTGGTCAGCGCACCGTACAATTTGTCGACTACGTCGAGCACGAGTTGGCGGAACGGCACGTGGCTCCATAGCTGGATGCGATGATGGACCAGCGACCGAACACAGCGCGCCATCGCCCACTGGAGCACACAAGGCGGGTGCTTGGACGGAGCAGGGGCAAAGATGTCTTTGATGCTCGTGCCACGTGGTATACTTCCCACGGGGGGTTTCTTGGGGAACGCTACACCTTCCAAGGATGTCAAGTGCTCCAGTAGCTCGACGTGGGCCGCCGCGTGCGTCGCACTAAGCGCCAGCGTGGCGGAAATCCTCTGCTCCAGACTCAAGCTCGTGAGGAACGCGCAGAGGCGCTTGAGGAGCGTTCCCACGACATCCTCCGCCTTGGTGGCGGTGGCGCAGGTCAAGATGGCCAGGTTGCGCCATTGACTTGGCGTGCAAAAGTTGTCGTCGGTGTCGATTGGAAGGTCAGGCTCGATGGCGTACACGGTTGTCACTGCACGGGTCCACACATGGTCAATCAAGGTGGGGCAGATCTCGCACAGGCGGGGAAACAGCGTCGCAAGGCAGAGCGACCACAGCCACTCCGAGTTTGCACTAGTCGACTGGTCAGTCGACTTGGCCAGCCACTGGATGACACCGCCAGCCTCGAGCGCCATCTGCTTGTGGGCCAGTTGCAGTCCCAGCGTGTTTTGGAGGTCGCCGTCGATGCCCGTGAGGATGTCCATGGCGTTGATCTTGGTTGACCGCAACCGTCCTTGTCGAAGTAGGCGGACGGCGTCCAGCACCACCAGTGCCTGACGCCGGACTTGAACACTAGTATGGCAGAGCAAAAACAGACCCAGCGCCTCGACTGGCTCGACGTCGGTGTCGAGCGCGTCCCGGAGCGGAAGAGATGGGTCCAACAGGATGGACTCGACGACCTCCAGCAAGATGGGCAGTCGGTCCGCCTTGTCCACCGCCTGTACCATGAACGACACCAGCGCTTGAAGGACGGAGCTTTCGGGCAGCGTACGCGCGAGGTGCCGCAGCGTCGCCGCGGACGCCACCCGAATGGATTCGTCGTCGTGGATGGCACTCCGAGTGAGCAGGAGCAGCTTTTGGTCGGGATGCAACGTCATGTGTGCAAACAAGACCTGCGTCGAGTAAATGGAGGCTTCAAATGTCTGCAGGCCAATCCAGTGCTTGAACTCGTTCGACTTGCCGGGTCGAACAGGAGAGTCGAGGTGGCCACTGCAGTCAACCAAGATGTTGCTCACCACATCGCCCAAGGACGGCAGCGCGAGGACGAGCGCCGCTTTGTCCAATGCGATTGAAAAGACTGGGGGCGCAGCAGACATGACGACGAGGCCAGTGTGTTGAAGCAAGTGCGTCAACGACTGCAGCCCCACGAGGCGCCGCACTTCGTAGATCGAGTCCGAGTCGGCAATCAAGTGGTGGATGTGGTTGTCCACGGCGTACGGCATGTTGTACGCGGCAATGCTCAGCGAGAGGCGCGAGAGCACGGAAAAGATGACTCTCATCTTTTTGAGCTTGTGCTTGGAGTTGGTAAAGCACCACGCTTGGATGGCATTGACGATCTCCATCAAGTCGACCGATCGAGACGCCGCCGCCACGTGTCGCTTGACCAAATGCCGAAGCAGCAGCTCCACCAAGTGCAAGAACGGAATCGACGCATTGTGCTGGCCGTACGCCTGGAGCAGCGCCAGGGCGTCGGCCTTCCACCACGCGGCAAACAAGGCGGCGTCGGACAGCATAAGCACTGCCACACGCACGTGCCATGCCACGACCGCGAACCGCTTCTTCTGGCTCTGCTTGTGCCCGATCGCGTGCAAGTCGGCCACGAGCGACGTCCATTCCGCGGTGGTGCCGTCGGCGTCGTGGTACGCCCGCAGCCCCGCCGTGGACAACCCTGTGAGTTCGCGCGTTAAGATGGCCGCGAGAACCTGCAGTGCCACCAGCCGGACGCTGGGTTTGTGCACCTTGTGGGTGCAGGACGTAAGCACCCGGAGGAACGACGTGGACGCCTGTGCTGCCGCGTCGAATGTCGCGCCCGGGCGAATCAGACAAAGCCGAAGCATGGAAAAGTTGTTCAAGTAGCTCTCCTTTGTGACTGTGGACGCGGCCAGGCTGTCCAAGTCCATGAGAAAGTGCTGCTTGATGGGGCGAATCGCGCATGTGCCCATGAGCCCAATGTTGTCCTTCCACAGCATGTGCACCGCTTGTTGGAGTAAAAAGTCGTTTGAGGGCTTGGATGGAGCTGTGTGGAATCCAAAAAATGACCTATCTGCACCCACGCAACTCTCGACGTGGTTCCACCCTGAGAGAACCTTGAAGGCGGCGGCCACGAGCGTGTCCCACACGGCATCGCATGTCTCGTGAACCGGATGACGCAGTACTGTTCGTAGCACATGCCCGGTGAGCCACAGCCCCACGTGACCGAAGAGAGAACCATCCAGTCGAACTGACTGCCACTGGAGAAGAGTGTCGATTGCGACGGCGAAGTTTCGCGATGCCATCACGGACCACATTGTGCCAATACGCTCGACTTCGGAGCGACACACGTCGTCCATGTGCTCCTCTCCCATCTTGGACAGCACGGTCGACGCATGCGTCGCCATAAACTCGTCCAGCTCCCGCTTCAAGATCCCCACCAGCTCGTCCATCGCGCAATGAATATTTGCCACACGATCTTATTGAAACGCATGTTCCGGATATTATCCGGTTGCAACGGTTGCAGCAAGATCGCGGAAACTTCCATGTCGAAACCAGAACAAGTGGAATCAAAGAACAAGGGTATGCATAAGCGCGCTTAATCGCCGCCCGTGAGCTTCTGGGTCGCGATGGGGTGGTTCACTTGTCCCTTGACTTCGTCCCACTGCACATTCAACGTGCGATCGTAGAACTGGTCCAGGTCGGACGCGCGGTCGCTCAAGTCCGTGCGACCGGCCTCCTTCTGCTGGTCGTTGAGGACGCCATGGCACACGTTGCAGACGCGCTGGGGCTTGTGATTGGGGGCGCCGCCATGTTGTTTGAGGCGGTTGTCAAATCCCTTGGGGAACTTGTACGCCGCCACTTTGCCCGTGGCACAGTCGGCGCAACAAAGGCGGCCGCAGTAGCGGCAGTGGTGGCGGCGATTGCCCAGCGAGAAGTTTTTGGCGCACAGCATGCATGCAGGACGAGACTTGTCGTCGATCCACACGGGCGAATGGGTCACTTTGTGCAGCAGTTTCTTGAGCATGGGCTTGTCGACCTTGTCGAACACCATCTTGTTGGTTTCGTCCAACGTATCGAGGCGGGCTCCATGACGGACAAGACGCAGCGCGATCTCATGAAGACCCTTGTCCAACGCCACGTGGAGAAGCGTGGACTGGTCCACGGCAGCATTCGGGTCGGCGTTGTGCCGAAGGAGCATCTCGCAAAGCATCGGATCGTCCTTGTTGGTCGTGATGATGTGGACCCCTAGCGGCGTTTGATTGCGAATGTTAAAAAAGGTCGTGTCGGCGCCATTTTCCAACAGAAGCTTCGTGATGCGCCGAGATTTCGCCGACGCTAGATGGAGCGGCGTGTTCCGGCGATTGTCTGGCACGTTGATGATGGACGACACGATGTGCGGAGAACAGAGAGCTTTGAGGACACTCATGTGCCCGCCACGGACGGCGAAGTGCATCGCGCTCTGACCAAACGTCGGGTCGCGACGAAGCACGTCCGTGCCCGGTTGCACAAGCAGCGCATTCACTTCGACAACGTCGCCCGCGCGCGCCGCGATGATGAGCGGCGACAATCCTTCCGTGTCAAAGTCATATCGCGGTGCATTCATTGTTGCACGCACGTCATGGAAACTGGGGTCCATGTGTTGCAGCGTTTCAGTGGGGCGGACCATGAGACTGTCTCGTCCATTGGGGCGTACGCGAGATGTCGCGTTGGCGAGGTCGCTCAAGGACAAGTTTGTTAACGACCCGCGAGTAGCACTGATGTTGGTGGTCTGCCCGGCACCCTTGCCCTTGGGACTGGACACAAAGTCTTCCTCGTAGTGCTGCGTTGACGTGAAGCTCGTGTTGTTGGTGGGGGTGCCTGTGTCAGTGAGACTGTCCACTGTGGCACTACGGTGCGTCTTGTGGGGAATGTGGTAGCTAGCAGCGGACGATGAAGCATCCGACCGCGCCGACACTTCGCGGGTCTCATCGTCAATGCCCATGATGACCGAAATGTTGTAATGGCCGCGCACTGGTAGTGTAGCGGTCGTGAGAAACGGTCGCACGAGGCAATTTTGAACATCGATTTCTATTGACTTGAATAACGTATGCACACAACTCTAAATTTATTTTATTTATGGGCTTGTACCATGCGATCGTTGTGCCAGTGGTCGTGGGGAGAGTTGTTTTTACCCCTACATACATTAAGCAAGTGATTATTTTTAGACAACAGAGTCTAATTTTGGAAATTCGAAACGTGTGTCGTCGTTGGCCGTTAGATTTCACGGGTTGTAACGCGGATCGCCATGTTAACATGAGCGACGGCGATGGCACTCATGATGCGTAGTGCCTGTCTGTCTTGGTTGCCGAGGAGGTGTCACTTGACGTATAAAACATGTGATCACCCGTGTCTTTCTGTGCGTGTGACCTGGCTACTGTATCCTACTCGGAACTTTTTGTTCGCGTTGTCCATGCATGGAGATGTACGAGACACATTCAGTCGAAATCGTGAGGAAGAAGAGAGGGGGATGGATATGCATCATGGGCTTTTACGCATCAAGATGTATTCGGTAACGTTATAGAGAGAGAGAGAGATCTGCAAGCCTCTGGATGATCATTGTATGGTCACAACAGGAGCGCCTTTCTCGGGACCTGCACTCGGTCATCTGACAACTGTGAAACGTTGTGTATTGCCTGTCAAAATGCATGCATTAAATAGCACAGGGTATTAATGCTTGCAGGTATTATCGCATATAAGGTTTGAATTGACATTTGACATCAAATTTGAGGTTCATGGTGGACGAAGGTGTCGTCGAGTTGGAGGAGCGCGTGGCAGCATTGGATACGCGCCTGCGGGGCCTGGAGAGCGTGGCGCGTGTCGTGCAAGACATCAGGAGTCGCCGAGTGTACAGCGCCAGGCTGCATCGGGCACCCCACGACTACTACGACTGGACCCTGGCAGATCGTGCGTACGTCTCGACCTGTTCTTCGGGCACGAGTCTTGCCCTCCTCATGCCTCCATCTATCGTTCGTAGGAAGTTCCTCCAATGTAACGTGGCTCAGTTGTGCAAGAGCATCATCATGGAGAACGTCGCGTGGAAGAGCGACATGCCGCATGTCCCTAGGTACTATATCCTCCTCTCAACACTACGATGCCACCCACCACCATCTATCTACCTTGCTCCATGGTTTAGATTTGTGTGTGTGATTGTGCAATACAAAGCCAAGATCAACTCGGACAAAGTCGCCAAGTTGATTCGTGATGCCAGTACCTCCGTAAAGATCTCTCGGAAGCAGGTCAACTTCCAACACGCGCCGCCCGACACGTCCGCGCTCTTGACCGGGTTCGAATTCAACGGCGTGTCCCCGTTCGGCATGTCCACCGCTCTCCCGGTTCGACTCACCCGTTTCTGCATGTGCACATGACACTCATGCACGACAACCAGGTCATTGTATCCGCCCCGGTGCTGGAGCTGCCGTACATTTGGCTCGGCGGCGGCGCCCACGACGTCAAGCTCAAGGTCTCCGTGACCCAATGCGTCCAATCCCTCTCTGCGATCGCGGGGGACGTGTCCGAGTCACGACAACATGCTCTGACCACTCCGTTGCAAAACTAGCACTAATCTACTGATGACAGTATATTGTAATATCTTTTCATTACTTTGGACAGGTTAGTATTATCGATTCCTACATGTCAAACATGTGCGTGAAGGGCCCGTCGGACTCGAACTGCAATGCCTGTGTGCGCATATGATGAGAGAACAGTGTCACAGAAAGCTAACAACTGGAGCACTGCGACTGACTGTACTACCTGACGGTTGCCAAACGTCCCATGCTGGATGACAAGGCGTCCTACGGTATGTATACACGTGATGAGTACAATATGATTAGGATTCAGCTGCTACTGCTGTATGTTGGTTGATCTTGTGCACTTTGAACCTGAAGATGGCAGCGACGCCAGGATGTCCGCCGACATGTCACGCAGTAATCGAATGAACTCGGTGTACACGACTTCGGCGCCGTCGTCCTTGGTCAATTGACCATGGTACCTGCACACATTGAAAGGATAGTTACGAGATGGATGGATGTATAAGATAACTTGGTTGCGTACTGAATATTCTTGCCTCGCTGCAACTTGGACGTCAGCGCAGCTTGCGGCACGACAAGTACATGCATCGGATCATGCTCCAGCGTTGCTACGGTGTTATCTCAATGCAAACAGTCGGTGTTTTGTGCTAGTTGTTACCTTCACAAATGGACTGGGACCTGGATGGAGCGGCCGCCACAGGCAGAAGTCTCATATTGAGCAACGTTTTCACTGTAAAACACAACCATATGACTACAATCCAACAAGTGGTACATACCGATCCTAGGCAGGTCCTCGACCGATGCTCCCTTCGCCCACGACACGTACAGGATCAACCTGAGTGTCGACACGTCAAGTGTTAGCTGGCATTGCTTGCTCCATGGAGAACGTCATGACTCACCCGCGTCCGATGTGAACGTACTCGTTGTCATTGTCCTACACCAACGCACAGTTCGTTCGCATACCGAGCAATGTACATGTCCTTACGATCAAGAGCTTCGCCGACTCACACCGCTGGGTCACGCATCGGAAGGACTTCTCCATGGCCAACACGTCAAATGGCTTGGCACGCTCAAAATAGTCAAATCTCACCTTCAAGCAACTATTTTGAGAATTACTGTACAACGAATGATATTATGTGTTTGTTTGGCTAGTGGTTTGTATATATAATTAAATCTCGTTATTGAATTGTGCGCTTGTCCTCTTTTTCCTTCGTCGCCATTTCCAAATCACATGATGGCTAACGACGAGATGGAACCTGTGATCCAGGCGAAGCGTCCGTCGGCCAACGCACCGGTTGAAGGAAGTGTGAGTCTTCCCATTCCTGCCGTAGACCCCAAAGTGGACGACGTGGTGGCGCCGCCGCTGTCACCGCCACCTGTTGTCCTCCCTCGACCGGTGCTGGATGCTGCATCGTTGTCGTACCGGTCGACCCGAAAGGAGTTGATCAGTGTGTTTGTTGCGTGCACACATCTGAACTTGCCGCAGTTGCCTCAGACGTTCTTCCAATCCATCTTCAAAGGCAAGAAGCCCGATACAAACCTTCCAGAGATTCGCGTGGAGGTGGACATCAAGCCCGTGGGGGGCGACGCCGCGAAAGCGTCGACAGTTTTCCATCACACAACCGAAGCGTTGCGCGTAAAGAACCCTTCATTCTCCGTGGGGCTCACGATTCCCGTGCCCGTCTCGAAAGCCAATTCCGACGAGTACCACCTGCATTTCCGCGTCGTGCAGACCGACGTCGGGTTGGAGAAGACGGTCGCGACGACCGAAATGATGTGCGGGCTTCTTCTCGAAAGCTTCAAGCAGGGCTCTCCCGTCGTGCACTTGCCGCTCTTGGCCTCTACGTCGCAGGAAGCCATCCTCAGCCTCACCTTGGCTAGGGTCTTCCCCATCAAGCACAACGTGCTCCCAACACAAAACATGCTCATGCACATGTACGCGTTCCCACAGCCCAAGCACAAGGACACGTCCACCCTCACCCTCGTCGAGCAGGCGCCATTGCTCGCGTCCGAAGAGCTCGTGGAGGTGGGGTACGCGACGTCGCTGCCGCCGCTGTTCCTCCAGCAATGCACGGACGAAATGATGGCCGCCCATCGCTTGTGGAGCGTCCGATACGCCAACGCGCGCAAGTCGGCGCTGCTGTTCGACTCCCCGGACGAAGCGCTCGCGAACGGGTGCGACGTGTACTCGGTCGAGGTGATCTCGGGCAAGGGGCTGGCTTTGCCCGCCGATTTGGTCCTGCAGCCTCCACCCCCGTCTGCCCCCGTGACCCCCACCAACCGGAGCCCGTCCGCCACCAACCGGAGCCCATCCGCCGCCAACCGGAGCCCGACTGCCAACAGCGGCGGGACGCGCAGTCGGACGTCGTCGAACGCGTCGAAAGAGACGGGGAAGCAGCCGGTGGTCACTTGCAACCCATTCGTGGCGGTCAAGTTCAAGGAAGCATCAAAAGGCCAGCGGCCGGTCGAAGTGACCGAAGGGAGGACGCCCGTCGAAAAGAACACGGGCGATCCGCACTGGGGCGACAGCGTTGTCGGCGGTACGACTAATGAGAGTCTAAAATGACATGGTGAGATCTTGCCGTGGGTAGCCAAGACAGCGAAACCGATCGAGTTTTACCGACCGAACGAAGGCCAGCCAGCGCACTCTTTGCGCCGGACGTTGGAGTTTGACGTCCTCAGCGTGTGCGACGCGCACTACGAAGGCGAAATTGCCCTTGGAAAAGTTACTTTGCCCGTCGATGCAGTCATGTATGAAGGCAAATGTGCTGCGTGGGACATCAACCTCACTCGATGGTATTGTGCATTTCACCCCTATTTAGGCTTAATCATTTGATCCTATTTAATCTTGTACAAACTATACGATACAACGATTAATATATGTGTGGTTTTGCCCAATGCGGACGGGTCAAACGTTTGGATTGGCAGAATTTTTTTTTGACATAACGTGATTTGATTGGCTCAGGCGGTTCTTGAATCGATTCCCATAAGACATTCGATTCTCCAGTTTCGAATCGATTTGACAATAGTAGTTTGTATGACCCCCCTCCCTGTTCTCGTTGTAGGATCACACTATTTTTATTGCGTGTACTCATATATCACACTATTTGCATGTAGGCTCCCAGTGCTGTCGCCGTCGGGGGAAGAGCGGGGGGAGATTCTCATTCGCGTGCAGATGCGCCGCACCACGACCGTGTTTTCGCTGGATGTCGAGCCTTCGTACGCCCACGGCAGCTTGTTCCACTTGGCCGACCCGAAGCGCCAGTTGAAATTTCAAGCAGCGCTAGATGCCAAGAACCACACGCCGGCGTCGCTGTCGATTGCCGACATCAGAGACTTGGTCGCGAGTCATAGCGCCGCGGTGGACCAGCTGCGCGCGTGGCAGGCCCACGTCGAGGCGGCGTCGACCGACTGGTTCCGCTCCAGTGAACACAAAGCCAAAGCCGACGTCCAGCCGCTCACAACCAACTTGCACGTGTCGTACTTTCGACTGTACGCGGGCGTCGAGCCGGCGCGGGCCACGGTGCTCCAAGGCCGACCGCGAGACGTCGAGATCGACGTGCTGCCGGGGGAGGACCTGAGCGCGAGCACGCGCTACATGCTCGGACACGGCGGCGGCGGGTCGCGCTTTTCGCTGGAGGACCTCGTCGACCTCGACTCGCCGCTTCAGGTGGACGCGACGTACTCGACCGTCACGTGCGGCGCGCCGACCGCGCACGGCCTGGGTCTGAGCCAGTTTGGGCTGGTGGAGCTTGAGGACAAACTGCTGTCGGTAGAATCCCCCGTCGAAAGCTACCGATGTACGTACGCCCTGCGCAAGGCGGTGTGCATGAGCCAGGCGCTGTGTGTCCTTGCCGCGACCTTCACAAGTCAGCTGGAGCTGGTGCTCCAGAAGAGCGTACCCAACCACGAGTGGCTGCTAGAGCAGTGGGCCACCGTGGGCTACCTCATCGGATGGGAGAGCCTCGTGTCGACACAGGGCAAGGAGCTGCACATGCTCAGCGACGCATGGGTGGCCATCAAGTCCCTCGAGCGCGTCCAGATCCAACTCGTATCCCACGGCGAGCTCACGACGTTTGCGCCGTCGCCAGACTCGGACGAGAAGTACGTGCTGCAGCTGCCGCTCCCGTCGCCAGTGTTTGGGCTGCTACCCCAAGCGCTCCAAGACGGTCGACTCGTCGGCGTCACGTCGGTGCTGTTCACGCAAGGCATCAATGAAATGCAAACGCTGGCAAACGTGGTCGGGGCTGTGGGCATTGCACTTCAAGTGCGCATCAACGACAAGTGCTGCTTGGTGAGACATGTTTTGTCACTTTGCCCTTTTGGTTGGATATTATTGTCTGATATATATGTATGGTGTAGGCGTTGGGAGAGTACCACGAACGACTCATGGCTGTACCGTCGTTGCAAGGCATGACAGCGCAAATGAAACACTTGAAGCTGGACGCGCTAAGTGCGTTCATTGCCAACTCGAACGAATCGACCATGACCAAGAAGAACCACCGCATCCTCCTCGAAGCATCCGACGACATCCGCCGGTTGAATGGCGGCCGCGTGACGTTTTGCAAGTCCGGCAAGGACCGCACGGCCATGAGTGTGACGCTGGACCAGGCACGGGTCGTCGGTTCGCTCTGGAAGCATGCGCCCATGATGCTCCAAGACGCGTCGTCCAAGCAGGACTGGGCGCTGCTCAAGCCCGTGGCCAACCTCATGCGTGAATTTGGGGTGCGGATTGAAGTGGCCAAGAAGAATGTCGGCCAGCCGCGCTACTCGTTCAACGGCCTGCAGCGTAAACTGCTGCCGAAAATGTATCGCCCGCCGCGTGGTGCTATCATCAAGGGCGACCACGACGTTGACGATTCGTAGCATATAGTATCAAATTATTGTGCTCATTTTAAACCTATAGCATGTAAGTAAGGGTATTATTGACTTGAAATATATTGAAATGGTGAGATATTTGAAATGCGTTTTTGATTTCGACCAATCCCACCGCGCGGAAATTCGATTCGTTGTTGAATCTGCCCGACACCTTCATGCTCATCCGCCGACCCTTCTGCTTCGTGCGACGGCTCTCCAAGCTCGGCAACAGACCACCGCCACATGCATGGACAGCGCATTACTCCGTCCTCCTCGTAAAGCATCCGCTGGTCACGAAAACCCTCACAAGCGCTGCCTTGGCCGGAATCGGCGACGTCGTGTGCCAACTTGGCGTCGAGCACGCCGACACCATCGACTTCCGCCGACTAACTGTTTTCACGGCCATCGGTGGCATCTACATTGCCCCACTGTTGCACGTTTCCTATGGCATGCTCAACCGCATGTTCGCCGGGATCTCCGCCAAAGCCGTGCTGCAGCGCGTGGCCGTCGATCAGTTGGTCCTCACACCAGCATTCTTCGTGTCGTACTTTGCGCTCATGCAAACAGTATCTCCTACCGGTATTATATGTAGTATAGCCATCATGACGACTACTCGTGTTCGAATCTCACAACCATCAGATGTCTCCATCACCGACAAACTCCGACACGACTGGTGGCCCACCGTTCAAGTCAACTGGATCGTGTGGGTACCCGCCCAGTTGATCAACTTTGGCTTTATCCGACCGTCGTACCAAGGTACTACAACTAGTATTACTACTAGTACACCCTCCATGCGTCCACTGACTATCCGTTCGTTCCTTAGTCCTGTTCTCGAACGTGGTGAGTCTCTTCTGGAACGCCTACATGTCATTTGTGAGCCATCCCCACGACGGCGACAACGACACTCTACCGCCATCCCATGGTTAATCCATTGAGTTTGTTATAATTGTTACGAATCTCGCGCTGTCACAGACGTAACAATGTCCTGGATGGTGCTCATGGGGGGTCGATAAATGTCGGGCAGCATCTTGCGCTGTATCGCATTGAACGAGTACTTGTACCGCCCGACGTTCTTGTTGGCAATCTCAATCCGGATGCCAAACTCGCGCATGATGTTCGCCGCGTGCAGCTCCTCGGCGCCGATGTTGAGCTGCTCCGTGGCGCCCAAGAGGTGCAGGGGGTTGACGCCACTCACGCGCTTGAAGAGCAGCCGCGCCTGCTCCAGGGTCACGCTCATGGCCGTCCGGTCCTTCCCCGACTTGCAATACGTCACGCGCCCCCCTCGCAGCCGACGAACCTACGTACCCCACCCCCTCTGTCATGCTCCTCCTCCTTTGACACGAGCCTACCACATCGGACGCTTCGAGGAGGATGCGGGTGTTCTTGGCAGCCGCGTTTTCAGACTGGACCACCGCCATGAGCGGGTCCAGCAGCAGGTGCGCCGCCGTCGAGTCCGACTCGACGTTGGACGTTTTGAGGTACTTGGTGTGGTACATTTGCAGGCTCTTGAAGCTGGCGTTGTTGATTGTCGACTGCAACTCCACGCCCGACGACCCGACCATATTGGCCAGGCTTTGCATCTCGTTGATGCCTTGCGTAAACACCACGGGGGTGACTGCAATCAGTCCCAGGTGCATATCTTGCTTGGTGGGGATTCGAATGATATACCTGTAGTACGTACATATATGTACAATAATCCCATGAAAAGTGTATGCATACATACCCCTCGTGGTCGACACTGCGTTCCTCCAATACAATCTCCGAGATGGTATGGTCCAGCTGGAACGAGAAGCGCTCGAGGCACTTGATGGCTACCCACGCGTCGCTCAGCATGCGCCACTCCTTGCCCTGGGATGAGATTAAGCTCTCCCAGCCAATCACAAACCCAATCTGGGACCACTGCGACAGCGTTGAGGGGTCATCCTCGTGCAGCTCGAGCATGGCCAGGAACGTCGTGACCAACGCTGTCACACTCTGCGACACGCACACGCTTTTGCGAAAGTAGTACTGGTACTTGGTCGATTCAAAGCGTTCGCGCAGTTGGCCAAGCGTCACGAGGTGGGTATCGCTCGACTGTCGACTGAGTTTGGGGAAGAACATGCCCTTCTTGTCCTTTTTGGCTGTGTGGGTCACCTTGCGGCCACCGCCGCCTGATTTGCTCTCCAGTGCAATGGCACTGTTGACGTCATCATCCTAACAACAACACCGATACAAGTAATCAAATATACTAAAGTTGCTAGTGTTATTAGGTACTGTACCTCGTCCGTCCCGTGGGTTGTGAGGCCAGAGTCGTCGTCGGTCACGGGCACGAGCAGCGGCCGCTCCACGAGCACGTTGCCGCCTTCGACCATCACGCGGCCGTGGTACAGGTTCTTCATGCCGTTAGCCATGAGCGAAATCTCCTTGTGCGTTTTCACTAGCTTGTCTTCGAGCTCCATCAGCCCTTCGTCCGGAATCGCATGCGCCGTGGGCGCGCCGCACGTCACTGTCGCATACGTGGCAATTGCAGGATTATTGTCATTCGTCTGGGGGAGCGTCACGTCCTACCTCGCCCAGTGAAAGTTCATTACCCCAAGAAACTCTTGTAAAGACAATGGTTGTTTACCAAACCTACACCCGTCAACTTCGCGTCTCCGTGTAGCCCCAGCAAGTCGGCTTGACTAGATCGTTTGTGCGGCGGCGGCTGGAGGCTCGGGCGGGGCGAGTTGCTGGGCGGCCAGTTGAACTTGCGAAGGTACGACACGTGCAAGTTGGTTGCCATCGCTTGAATCTACATCATCGCATGATGTATAACAAACACCTTGTCACATGTGTGTGTGTGTACATACATCGCGCTTCTTCTTGTCGGTGCTGCCCTTGAACCATGTCTTGGACGTGGCCCGCGCCTCCGCTTTACGAATCATCGCGTCCAGCTCCTTGACGTACCCCCCAAGCTCCTTGACATGCGCATGAAGAAACTGAATCGAATACGTATCGTCATCACTGGGCGTGTGCATCGTGTCCCGCAACGCCCGGTCCATCTATCAACATCATAAACCCTGTCACATATTGCCATGATATGTGTTGTACCGCTTGGGTGGCAAGGCGGAACAGGGGGGTTTCGTCCGCCTTGGCCGTCTTTTGAAAATGGGTTTCGCGCTCCGACTCGAACGTAAACGCAGCCGACGTCAGCCGCACCTCCATCTCACATTGCACTTCGCCCACAACGTCGCCATGCTTGGATTTGAGAGGAAACCAGTTGGCGCTTCGAAACGCCACCGCGTGAGCGACCACGGCGGCCGCGTCCGGCACAAACAGCGGCCGCAGCTCTTCCAGTGACAGCGTGACCGACCCCAATGCGACGGGGGGCTGGTGGCCATCCGTTTCGTTCTCGCTGCACACGTCGATCTGGATCGCACCCGATAACTCTTGGCGGCGGGACGGGCGGTACCACACAAACTGCGTGCGCTTCTCCACTTTAGTGTGGAGGTGGGTAGACACAAAGAAGTCGGTGGACGGCGCGCCGTGCGGACACTGGCTCATCTGCGCGTTGGTCGCCCACGTCGGGGCCGTGCATTCGTACTCGGTGTTGGTCTTGCCCACGACTTGCCACGGGGTGCTGTTGATGTTGGCGTGCGGCGCGGGAGTTTCATTGAAGAGCACGACTGCAAACGGGTGGACACCGACGCTTTCAAAGCCGCCGTCCATCGCCTTGCCGTCACCGGGTTTCTTGAACGATTTGGGACTGAGCAAGGGTTTGCTAGGTACCTTTCGCATGGATTTCATGGGCTGGAGGTGGCGCGCTTGGAGCACGGACACGCGGAACACGTCGCAGCCACTTTGCATGGCCTCGTCGGCGTCGGCAAAGTGCTTGAGCCGCTTCTTAGCGTTGTTGTACCGCACGCGCCACAGGTGGTACGCGCCTTCAAGCTCCCGCCGGCACTGCCGAAGGAACACGAGTGGCAACTGCACGCTTGTACCCACCTCCGCCATCTCCTCCGTCACCAGCGTCGGCAGCAGGCTCGGGTTCGCGTTTGGAAACGCATACCCTAGCACGACTTGGTTCTGGGTCGCCAGTAGTGGATGCCGCATCGGCGCCGTCCGAGCAAATCGGATGGTCAGCACGCCTGCGTCCGTATACGGGCAGTGCAGCGGAAGGTACACGACGGACGCGCCATGCTCGTAGTTCTGCGTCAGGTGCAACCACGCGAGCTCGGCGGTCGCGACTGGTTTTTTCCCCTGTGACCCGCTGTCTTCAGTCATGATGACTTGAAAACACACGACGGAGTCGGGGGGGATGAACGATGGATCGTTGGCAAAGTGAATCCCCACCGTGAATGCGGGGTTGCGACTGCGAAGCTTCTCGGTCGTGAGCGACTCTACGGCAACGAGCGGCGCGCGATGAGCGTTCTTCACGTCCACTTGGATCATGCACTCGGGGGGTTTTCTGTTCTTGGGGGTCGAAGCGCCGCCAAGCACGGACATGGCCCCGCGGAGCATGGTTTGCGCCGTGGTGTGGACCGACGGTAAGTGCAGGTCCGTGCACGAAAGGAAGCACGTGATGGACGAATTTCCCGCCTCCAGTGGTTGCGGCGGCGGTGGTGGTGTGATGGTTAATGCGTTTACATGGCGCGCGATCTCCACGGGACGGACGGGTGCTGGCGGCGCGCCAAAGAGGCTAAAGATATCGTCGTTCATGGCGTGCTTTGGATTGTCTCGATTTTCCATTGGAATTTCAATGACGCGAAACGGTCCATAAAGTCAGCCAATCAGATGCCGCCATCAAGAAACGGACAGCACATTATTAATCGACGGATTTATATATATATAAATATATATTTAGGCCGAGTTTGGATGCCACAGAAAATTATATGTCAATTAATATTCTGACAGAGAATTCCCTTTTCAAATGGGAGGTGAGAAAATATTTTCAAATTATTTTGATGTGACCTCTGGATACCATGATGGAAGGAGACCTATCGATAGCACAAAACAGTAAAAATTCGACGTATTCTGTAAGAAGTATTTTACAGTTTTATCCGGATTATTTACAGTTTTGACAACTCCACCGGGCAACTGTAAAATACAGGAAACTGTATAATTTTACTGTAAAATACAGTTTTGACGAATTAGCCAATAGCATGCTATCAATGGATAATTTTGTCCAATCATCGGTATCATGTAGTTGACGGAAAGCCAATAATCACTTTCCTTTGAGCAAATGGATCCTTCAACCGCGCTCGTGGCTCACACTTCACTAAACTCGTCGAGTGCATCGGCAGCCCAACCAAAGCACAACCTTCGCTGAGCAGTGACACAAGTTCTCAGGTGTGAATGACCGACTTCCATCAACCCGTTGCTTAGAACAGTCGTCATTCTCTACCGCATCGTCCATTGCGAGTCCATATACGTACAGTGTAACAAACCTTGACCAACTAAAGCGCAGGTGAGCTTTGCTCTCCACTCTGTGATTTGACTGTGAGACCGAAATAGGCAGTCCCTACATAGTCGAGCATCTTCAGCCTGACTATTACTATTGACTATAACGTTATAGGGTGGGAAGGTGGTCAAGGATCTCACACGTGAATTCCACGTCATCACCGTCGTCCACAGCATACTAATGCTTACGGGTTCATTTCCGGATATGATAGTTATGCGGATTTTTTACCGTTTTACTGCTGGGGTTGACGAAAATCAAAATACTGTACAGGAACTGTAAAGCGGTATTTTACAGTCATAAGCTTACAGTCTTTCTTACCTGGGGGGATGCCCTTATGTCACTTTATATATACGTCAGATATGATGTTTTTAAAAATTGTCATAATATTTCTCTAGAGTTGCAAAACGAGGTGTTTTCTGACATTTTTGAGGCAGCCAGAGTTACTGTTAATGAAATCAGGAGAATACTGTAAACTCATGGCGTGATGTGCGTGCATCCAGATTATTTCAAGAGCAGACGGTGTCGACCGCCAAGGCGCAAAAAACGGAGTGGGTAAATACACCGCCATTTAAGTTAAGCAAGCGACTGTGGCAAGAATGGACTGACCTCAAGACAGTATTTGGTTGCATGCTTCAATGCGATGTCCAAGGCGTGTCCGCCAAAGCTTCGCCGTTGTTCGATTGTAGTTTTCAATCGCATGTTTCGCGAACGCACGACCGACATAAGCTGTCGTACGAATTTTTAGCGTTTTTACACGTAGCACGATTCATGAACCGTTTGCGATGGGGATGGTAACCAACCACCTTAAAGGCGACCCTGGTCGCTGAACTTTACGGGGGATTGATTTCACTGTACGGTCGACATTCTTGTCTACACTAACGTTAGCGCAACGTTGCGAAAACTCCTTTTTCACAGTCAATGAACGTAGTAAAACGTGTTTTACATAGGTGTTTAGCGTACTGTATGTAGGTTGAAGAGGGGTGAAGTTGACGTACGACATGATATACAAGGATATGATGGATGAAGTTCTGACAGATTTCAGCCATGAGCAGCCGATAGGACGTAGGCTCGTAAACTCCATGCAAACAATCCCAATGCTCATATCGACTCTACGAATACATCATAAGCGCACAAGCACCATCGACTTGTGGCTGCTTAAAACCTCACTGTTCCTTCTCTTGCAATATCACTTATTATTGGATTTTCCCTTTTATGAGGACTTTTACCGTGGATATTATACTTGTTTAATGTATGTTCTGTTTCTGCGCTCGGACGAGCAACAATCAAATCTCATTTTTGTTTCTGCATTTCTGAAGACCATGGACGTCAAACCGTCACCGCCAACGACGGCGGCATCCTTGACGCTCTTCCTTACATGCTACAACGTGAACGTCGCACCCAAGCCGCAAAGTTTCTTCGAAGGAGCGATCGCGTCTATCCGGAGACAAACGGAGGTCGTGGAGTGCCAGATCCGCGTCGACCGGCTCCACCAAGACAAGCACGACACGTATTTCACAGAGACAGTCCAATCCCCGAATCCCGCGTTCGCGTTAGGGATCCAGTTGCCGCTCACCGACGGTCGAGCTTCACTTGACGCGAATGGCCGCGCGTCCCCCACCGCCGACGTTCTCAGCTTCACGTTGACCCGCACGCAGGACAATTTTACCGTCGGATCTGCCACCGTGTCCATGGACCGTCTCGTGACGACCCTAGCCACGACTGAGCACGTTCCATTTGAGCTGTTTGGCAAGGTGTCCAAGAAGAGTGGCGGCGATCCTGTCCTGCGCATCACGATCTCGTCCATCGTGCCCACGCCGCACCCCTTCGTTCGCACACAACATCCGATGTTGCAATCGTACATGTTTGCCCCGGCGTCATCGTCGTCCGACAGTCGGCGCAAGCTCGTGATGGAGGAGGTCATGGAGCCAGAGTACCACACGTCCATCCCGTTCCTCTTCCTTCGGTGCATGCACGCCGAGCTCACGCAAGCATCCGAGCTGTGGAACATCCGATGCCTCAACGAGCGCAAGAAGCAACTCATCTTTGACAGTCCCGAGGACGCCCTCGCTGCCGGCTGTGACGTCTTCGAAGTCACGGTGCGCGGCGCCAAGAACCTCAAGGCCGACAACGCCACCGGCTTCTCCGACTCTGCGCTCATGAACCCCTACGTGTGCGTCGAATTCGGCGAAACCACCGCGCGATGCTCGTCGTCCATTGACGAATCAAGCGAGTCGTCCCGGTGCAACACGGATGTCGTGTGTCTCGGCCGCACAATGACCGAAATCGGCACGAACGACCCCAACTTTTCCCGGCAGCGCGCGGCGACATTGACCGGTCGGTCCACATCATTGCCGCCGCCAAACATGCCGCGCTCGACATCCCAGGACCCATCTCCCCCTCCTCCTCTTTCTCCTTCATCATCTTCCGCATCCATGCAAGCCAAGTCGCCGTCTGCGGCGTCATCCCCTTGTTCCAAACCAGCGTCGTCGTTTACGTTTTTCCGCAAGTCGAACGGCCCAACCACGAGCTCGAAAGGCGCGTTTGTGTTTAAAGTGTTTCACGAAGTGCTGCACAAGAAGGACGCGGGTCAAGAGGACTTTGCCGTGGGGCAGTGCGTCGTGGGATGGAACATCTCAAAGCCCCAACGCGATGAGACCACCCAAACGACGTTCTTCCACTTTAGCATCGACCAGTGGGTGTCCATCTACCCGGCGATGGACCGCCGCAGCATGTACAACGACCGAGAAGACCTCGGCAAGCTCCACGTGCAGATCCGCATCCGGTGCTCGACCGTCAAATATGCCTTGGAGAGTGAGTCGGAGCTGCGACGGGTAGAAAAGTCGCCGTTGTATCGCCTGGCAGACCTGAATAAGGACCACAAGCTGCGCAAACTGATCATGGCGGCGACGAGGGCAAGCAGCAGCTCCAGTTCGGTTTCAGACTCGGGGCGGTTTCGTTGGGCTGCAGAAACCCCCCCCGCGATCGAAGACGTCAAGTGGCATGTGGACGCGCTCAAGTTGTACTTGCAGGACGTGGAAGACATGCTTGATTACGTCAACACTGCGCGGTCCCAGCGCACGACGTTCCGGCCGAGTGTGGCCAAGAAGGACAAGATGAGTCAACCGTTGGCGACCAATTTGCACTTGGGGTACTTTACCACGTACGACGTGAGCCGGGCGGTGGACCACGTGCACGTGACAGTGACGTGCGGGGCACCGACGCCCCACGGCCTCCCCGACAAGCGCGGGTTGCTCGACTTGGAAGACAGCATGATGACCAACTGCAACCTCGTGGGGGTCGGCTTCCAGACCAAGCAAGTGTACATGTACCGCAAGATTCTGTGCGTGTCGCAAAGCCTGAGTGTGCTTGTGACATCGTTCATGGCCATGTTGGAGCGATGCTATGTCTGCGATGACGTGGCGACGCTGCAGCAGTGGGCCACACATGGCTTTTTGTTGCAGTGGGAGTCTCTTGTGAGTTCGCAAGGCAAAGAGTACACCATGCTCAACGACAGCTGGATCGCCATCAAGACCCTCGGGCGGTTCGCGCTGCACGTTGTCGCACATCCCGACTTCGATGGCGAGTCGATGCCGACGCCGATGATTCACATGGAGACGACCGAGGACCAAAAGGGGTACGTGCTGCACCTGTCCGTGCCCAGAGCAGTGTTCGCCATGCTTCCAGAGGTGCTGCGGAATGGCCAGCACATTGCCGTCGTGCCCGTGCTGTTCTCCCAAGGCATCAACGAGATGCAAACGGTCGCCAACCTCCTCGGCTCTACGGACGTGGACCTGCAGCACAACATCAATAAACTGTGCGCCAAGACCGTCGAGATGTACGCGGCCGCCGTGCTGGACGCCACGCCGCAGCTGCCCATGCACTTTGTCGCCCGTGTCAACGAACTGCTCGCGACGCTCAAGTCCCTCGTCGTGGACGAGACCCGCCAGACAGCCAAGAAGAACTACCGCCTGCTGCTCGTGGCGGCGGACCTGACGCGGCAACTCCACGGCGGTCGCGTGACGTTTTGCAAGTCGGGCAAGGACCGCACGGCCATGAGTGTGACGCTGGAACAGACGCGGATGGTGCACAACACGTCGAGCGAGAAGGTCGACATGTACGACACGATCGCGCCCATCGCCGACGTCATGCGCGAGTATGGTGTCCGCATCAAAGTGGCTGACAAGAACGTCGGACGGATGAGGTATACGTTCAATGGACTCCAGCGGAAAATGCTGCCGAGGGTATACCGCCCCCCCCTCAAGTCGATTCAAGGTGGCGCCGACTTGTCGTAGTATTATACAAGCATACAAAGGAAATGTACTGCAACATGTTGTTTGGCATTATTGAGATTGTAGCGGCGGTGGCGGCGGTGGGACGGGATGGTTGGCCTTGTCGTGATGTGCCGCCATGTGCGATGAGAAGTTGGGAAAGGCAGAGGCCAAGATGGCGTGCACGGCGTCGACGTCGGACGCATTGGTGGAAGGGATGTCGCCGCGAGTGATGGACGATTGCTCCTTCTCGCGCAACGTAGCCAAGAGTGCAACGTGGTCCGTGGACGCGAGATTCGGGAATTGCGATGTGTACGATCGAAGAAGTCCGTGCAGCACGCCACTTCGGAATCCTTGTGACGCACCGACGAGGTACCCTGCGTTGAACCCTTCTTGCAACGTTTCTTCTTTGCCGACGTCAATGCCTTCGCGGAAGCCAACCTGGGACACCAATGGTGAGATGCATCACAGAAAACTGTGCTCTACCGTCCGGGATCTCCGCTCCATGGCTCTAGATTCCTGCTCCATCAAAAAGCGATCATTGTGCTCGCTATCTCCTTCATTATCGCTGAAGCCATCGCTGCTGCTCCTGCTGCGACTGTCGTCGTAGTCGGCGTTGTCGTCCTTCATGTTGGTTCGGCGCGGTAATTGCAAATCGAGTGGCTTCCGGATAATGAAGTGTTGTGCCGATTGGTTTGGGCCAATCGACGGCAATAGTATCCGGAAATGGTGAGTGATGGTACATTATGAATCGCAGGTGCGATCCACCATATCCGCTGGCGAAGGCAAGGGCTCACCGCCATGGCTCGTCAGAACAAGCGCAATAAGAACTCGAACGGAGATGGGCAGCATCGAACCTCGCCTACTTCGAACGGTGATGCTAATGGAGGCGCAGTGAAGCGCACGATGTACGTGCAGGTATGCCAATCACCTAACTTGCAACCCAATTTAACAATTGACGGTAGCTCCTACTGAACGACCCTGCATTGGTGCGTCACGCCCAGCACCGTACGTGATGGCATAGCTTCTCTGCTTATCTTTTCTTATCCTTGTGGATCCATACATGTAGTCAAGGAGACGTGGACTGAAGCCACAGGTTGGGAACTTGACGACGAGGTCGGCCAATCGTCGCTTGTCCTTCTGAGCGTGGACGTGCAGTCCCACGTTCAGTTGCAGGTGGTCAAGGACATCCTCTCGACCAGTATCGGCCAGGGCGACGCGTCAGCCTTGGATGCAAGTTGCAGGCTTCAGGTTGAGAACAACAGCATCAACGGAACAAAGTGCCTTCGCCTGGCCGTTCACTTCTCGGACGTCATGCTAGCCTTCCTCGCCAAGGCAAGATGCCATCTGGCTACCCATTTACGTCCATGCTCATATATATATGTCTTTAGACCAGCAACGCAGCTCAACTGAAACTCGCCAGTCACGGCATCAAGGCAACCAATCGATATGAGCCCAACGCACTCAAGAAACTGCGCTCCGTCGTGGTCTGGTCCCTCAACCAAACATCCCCATTGCCATCCCTCCATGACGATATTGCCCACACGAATCGGCAAGGGTGGACGGCGCCGCTGTCTCTGCGCACTCTGGTGTTGGGATGGACTCCCATGGGTGCACAAGTGGTCTCGACGTGGTTGTTTGCTTCGTCCATCGGCCAAACCAGTCGAGATCTTCCCACATTGTCGCCCTTGTATGACACTCTCCAGCTGGTCGCAAACACAGTCGTGATCCTGCGTGGTCGTCCTGGCAGTGGGAAGAGCACCCTCACCCGGATCGTAAAAGCCAAGGTACTTTGCACCACCACGACAATCGGTCGATTGAATGCCCTTGGCGGGACCTGTAGGCCGCTTCGTTGGGTTATGACGTGGCCGTTTGCAGTGCCGACACGCACTTTGACTCGCCGTGGGGCTACCACTACGACAAAGCGCAGCTCCCCGCCGCGCACGACGCATGTCGGCTGGCCTTCCACGACGCTCTGCAGCAGCACGTGGCGGTGGTCGTCGTGGACAACACTCACTCGTGTCTGTGGGAGTACGAGCCGTACCGCACAGGTTCGTACATACAGCTACACCATACAATGATTTGAATCCGTGTATATATAATACAAGTGCTCCCGACCAACCATTTGACTAGCGGCGTTCGAAGCCGGATATCGTGTGGTCGTGGTGGAAGTGGGCTGCGACGACGTAACCACCGCGGTGCGCATGGGCTTTCGCAACTCGCACGGCGTGGGCATCGACGTGATGCTTCGCATGCACCAGCGATGGGAGCCGCACGTGTCACATGCATCGGAGGTGCACATGTTGGTGCCGCCAGCCTTTAGTGCCGCCGACAACCGCCGCGCCATGGCGTTGCTGCTGCAGGGGGACATTGGGGATGTGTACATTGCCGCAGTGTACTTTTCCGACGAGACCAAGCGCACCCTTCTCGAGCGGTTTCCTCCAAAGCACGTCAATGTGATTGCAGAGCACATGACGCTGGCATTTCAGCCATCAAAGGCGTTCGTGGCGTCGTTAACATTGGGCCAACACGTTCGTTTAAACGTTGTTCAAGAACGCTTTGACGCCAAGGGCCATTGCTTGAAACTGCAGTGGGTCCACAATGCCGTTGCCGTTGACTGCGTCGGCCAGCGCATTCTGCACACGACGCTGTCGTTTGCACCCGACTCGGCCGCGTATTACTCGAACGCGTTGCTCTTGGACGACGATAACGCCAATATCGTGTGTGTGCAACCCCCCGACCAACTCGAGGTCGAAGGACTCGTGGGCGTCGCGCTGCAGTCGCCGTACGTTCCTAAGTGGAAAAAAGCCAAGCTCCTCGACTTGCCTAGAAGTACATTGACGCACAGGTGTGACGTGGTGCTCGTGGACGTCCGTGGATCCGACGCGATCGACCAGATAGCGTTTGTGGCCGAGCTCGAGCGAGTGGCTGGCGTCGGCTCCACCCTCGTCCTCTTGGCATGTGACGAGGTAGACTGTTTGTGGTTTACCCGCCGTCAAATTGAGTTTCACCACGTCATCATCTCGAGAACGATGACGTTGTCTGCCAGGTACAGTACGACAACTTCAACGTGGCGTGACATATCTTTTTTTGATCCGTAGCATCAAGCAAGTCCAGACTATCGTGTCAGAAGTGGCTGCCATCACAGTCGTGACGCTGGCCTCGTCACTGGTGCCTGTTGAATCGCTGTCGTCGTACAAAGAACTCTTCTTGTCCATCCATTCCGTCGAACGTTCCATCACGAGTGACCCCCTCCCTCGACACGATGCCATGTCTACTGTCTTCCGGCAGTTCCTCGTGGACATTCAAAACCTCGTCGATCGGTCGTGGCGGTCGGTGGCTGGTGCCTCGTACATCGACACTGTATCGCATGACCACCAGGCCAACCACTTTGACATGTACCTCTCTGCCACCCCCGACGGCATCGTCGCATTGCCCACCCTGCAAAGTCGGCTTGTAGCGTCGTTTCCGTCCTACATGCAAACTCGCCAGCTGCGGCACTGTGCATCGGACCAAGTTGCCTTTGTGGACGTGCATGTGTCGGCCTGTTACGCTGTCACATTCCGTCTGGTCCTGTACGTCTACCCGTCCGAGACTAGTCCCCTCGTGCGCAGTCTCCACACAATGCAAGAGCTGTTCCACCGCCGACCCCGCGCCATCGACGCCGTGCTCGGATGGTTCATGGACGTCCTCTATGACATTCCCCTGCCGTTTGCCGACGTCGAGCGCTCCATGCGCGTGCTCGCGGCCTGCCTCGCGCGCGGCTACGTCCACCAGCACCCCCATCCAGACATGGAGGAGTTCCATCGGCACATGTTGGACTGGAGTGAGACTGACTGGCTCGTGTGTTTGGCTCACAAGGATGCGGACGCCACGGCGCTCTGCCACGCCCTTCATGCGCCCCTCGAAGAAGACGGCGGACACCACTTAGCCGGCACCCCTCGGCAGCTCAAGGACTTGGAATTGCAAGTCGTGCGGTGCATTCTGCAGAAAACAGCCGGCGCCCCCGCCCGGGAACTGGAGTGGTTTGCCATCGCACCCGCTCACGGGGGGGGCTCCCAGCATTGGACCCGGTACCTCGATGATCTGGACATCCGCCATCGACTCAGTCGAGCGATTCCCCACCAGATTGTGTTTCGCCAAAACCAGGTAAGGACATACGGTGACGACTTGTACTGTACTACTGTATTGCCTATTAGATGGCCATAGAACCGTCTGGTGTCGCTGCGATCACCCACCAACCATTGAATCAACCCAAGTCCGCAGACACGACTACTACTGTGCAGCTCACACACGTGTACACGGGCCAGCAGTTGCAACTGAGTGTTGGTTAGCTACATGCCGCGGTACTTGGTGTTGCGGGACGAAGTAGAAGACGATAGCGGCTCAGTCGATGTGACGCGGAGGATGGTCATCTTGTAATGAAACTCGACCAGGTCTGGTATGTGCGAGCAGTCTCGAATGTACAATCGCTGGCACACTTCCCACGATGCTATCCACGGAAACAGAGGCACCGCCAGCTACGTACCCATTCCACCAATAAACCACATCGCAGGATTCATGATGTAGTAGTACTAGTAGAGTACTAGTCTTGTGAAGGACGTACATTTTCCATAAAGATGTACCACAAGATACCCGTGCCAGTCCCAACGGTCGCGCCCACCACCACTTGCGCCACGCTGTGGTACCCCAATCGAATGCTGCGACACCGTTATGGACTCGGAACATCGTATGCGATACAGATGCATCGTACCGAGACACAAACACGAGCAAGGCCAGTGCGACGACGCCCACGATGGCCACTTTGTGCTCCCACTCGCGCCGCTTGCTCATGCGGTTGGACGTGTACAAGACTACATACGTGGCGAAGAACGCCATGAACTGGCAGTGGGCGGATGGCATACCGGCATCCTCCATGTCGGCGCCTACATCACATCATGCATGGGTCATATAGCATTGAAAACTCCAAAGCACACAAGGAGTACGTACCATCCGGCCGCTTTTGGTCGATCGTTCGCTTGAGGATTTGGTTGAACACTTCGTTGAGAAGCTACAGCAAGAAAACAGGTTGAGGGATGGTGGTCATGTATGTATGTGGGATTGAAACCAACTTGGCCGAGCAAGAGGAACGCGATGTGCAAGTCTCGCTGGAACACGAGCAACGTGGCATACATGACCATGATGAAGCTACGAGCGAGCATTAGTCAATGCAAGATGCCTGTAACCAAGGGATAACCGTACGTACACTGGAGAGAGGGTCACAAGCGCCAAGAGCTGGCCCAGTGGGTCGTCCACGTCGTACATCACCTACATCAGTACACTGTGACCACCACCGTGGACATGCACAATGACGGCAAACCCATGTGAGCGAAAATGGTTTCTTGAGCTGGGATGACGAGTCTGATACGCCAGTGAGAAGCGCAGCGTCTGATGAGGCTGCTTCGACGGCTTTCTTGGCCTGGGATGCCACCTCCGTGGCCACGGCGGACGCAACTGCTGCAATGAGGGTTGTCGTGGGGACTGCCGTGGTTGGATCCAATGCAAGCGTTTGGTTCACGTCAACCGTAGCACTGGTAGAAATGTCTACAGCAGGAGGAGATCGCGCTGGGTGTGGAGTGAGAAGCGTATCATCGTCGATTGTTGTGGCTGGCAACACCGTCGGGGCAAGGTCAGTTGACGAATCGTCCGCCATGGCCGGGACTTGTACGTCCCCCGACTCTGTGTCCTCCACTGGAAGAGGAGGGATGTCGTTGTGATGCACCTCGTCATCGGCGGCTGTGGTGGTAGTTGGAGCGCCTGTGCATGTGTCGCACGTCTGAAAGGACCCCATTGCAGCGACAGCAGCGGCGTCGGCGTGAAGAATGGCCACTTAACCCCCTCTGATTGGCCAGAAATTCGGGGTTGTCATGACCGGATTGGTGCATTTATTGAATCACCAACGATTAAATTAGATCAGCCATATATTGAACGAAACTATTTTGAGCGACACCTCACTTGGTGCTGTCAAACGACGAGGATGTGTTGCTCATGCTGTCTTTGCCGCTCCGCCACACCTTGGCCTTAAGCTCGTCGTACGTGAGGGGGTACTCTTCCTCCGCATTCTCCTTCCTGTGCATCTCACTCAGTGTCAACGTTGGAGGCCGCACGCCCATGTATCGATACGGCTGTTCGCTCTTGCCCAGGATTAACGGGTCCGACGAGATGGTTGGGATCGAGCTGGTGCTGTTCATGAGCGACGGGGGCAGCGAGAGTTCGGGTACTGCGAGCTTTCGCAGGGATTTTGCGTGCATGGCGTGAATGATCTCTGCCATTTTGTGTTCCACTTCACCGAGAATGCCCCGCAAACTCTTCTCGTCTACCGTCGACAGTAAGACGTCGATCATGTACACGCCCATCGAATTCAAATGCATACACACACGCACCTTGGTTCTCCTTGCATCCGATTCGAACATGCAGGGCCATGAGCGCGGGTTTCAGGACCGCGATCGTCTGCTGGATCTCGTTGATCTTGTCCACCAAATGCGCTTCCTGCTCTTGCGATTTCTATGTACATACATGCCATCAACATCATCTATCTCCATGTGCATCACGTGCATATACACACCTCCTTTCGCGACTTTAACGTTTTCGTGCGCTGCATCTTCTGCACGTCCACAGCATCGTTGCGCAGCTTCATCCTACGTCACTGCATCACCCACGCTCCATGACGCACATGCGACGTACTTGCCAATCTCTTCGCGCAGCTTGGAGCATTGCGTCCGGTGCGTCTCGATGTCTTCGGCCAGTTGGTTCACGTATTGGATCTTGGCGAAATGCTCCACTTCCTGCGTATTGAACGCTTCAATCAGCTCCATCACGGTCTTCGTGCCTAATTAATTAATTCCAGTCATATTTACCCATCAAATATCCGTAAATTGGACAAATGACCATGCATTTACCCGACACTTGGTGGATTCGCTCGATAAATTCCCGGTTTTCGTTGTATTTTCGGACGGATATTTCCGACGTGACTTTTTCCTGGATGATTTTCCACCGACTTCTCGTGATTTTGGACTTGTTGAGCTTTTCTTCGATGAGCGTCGTGTCGGCACCCGGGGACAGGTACTTCTTGGGAGATATCATGCTCGCGTCGTCCATCGAGTTGGTCATGCTCTCCGCCGCTTGGTTCTTCAACTCCTACACACGAATGGAGTGCCGTTGCAGCGAACGTTGCTGGCAACGTGGGTATACTCTGAGTATCTCGGCAGCTTTGGCGTCGCATGCATTCTCGCAAGCGGCAGCGTCCTTCTTGAGTGCCTCGATGGCGGCGATTTGTTCTTGCACGGCCTGCCGTAGACTCGCCACTTCCTTGGTCTATATCACAACTCATCCTGTTTCACAACTCGTGTTCAAGTACATGCATGCATGATCGAACCTCCAAGTCGATCTTGGCCTTGGTCTCCAGCGTGTCCACTTCGATGGTCGAGTACAAGACGTCGGTGGTCGCGCGCTCGGCCCGCTTGATGTCTAGCGTTTTCCGCAAGTGCTTGTTACCCGCCAACTTTTCGTTGAATTTGATCATCTTGCGGTCGATCTCGGTTTCCATTTTCCTGGGTTGCCACGCACAACCCGTCAACTCCACGGCGAGATGACGGTGGTGGTGTCGTACTTGATCTTGGTCACGAGGCTCGCCTCGCTCATTTCCAGCACGAGGCCATTCCCTAGCGACATCTTTTGCTCGGCCAACGTCCGCTCGCAGTCCTGGATCGCCAAGTCGTACTGCGCAATCTTGCGCCGCTCGACCTCAATCATCTTGGTGAACTTGTTGCCTGAACGTCACGTCCGTACACAATGTGGTTAGCATGTAGATACGTGGCTAAACAACCAACTAGCTTGGGCAGGAAAACCCCAGCTAACGACAATGGCCTCCACGCGTGGCGAAACAGTGGGGAGCGAATGTCGTACCTTCGATTTGTATGTGGGACATCTCTTGGGCGGATGCTTCGTTGTAAAAGGGATCGCTTCGAATGTTTCGAGCATCAAAGTCAAGCTTAGACAACATGATTAGTACATGTGGTAGGCTGGCAGCGATGGACATACCTCTGCCGCGAGCTGCTTGTTCTTCTCCTGCATGTCCAGGACCTGTTTGCTGTACTCGGACAACGTCTTGGACACTTCCTCGCTGTGTCTTCTCCCATCATCACGCACCAGCGCCAACAGCTCGTGATCCAACGACGTCGGCTTCACCATGTCGACACAATCATGTAAAATCGTTGAAACGGCGTTCGAAACGGCACGTGAAACCGTATAAATCATGGGTTATCCGGATCAGTCACCACCACCACTTCACATGCTTCAAATGTCTTTGATTATTTATTACACTGGGGTTTTATGCTGGCATGTGCTTCCTGCGACTTGGATACATGCAGGTGTCGCGCACTCTAAGATGCAATAGTAAGAAGTGCGGAAACGTTCATCGCAGGCCGGGTGGCAGGCCACAGGACACGCCGCGGATCGAGCCGTGCAACATGGGTTGTCTTCCATGGTGTACGTCGAAATGGAGTGGGTGGGGGCTGGACAGTCGGCAAGGTCATTCGACGCCAACGTCAGCACCTGGAGCGCCGGCAGCGACGTCAATTCGGACGGAACGGACGTGAGCTTGTTGTTCGCTAGTCGCAGCTCGGTCAAGTGGCTCCAGAAGCCCCACGCCGTCTATGCAGTTTGTGAGCAACGCCCGATGTGACCTTAGGTGGAAAACTCACCGGCAGCGGCGGGAATGACGTGATGGAATTGCTCGTCAGGTCAATGATGCCGATCCACTCTAGCTGCACGAACGCCGGCGGAAACACTGTCAAGTTGGCCTGACGAAAGTACAACTGGGTCAAGTTTGCCCACGCCGGGCCAATCCAGTCGGGAAACGTAGCGTTGTGCATGTCGTTGAAGCTGAACGAAATGCCCAAACAGAGCGGCGGGATGTGCTGAAACGATGGAGAAATGTCCGCGAAGCTGTTGTTCGTGAACGAGAGGTACCTACCCCACGCCACTCACCGGAGAGAAAACACATCACACACACGTACAGGATTTTGGAAAAGATGCTAAAGTCCATGTCAATGACGTCAGTCGAGTCCAACCCGCACGCGGCCAGCTGCAAGAAGTACAGGTCCGTGAACCGAGCGATGTGCGGCGACGGCCGATGCGGGGCGTGCAGGGGGCAGTTGCGAAACGTCAGGTGGTTCACAAACGGGGCAGCGGTCGACTCGAGGAAGCCGTCCATTTCGCCGTACAGTTGTATCCAGTCCACGACTACCATGATGTGCAAGTTAGGAGTGCTTGCCAAGAGGTGGACCTGTCGCTTGTTCGTACTTGGAGTGTCCACACGACTGCAGTCAAATTCGAGGATTTGGCAGTGACATTCTTGGGACCACAGGGGGTACACGTGCCACGGCCGAATGTGACGGGCGCACTGGACGTACGCGGGCATGGTGACGTCTCCACATGTCCACACGAACGACCGCACGGCGATCTATTCCATCATGTGTTGCTATTAATCATTCGGAAGCGAATTATATATATATATATATCAACCCAAGCAATGACGACTCCCGACACGACGCTGCAGCAAGTGTACACGGCAAACACAAAGTAACGGCATCGAATGTTGAACGCCGAGATGGTTTCGACCTGCTGAGACGAGCGCGGAAGGTCCCCCGGCGTCTCCACGACCTCGGGGGCCAGCTACGTTGTCATGAGCCAACCTGGACAACGACTGAAACATTACTACCAAGAGGGGGACCTCTAAAGGAGGAGACGTCCATGCTTGTGGGACGACTGGCGGGGTTGTTGCTTGCGTGGTCACTTTCGATCCAAGCGTCGGCGACGACGACAACGACGACGATGGCGGCGGATAGAAGGACAACAGGGTTCCGTGTACGAAATGCAAGAAGGCGGTGAACATTCGCTTGAGAACGCTCGAGGTTTTACGTTTGGGGGGTGGCGTCGCCGTGACCTGACGACATGGTTAGGCGGGTGAAAGAGAAAAAGGCAAACAGTACCAAGACGTGACTCGATAGAAACGTGTCGACGTTGGACGCGTGGACGTTTTGCAGTGTCACATACAGCAGCAGCATGGGCGCCACGGCCGCGATCAAGTCGGTGAATGTCATGATCTGGTGGAAACAGCACCGGATTTAACAAAAGAAGGGTCAAAGCAACGCGATAGATAGTATCGTACCAGCATGGCTTTGATGACCGAGATGGCGTACACATCCCAGTTTTGGTCGCTTATGATGGTGGGGGAAGTCACGAGGCTGTAAATGACTGGCACGGCGAGTGACAACGGCAGCACCACGCCAAGTACCAAGTCAAAGAGGACGATCGTCACGACTAGATGCTCGCGGCGGGTGCGCGCTCGCGGGAAATTGCGTGGAAGGAGGTTGAGATTCGACCTAAAACAGACATGACCTCCAGCACACACACAGACGAAAGCGAGGGGCGATTACACGAAGGATGGGGCAACGACGATGCAGTGCAGGCCCAGCACGACCCCAAACGTTGTGGTGAGGGGACTCGACAAGTGGTTGCTGTTGTTGTACCCGCGAAAGAACTGCATGGGCAGCACAATGCACTCACGGACGAGAAGGCGCGCTTCGTAGTGCATGCCCTGGCGGCTAAATGCTCCTCGCGGTCCAAAGTACCTAGGGCACAGACATGACGTACTCGACGATGTGCTTTGGGAGCTGGTTCATACTTTTGGTATAATGTTTCAGCAACGATCCGCGCGTGGAACCATTTCATCTATCCACGTGCCAGCAACCGTCGCTTTTGAGTTGTCAAGGAGTCAGTGGGGTAGGGTTGTACCTTTGCGATCAGCAGCATGACGACAGCCGACCCGCGCACGCCTTGGCCTTCGTACGCGCGCTTGGCTCGTAGCAGGTGCTCGCGAAGTACGTCCAAGTCGGAAGCTGTGACAGTGGACGCCGACTGGAGACGCACGAGGGTGCGTATTCGATCGTTGTACGAGCGATCATTGGTCGACATGGCTTGCTGGCGGCCGAGGGTCGAAATGAGCAGGGGGCTGATGTTGCGCAGGTGCTTGGCAGTTCGATTGACCACCCAGCGTCTAGCTCGAATGCGCCACCACCCGCGGAGGTGGACAGCCCCACATATGGCAAACGTGGTGGCAGTGAAGATGGGATTCACGAACCCAAAGAAGCGCTGCATGTACGGAAAGATGGACAGACCCAGGTGCATGAAGCTCATGAGAATGCAGTAGAGACAGCACAGAGCGGCGATGAGGTCCAGCACATCGGCGTGGAGCATTTGGGGGGCCGTCGTGGCCGTCGGCGCAATGTCCTGAACGCGATGTCGGCGCATCATTACGTGATCTTTCGAGGAAATGCACGGGAAACGCCTTGTTGAAACCGTGTATTTATAGCGGGGTAATCGAGCTTAACCTGCCTCACTTCTCAATCTTACTACTATAATAGCATCATATATCGAGGCGAATGATCTCCAGATAGTATGGCTTGCACAGGTCTATTAGGGGAATGATTTCTTCGCCTCATGAGCAAGCTTAGCCACCATGCTGCCAGCTCATATTGGAAGTGTCATGGTCCAATCACAGCCGATAATTCCATCTGCCAATCAAATTGTCAGGATGATTTGTTGTAGCGAATCACACTGCGAGAAACACGGAAGAAATATAATTTGCTGTAATACAATTCGAACGAATCGAAATTGTTATTGCGATAGCACGTGACGGACGGACGGGTCTTCCATGGACGGTCCTAACGACACACCGGTGCCACAGCCACAAGATCACCTGTCACGTCATCCTACACAATATGCAGAGGCTAGTTATGCACACCGACATGACTTGGCGGCGATGGCCCTCGTACCACCATCGGCTGTTCCCACGATGCAACAAACCAGTGCATGGCCAAGTGCATCGTCCCAGGTACTCGACGTAACCAACACTGTACTTCTGGAGAAGCAACCGTTGCAGCCACCGCGGCCATCCTATCTCACAGTACCTGCTACATCGCTTTACCAACCGCCGCAAATCCAACAGTCCACAGGAACCCACGTGGCCGGCGCACCGTCGATGGGAAACGCTCATGCTTCCTCTCAGCTGCTGACTGTGCGTGTCCCAACCAACGCTCAAAGCCAACTAGTTGGTGCGTACGCCGGTCCCACCAGCAAGAATCAGCCAGCCCCAACCAAACCTCGACCAGTAAAGAAACCGACGCCCATGTCGATCACGTTCAACGGATCGTTCGAAGACGAATGCAAGTCCATGTTGCTCAAGCTCTTGTTCGCATTCCACGAAGCCAATTCCTCCGATCAGGTGCTGGCGGCGCTGAGCGCGTTGTACACGTGGATCAAGTCGCAGACGTACAACCCTCAACCTGCATCCGGCGCTGCTGCGCCGCCTCCTCCCCCGCCGCCGTCGACCGTCATTTCCCTCCCTCTTCTCCGCCACGCCAAGAACGAGTTTGTCCAATGCAGCCAGATCAAGCAACGCCGCCAGCCACATGTGTGGTCCACAGGCGTCGCCCAGGCCTACGCGGGAATCTTACAGCACATGCTTCAATCCATCACGCACCACACAACGTTACTGCAGCAACAAGTCCAGCAACCCTCGCAGCAACCCTCGCAGCAACCCTCTCGGCCTAGTGGAGCCACGACTCCCCGCCCCCAGCAGCAGCAGAAACTGCCGCCGCCGCCGCTTCCCGTTGTACAGAAACCAGACGTGCTCCCTGAGAAACTCCAGCAACGCATGCAAGTGAACCTGTCTCAGGCCCACGCACAATTCTCTCGCGCACAGCAGCAACAGAAACCAACTCCTACCGTGAAAGCTCGCAAGCGGGAGCCGAAAGCCCCGCCGACCCCCAAGCCCCACGTCCCGTGCGTCCAGCCCCCGACGCCTCTGATGTCATCTGTCTCGAACGACGTGTTCGTGGACATGACTCTCCGAACGGCGCAGTCTGGCGGCGACGACGACCAGCTGTACGTTCCCCAGCGCAACATCACCAAGGTCATGCGCACGGTGCTACCCCAGGAAACCAAGATCAAGATCGCCGACGACGCCAAAGGTAGGTGCAGTTGGCTGGTTGGGTGGCATCGCTTATGTGTTGTTGATGAATTGGATGGAATTGCGGTAGAGCTGATGCAGGAATGCGTGACAGAGTTCATGCTGTACTTGACGAGTGAAACGAGGGACCAGGCCGTGGTGGACAGACGCAGTAAGATCACCCTCACCGGCCAAGACGCAGTCAAAGCGCTGTACAATTTGGGGTAGAATCACAGATGCTTTCGACTGGTTGGGGCTTAGATATATACTTAGGTTTACCACATATGGAGATCTCTTGACACAGTACAACGAAAAGATCACGGCGGCGCAAAGGGAAGCCAACCGCACGAAGAACGAACGCCGACTCGCCAAACAGAAAGGGCTGGGGCCATCGCAACAGCAGCCGAATGCACCTCCATCCATCCCACCGACCCCCCAATCAACCGCCGAACCAGCACAACCATCCCCGACGACCGCCGAACCTGCACAGTCCCTCCAATCAACCGCTGAACCAGCACAGCCGTCTCCCGCAGTATCAGCGGCAGATTTACTCGACGTTGCAATGGAATAAGAGTTATATATAGTGCACAGCGTCACAGACAGTTTTCAGAGTTCGTTTACAATTGCAATCGACTTGGTGCTTTCCCAGACGTCACGTACTGAAATGCGTGGAGCGTACAGTCTTATCTTGGACTCGAAAGGTGTCGTTTACGAGCTCAAAGCGTCTATTTTTAGTGATAAGGTATATTAATAGTAGTACTGTAGTAGAGAAGGTAGTACTAGTAGTACTACTACTGCACTGTGTACTATTAATACTAGTAGTACAACTACTGCACTGTGTACTATTAATACTAGTAGTACTAGTACGGCTAACCGGTTGGTGGTGGCTGTGTTGCTTCTGGATGTGGCGCAGTTCAAGTACCCCCCGGTTGTCAGTGCTGTCCGTAAGGCAACAACATCATCTCCCTCGTACTAACTATCCTACGGTAGTTACTCGTAAGTTACCACAACGTGTTTGCTGCTCTTTCTAGTTATGAATCTCATCCACATGGACTTATTGTTATATTTATGCACTTCAAAGTTGTTCGACTTGATATGCCCACAGAGGTTCCTATTCAATTTGTCGCAGTGGGGGGGGGGTCCATGACAAGGGTTGGTTTGTATGGACGGTCCTGCACAGGAATACTCACCACTTCAACGATGCACCCACGAGTGTCATTCATACCTTGATACAAGGACACAAGGTCGCGGGTAAAAATTGCTCGTGGTCGTCTGCAAACGCTTGGCGGTCTAGCCGTTCGGTGGCTTCGAGTGCATTCAGATGCGACTGCAGGTCGGCCACCTAGATGCTTCCATCATCACATCGTAAAGGGAGGAAACTGCAAATTGCACTTTCAACGCACCAGGCGCCGTGTGGTGGCCTCATATGCTTGCCGACGCTGTAGTTCCAGTGGCAATGCCTCGTACGCGGCCAAGAAGCGCTCGTAGAATCGAAGCAAATTCGTCAACTCGTCCAAGAGTACGTGGCACTCTGAGAGGGCGGCATCGTACGCCTGGCTGGTGTCGTGCATGGCTGAAAATGTGTGCAGGATCCGCCGATCGCATTGCTCCATGTCGACAAAATACAACAGCTACAAGACCTGTATGAGACAAAGAGAGGGTTCGACTGGACTGTCGCACCGCCACGTCATATAGTTCGGTCAAGTGGTTCAAGGCGGTGGAGCTGGCTTTGACCAGCGCCGACGAGTCCTCCGTGATGCGATCGACGGCCCTGCGACAACGTCAGAAGCAATCGATGACGTTATAGTGTCGTACGCGTGGTGACGTGTCTCTTGCAGCGACGTCTACTTTGCCGCATGAGTCGACAACCCAACGAGCCAATCAAAAACGACGTACGTGGCGCAATTTGCACTCGAACAACTCATCCTGCAAGTGTTGGCACAGATCGCCCAGCGCGTCCCACACAGACTGTCCATCACTCGATAGAGGAACCATGCCGTTGAAGTCAAGACCTTGGTAGAAGGACATGGTGGCGCGAAGCAACTCCAGCGAGTCGACGGTGTTGTGCCGTGACTCGACAATGCTACACGCAGAAGTAAGTACATGATGAGGTTGCGATTCGGTCACAATTACGTGTGGATGTGGCTCTGAGCTTGGCGCTGTAGGTCCATGACAGTGTCGGCGTCGACAAAGTCAAACAGCGACTTTCCAACTTCGCCCGATACCTCCACATAAATGAGCTGCCGATGTTCATGGGAGATGGCATACCATCGCAGGGTCCACGCGTTGATGCTTTAGAGCTGTAAAGATCGCGCGGAGGTCTTCTTCGACCTATGATGTTCGCTACATATTCGGGCAGGATTATCGCTCGTTATCGTACTTGCTGGTGTGCTTGGATCATGTCTTGGACGGCGGCATCTTGCGTTTCAAAGGCGCCTTCGCTCACGCCCAGCGAAGACTCGACTGCCTGAATGCGCATGGTCATGGTGGCGCTGATCTCCTGCAGGAGCATGCGAAACGTAATGCATCTCTCGTAGTTGGCAGCCAGTGCATGGCCATCTCTCTCCAGCTGACCGTCGATTAACGAGGCGGACCGACCCGTTGCCGCATTATCGGTATGGTCCATCATATCTTGACTGCTTTCCCGGATACATTAACCGGAAATCCGACAACCAAAATAATTAAAAACCGAGCAATTCCCTCATTAATTAGGACTCGTATTTCTAAAACAGTACTAATACTGTAGTACCGGTGGTATGTGCAAATCAAATGGGGCGATTTACTGTAGCGGAATTTACTGTAGTCAGAACAATAATACAGCGGAATTTAGTCAGAACAATACTGTAGTATCATTCAGGGAATTTCTCTGAACAGTAGAAGACAGCAAGCTCTTAGCATGGCCTCATACTCAGGGAGCAGTCGGAGTAGTGTACGCAGTCATGGCTTTGAGATGCTTATGTTGAGTTAGGCACAGAAGGCCAAGGGCGGAACGATGCGGTGGTGCTCTATGTCGCCATTCCAGACAAATGGCCGAGATCGTTCGATCAGCTGACGTTCCACTTGTGTGTCAAACAAATCAGGTGGTACTACAGTAATGCGATTGATTTTTCTACCCGTAGAATTCGGTAGAAACTCGAAATTAATCGGACTTGAAATATCTACCACGTACCCGACGCATACTACCTTCACTTCACTTGCCTCGCTCACTATCCACTGCACTCCATTTTCTCCAAGTCCTAGCCAAAGGTAACTCATGTAAGTTAACCTTTCATCAAATCTGCGAAATGGGTGACGAAGGTTCATATTACTCCGCACTTCAATACTGTATATTAACGTTAGTACTATTATGGTACAGTACCGGCTACTAGTACTACGATTAATAGTACCGCACCGGCTACTAGTACTACTAGTAAGACGTACAGTATCCACGTGTTGTACTTCAACCTCGTTCAAAGCTTCCATGCCCAACTTCTTCTTCACCTCTTCGTCCATGAGTGGTGGACCTGCTGTGATCCCTATCATAGATGCCTTGGTCTCATTTGCAAGAAGCTGACCGTCCTTGCATCCTGCCTCCCATTGGCGTTCTCCACGCTTCGGAATATATCCCATGTGCAAATCACAACACTGGGTTGTCGCACGTGAATTGTCCAAGGATGGATCCTCCCCAACTCTGCAATCCCTTGTTCAAGTACATTGAATTGCATGCATTCGTCAGTTTTGGATTATTTTGACTTGTATAAGGAAATTGAAGCATCCACGACACCTCATCAAATGGGTGAGATTGATTGGCTGCCTTATGTCCAATTAAAAGGCTGGAAAAAAATAGACTTCGCGCGACTGTTGAGTGGCGATCAATTCCCAACGTGCGCCCAAGATGACAGTCCTTACCTCCGCCATCGCGCATACCTTCCTCCCATCTATCCTCGCAAACCTGCCACATGAATGGCGAGGCACAACGTTTGCCAACTCGGCGCTCTTGGGCCGTGAAGTCTTCTCTGCCAGCGTCGAGAAGCTGCTCCTCGAAAAGCATGCCAAACGCGACAACATTGTCACGGAAGCCGAACTGTCAGCTTTGGGCAATGCCGAAGATTACCTCCGCGTGTCGACGAATATTTCCGTGCTGCTGGAACTCGTCCTTGGCCTTGAAGTGTCGCTTCCCACCCGCCAAGTGTTTACGTTTGGATCCACGACCATCCCCATCATCTCCGTGCTCCTCACGTCCAAGTTGCCAGTGCTTCTGTACGTGGACGAAGGAGTAGCGTCTCCATTCACTGCAGACCAGTTGGCCACCCTCGCTCTTCTCGGGACCAACGTCACCATCGTGTCAGGGCACCCCGTCGCGGATCCTTCCGCAGTCGTCCTCGCCCTTCAAGTATCCCCCAAGAAAATCTCGGCTGCCGTCGACGCCATTGTGTCCGACTCGGTTCTGTACATCCACAACCCGTCCAAAGTCAACCCGGACGACATTTTGGTCATTCGCAAGCGCCTCTCCACTCCCCTCACAACCCCCGTGTGCGAGAAATTCCTTCAAACGATTGCCGGGGTCAAGGTGACGGCCGACGGCGACGCGTCCACGCCCGAAGCCCTCGCCGACTTTTACGCGCATCTGCAGACCATGTCTGGCACGTCGGTGGACGCCCACGCGAACCCCGTCGTGTTCACGGCCGGCCTGCCTGCAGTGTGCTCCATCTGGTTGAGTTTGCTCCACGGCGGCGGCGCCGACATCCTCATGGCCAGCACCGCTTACGGCGGGTCGTCTCAATTGACCGACATTTACGTCAACAAGTCGTCTGGCAAGATCCACAAGTGGAAGTTTGACATCACAGGGAAGAACAAGATCTCCGACTCGATCAAACAGGCGCTGGATAAGCTCACAGTCACCGCGACCGCTCCCACGACGGTGCTGTTTGTTGAAATCCCGACCAATCCCGACATGAAGGTGCCCGACATAGCTACCCTTGCGCAGCACCTGACGTCGTACCGTAACACCACGGGCAAAGAAGTGCTCTTGCTCGTGGACACGACGTTCGCGCCGGCGTCCAAGGTCCTGCAAAAGATCTCGGCCGTCGCCCCCGATCTCACGACGATGGTGTTTATCAGCATGAGCAAGAGCGTATCCCGCGGCCACACGACCGCCGGTACGATCATCGCCAACACGGCGTCCCCCCAGTCGCGCAAGCTGCTGGAAACGGTACGATGGGCGGGCCAGCTGCTCGACACAACCGCCAAGACGGACCAGCTGTGGCGACTCACCGAGAACCACGTGGGCGTCGAAGACCGCTGCCAAAAGGCGTACGAGGTGGCCGTGACCACCGGCACGGCGCTGCAAGCCGCGGTCGCCAAGTATGCCCATGGCTTCCACATGGACCTGGCGTTCGTGTCGCCGGAAAATGCCGCGCAGGGTTTCACCACGTCCACGTACTCGTTCAATTTGCCGCCGCTGCCGAACGCGACTGCCGAGGCCAACTACGCGATTGCCCAGCGGTTCGTGGACCTGCTCACGGCGCATCCGTCGTTCAAGCCGTGTGTGTCATTTGGCCAAGACAACGGAAAAGTGTACTGCACGGTGCCGTCGACGTCCACCCAGGGCGCGATCAAGGCCGAAGACAAGGCCAAGCAGCTCGTGGGCGGCGTCGAACTCACGCGACTGAGCTTCCCGCCCCACGGCGACGTCCAAGCCATCGTCGCCGTGCTCGAAAACGCAGTCAAGACGATCTACACAGCATAAGCAATATAACCTCTTAACATACTTCGAAGTACATAGTAGTACTAGCCCACACAACAAACAACCGTATCTATGAACTATTAATAGTACTACCTCTGTCCAATAATAAGTGTTCGTATTTCACAAACCCAATTTCCAAGAAAGAATGTTCGTTTTTCATATTTGGATTTTTACAAACCACAAGTTACTCTCCTATTCAGACAATTGAACCAAGCCAAGCGCAGCGACAATGTCGTCATGAACTTCGGTGTCGTTGTATATGGTCAATGCTTCTACTACGTAGTAATCATTCTGATCCTTTAATTTTTCATGGTTTTCCAAAAAAAGGTCGTGACATGTAACAAAATTGTAGACTTTTAAAAGTGTGAAACGGTTTTATGTAACTGTCTGACAAAAGTACGCCGGCAGCACACATGAGCAAGGCAAGTTGTATGACATTGCTCTTGGAGTGACACTGAGTTGCTTCACATTCGTCATATCTTGCCTGTTTGCGTTGAGAATGACTTGGTGGATGTAGATCCGGGTCGTGGTGCGCGTGCGGCCACCATTGCCGTCTGAAAAAGGACACGCGACGGGGGCGTTGGTGGCCGACGCTGCCGCAAAGACCGTTCGAGTCGCGTCCGACTCATCCAAATCGTTTGCGTTTGACCAAGTGTTTGCCGCGTCGGCGTCTCAATACGAGATCTTCCAAGGCGGGGGCATTTCGTCCATGCTCCTTAGTGTCTTGGATGGGTACGCTGGGTCCACACATCCATGTCCAATCCTATCGTAGATTCCACGCCACCATCTTTGCATACGGCCAAACAGGGTCTGGCAAGACATTTACCATGGAAGGCTACGAATACGAGGTGACAGACTCTCATCGTTCATGCGTTGTTGTGGTGACCTTGAAAAGTAGAAGAACCCCATGCGATACAGTCCCGATCGCGTCCAAGCCAAGCCCAACATCGACGTGTGTTCGACGAGGCTAGGAGTACGACAGCATACTCTCATGCAAACATCGTCACATGTTTGGTTTAGATTGTACCGCGAGTGATCTTGGGTTTATTCGACGCCATAGCCGCCGCTACGCTGGACAAGGTAGGCATATAAATAGTTCCATTTGCAAAATAATATATTTGGCTCAGTTTACATGGAGATACCTTATGTAGAAGCGAGAGTACAGCGTCAAGTGCTCGTTTGTCCAAATTTATAACGAACAGGTACTTAAAACTATCGTAATATACTATTTCGTCATCTCACACCCACCTGTACCTGTAACATGGCCTGCAGATCTTGGACCTCCTCAATTTCTCCACATCTCAGCGAACGAAGCCCCTGCGGCTGCGGTGGGCGTCCACCCAGGAGTTTTACGTCGAGAACCTCGTCGTGGCTGCGTGTAGCTCGGCCGACGAGGTACGGAATCATATGACGCACCTTGTCAACATGTATTAGATGCTCGGACGGTTCCAAGACGGCGTCAAGCAAAAGATCATGGCTACGCACAACTTGAACGCGGCGTCTTCGAGATCCCACTGCATCTACACGCTGTACGTGGAAAGCGTGGACCCAACTAACCCCGACGACGTGACCAAAGCCAAACTGTCCCTTGGTACTAACTACTCCTAGTAGATATTAAAAAAACATTCGTCATGTTCACCCCATATCGTGTCATATGTTAGTGGACTTGGCGGGCTCGGAACGGGTGGTCAAGACGGGGGCTACGGGTACGAAGATTGTATTATGAATACTATTGTGCTTTCGAGTGAAATTTCGTGTTGTGGTGTGGTTTCTCGTTGGAATTTAAATCGATTTGATTGGCTACTTCAGATGAGCTCAAAATTATTAGCCAACCAAAACCTTCTCAATGAAATTCAACCAATCAGATCGATTGTGGATCGGTTCCGTCAGCCTCCCTAAATTTGTATCAAATCGACAATATATTATTCACTTAAATGCGTAAATGAACTGAAGTGGAAACACTATTAATAATTGACTACTTACTACTAGGAGTAACGTTGCAAGAATCAATTGGGATCAACAAGTCGCTGTTTGTGCTGCGTCAGGTGATTCAAACGCTCAGCAGCAGCGACGACGGGTCGGCTACAAATAAAGGTGTCCATGTACCGTACCGAGACTCGAAATTGACTGCGCTGCTTAAGCACAGGTACAAGATGACAATGTTCATCGTGGCCATCATGCTATATATATATATATACAGTATATATACCGTCGTTTGTGTAGTCTTGGCGGCAACAGCATCACACTCATGATCGCATGTCTGTCGCCCAGCGATGCGTACGTCGATGAAAACTTGAGTACGCTCGTGTACGCAGCCAAGGCGCAAGTATGTACCCATAATGTCCCTTGTTGCTAATGCGATATGGTTAGTCCATCTCGAACAAACCAGTCAAGAACGAAGACCCGAAAGCTCAGCTGATCCAGAAACTAAGGGACGAAGTGGCGACGTTAAAAGCCCAGCTGGCCCAGGTATAAATAAATATATGTGATAGATCACAAAGCAGCAAAACATTGTCTACAGTAGTATCTCATTACTATGTTATATATATAGGCGCAACAAGTGATTTTGCACCTGGGGCAACTTGGCGACCAGAACGACAACGTGGAAGCTACTGGTGCAATCTCGTTGTTGGCAGATGTTACCCCTTCCGCGGACGAAGTTCCCCCTGTTATGAAACCCGTGATGGCCCACACTAGGCCAGCTAGCTCACTGGCAAGTCCAAGCCCCAGCAACAACCCAGCGACCCCATCGGTTCAAGCGTCTCCACCCGCGGCGGTCACCTCCGTGGTCGTGAGCTCTGCCGGCACCAAACGACTCAAGCAGAACGTGATTGACAATGTCGAGCTGATCAAAACCATGTATCAGGTGGTTGGATATCTCAGTTGTATTTCAGAAGCATGATGCAATCAATATGCGTATGGGGAATTAGAACGAGCGGCAACTGCGAAGCGAAGTGGACTTCGTGACGTCGGAAGTTAGTACCGTGCGGATGGAAAACCGGACCCTCAACTTGGAGAACCAGTCGCTCCGTGAGGTTGGATTGGACGGGGGCATGATGGAAGGATTGACATTATGATGATGGCGAGTAGCGCATCGAAGTGCTCGAGTACTTGGTCGTGGGTGGAGCTAAGGGCCCCGAAGACAATGGGGACGTAGAGGGCGTTGTGGAGCTGGTGGCCCCGCCCCAACATCGTATCGACCAAGTCTTGCGAAGTTGCGTCAAGTCCAGCCGATCCCAGGCAAGACAAAACAGTGCTAAGGGGAAGGAATTGATTATTTACTGACAAGTATTCAATGACGATGTAGGGAGCTCTACGACCTGCCACAACGCATGATGCTGAGGCCCCGAGGAACAATGCACCGGACATGAAGAAGCGCGAGACTGGCATGCTCTCCGTGCGAAAGCGACTGCTGTCTACATCACCTGACCTTAATCCGTAGATCAGTGAGCTTCGACATCTCCTGCATAAAAAGTATGTCCTTCACAGTGATATATTGATCGTGTTAAACACACATGCACAGAGTTGATGACAAGGGAAGTAAGAAGCGAAGCAGTGCGAAGGTAGCTCCACCGCCGCCGGTTCCATCCCATGGTGGTCGATCTGTCGCAGTGGAGCATCCTGTGGTGGCCCTGTTGTCCACGTTGGAGCCTCAAGGGAACAACTCCGCCTTAGAGCAAGGTCTGTCTGTCCACCCCAAACTCTTCCTTCATGGCCTTAACTTCGTCGCAGACTCCCTGCAGTCGCTCTCGGAGCTGAATCGGCTGCTCAAGGTCAAAGCCGCGTTGAAGCACAGTACCAGTTCGCGCTAAAATATCACAACATCAACGGATTTGCCAAAATAATGACAACAAAACCCCAATATTTGGGAGATTTCGCTAAATAGTTGTGGTTGCAGGTTGCCACAATGACAAACTGACCAATAAACGCTCGGTAATTTATCCGGATACGGATACGAGTTCCGCGAAAGTATCTTGCGGTGGGTGCCAGAATGTCCATGGCGCAATATTGCGTCATTTTCCAAATTGCGATCTTTAGCGACAAGATATGGCGACTGGCGGCGGCAAGAAACTCTGGGGCGGACGATTCAGTGGGGAGCTGGACCCTGTGATGAACAAGTTCAACGAGAGCTTAAGTGTCGACAAGCGCATGTGGGCGGCGGACATCCGCGGGAGCAAGGCGTATGCGTCGGCGTTGCGAGCCGCGAACGTGATCACTGTCGAAGAGAACGTTGTCATCCAAGACGGATTGAACAGCGTCTTTGCAGAATGGGAGAATGGAACGTTTGTCATCGTCGCGGGCGACGAAGACATCCACACGGCGAACGAACGCCGCCTCACGGAGTTGATCGGAAGTGCCGGCGGCAAACTCCACACCGGTCGAAGCCGCAACGATCAAGTGGCGACCGACATGCGCATCTACTTAAAGGACGCAATTACAGGACTATCCCATCAGCTCAAGGAGCTAATCGGCGTCGCGGCCCAGTTGGCGGAAAGTAACATCTCCCTGCTCATGCCTGGCTTTACGCACCTTCAACCTGCGCAGCCCATTCGCTTTGCCCACTGGGTAATGTCCCACGTGGCGGCATTGCAGCGGGACGCCGAACGTCTCGAGGACTTGGTCAAGCGCGTCGATGTGTTGCCGTTGGGGAGCGGGGCGTTGGCAGGTAGATACACATTCCCCACCTCATGTCGCTTGTGTGTGAGTGACGGGATCGCATGTCGTAGGCAACTCGTTTGGGATTGACCGCGCTCTGATTGCGAAGGAGTTGAACTTTGGGCGCATTTCCCCCAACAGTCTGGTACCATTCATTGCTGCCCTCTCAAGCACATGTCTGAAGGAGGACTCTGGCAGGACGCGGTGGGGGATCGCGACTTTATAGTTGAATTCTTGTTCTGGGCGTCGATGACCATGATTCACTTCTCGCAACTGGCGGAAGATCTGATCATTTACAACACGTTGGTATGTCTATCTCTTTGCCGTGGTATCATCTCAACCATCTCATGCTGCTGGCATTAGAAATTCGTCACCATGGCGGACGCGTACAGCACAGGCAGCAGGTAACTAGCTGGCTACACACATACAGCAGATGCTAACTAACGAGTGCACCCACTCTGGATGGCGGCTAGCTTGATGCCGCAGAAGAAGAACCCCGACGCCCTCGAGCTGCTCCGGGGCAAGTCTGGCGCGGTCATCGGTCGTCTCAATGGCCTCATGATCACTCTCAAAGGTATTAGCTAGTACTACTACCTACGTAGTCGTTGAAGACACTTTGAGTTTGAACTAACAAGGTTGATGGATGGACAGGACTGCCTCGATCGTACAACAAGGATTTGCAAGAAGACAAGACCGCGCTGTTTTACGTGGTTGACACGATGGTCGACTGCATTCAGATCGCCGCGGGCGTGCTGGCGACTTTGACGCCCAACGCCGCCAAGATGCGCGGGTTCTTGGTCACGGAGATGCTGGCGACGGACTTGGCCGAGTACTTGGTGCGTCGCGGGGTTCCGTTTCGTGAAACCCATCATGTGGCAGGTACAGTTCATGGAGGCATATTGGTTGGATATGAATATGCTGGTAGGCGCGGCGGTGCGACTGGCGGAAGACGCCAACAAACCATTGAGCGACCTGACGCTGGCAGAGTTGCAGTCGCTGCATCCTGAATTCGAGCCAGATGTGATGGACATTTGGAATTATGAAGCCAGCGTCGAGCGCAAGAACGTCCCTGGGGGCACGAGCGAGTCGGCCGTCCTCAACCACGTCCGCGATGTCAAAGCCTGGATTGCCAAGTAACTCCGTGTTAGTGTAGCCTACTTAACGCTACTCGAGGTTTTGCCAAGATGGCTCTGTTTGTCCTGTGGAGCTTTGCCACGTGTCGTTTCTTACTGGGGCCTTCTGGTTGGAGAAGGCTTGTAAGTAGTATATAGTAGTACTAGTGTATGCACAACCCAATGCATTAGTACAGTCACACTCGTGCAGCTGGTGGTGGTGGGCGCAGGAGGCCGCGCTTGAGTGCCGCCGTGACATGCTGCTTCTTGATCACCTACCCAAGACGAGTAGTTGGTAGATGACTTTCACCTAGTAATCAAAATCGTCGTACGGTGGCGGTGGGGTCGCCCTGCAAAAACACTTGCCACACTTGGCCCACCTAGTAGCAGCATGTGAGTTGCTTGCACTGGTCATCAATCTCCACGGTCACACATCGGCTCGACAAGATCATACTTGATGGGGCGTGGGGGTCCGCTGCAGCACCCGTTGGAGGAACCGCTTGAGGTCGGCTCGGTCGACGTACCCCTTGTGGGTCGGGTCCATCTCTTGAAAGTCGCAGTGTGCCACGACCAGAGGCCATAGGTCCTGCGGCACCCCCGCCAAGTGCCGGACGAACGCGCCGACGTCGATCCACATTTCATGGTGCATGGTCACTCCGAAGCGGTGGCACATCACTTGGTGCTCCCACGGCATCCAGTCCACGGGAAACATCTAAGTCGATTTAAAGGTCGTTTTGTTTGGTGGGGAATATAATTGCACTACCTCCCCGAGTGCCCGTTGAAAGTCGGGGTGCCACCGCAGGTACCCCCGGCGGGAGGTAGTAAATCGCGCGAACGTCTCGGCCATGTCCTCTGTCCATATTCGATCTCTCATTAGATCCCTCTTTGCCTTACTATATGAATATGGATATAGATGTATGTATGTACCTATCGAATGCGTCGTGACGTTGCGCAGTCGCGACCAATCAAAGAGACCGTCCAATATACTCTTGAGGTTCAACCGGTTGTGTTTGCCCCTGCGACGACGGAATCAGAATCAGGTTTCGATGACGTGATCACATGTACGTGGCAAAACGTCGAAGCGCCCTCTGCAGTTGCACAAACGTGATCAATTCAAGCGCTTCGAGCTCCCTCCACAACACCTACTTGATAGGATAAAGCATCTCTTCGAATCACACAGGCCATGACATGTTACCGCTGTCGCATTGTCAAGAGGCACGAGGCCCGCGGCGTCGCTCACGTCACTCAACGTCAACAAATCGATCTGAGACACAGGGATAACGTCACAAGTAACATAGTGTGCACACCTAACGTACTTGTCGGTATTGAATGATTTCTCGAAGTTGCTGCAACACGGCATCGTCTTGTGGGGTGGTTTTGGAAGGACTGTGGGGACTTGGGTGTCGATGCGGTTGGAGTTTCGTGGAACGCTGGACTGGATGATCAGGAAACTTACACAGCAACTTGCCTGGTACCGTCACATGGGGGCTGATTAATTTGGATGGATGTGATCGACTGGGCGATGTCGAGTGCGCGCGCTTTGCGGCAGTGTACGTGCCGTCGTAGGGCGTCGATTCAAGGCGACAGCGGGGGGTCGACGATCGGAACGGATAGACCGGGGCGTGCTGCGAACGTTCTAGGAACGTTCCTGTCGAAGATGCAAGGAACGATGCAGGAAACAGCCGCGTCAACAGATCGTGACCGTCCACGTGGCCATCCTGAATATCAACAACATCCAATGAGAGACTCCAATATGACACCCCTCATTATACCGATTTCGCAAGCACACGGTGGATCCATTGAAGGTCCGAGGGCGTGAGCAACGTGCCCAGAACTCTCTGCAGGTCCGACGCCGTGACCAAACACCTTGAACGCATTATGAGACATGGTTTGCTGTACGATAAGAAGGGACGCCTACCGACTTGGATGGGTCGACAGTTTGCTAAATATGCGCTCCAGTTGGTGAAAAACCACTTGGCCCTTGGCCGCGTCGTCGTGGCACAGCTGATGCCGCAGGGTTTGCCATCGACTGTCGTAGCTATGGGATGTTCTTGAAATGAGGGATTTGCCAGGCAATACAATATGGTATGTTGGTACCCCTCGGTAGAAGCACTTCCCAACACAGCACACACGTCCTTGTATGCCACGCGAAGGTCGGGCTACGTATACAACTCCACGTCGGAATGGGCCCACTATACGATAGATCATTCCGACCTGCGACAATTGGCGCACGCCTGCTTCAATCTCGAGCTGCGTCAGCGCCACGTTCGGCAACGCGTGCAGCACCGACACGCATTCTGGTCAACGCAGGATAAGTGTGTCTGAAAAGGCCTTGCAGGGGCGAAGTCGATAGAAACGCGCACCGCTGAGGAGAATCCACCCGTCGTCTTCCATGTCAAACATGGCGCATTGGGTTTCCAATTCGTCCGCAGAAAGGTGCTGCAAGGCGTCGCGAAGTCTCTGAACCGCCGGATCCAACGCCCCCCATGGCAGTTGCATCTGCAATATATCGCACTTTTACAACTAATACGACAAATCGAACGTACGGCCACGAGGAACTGCCGGGTGCGCACCATGTCTGGCGCGGTTGGGTCGCAGAATGGCTGGCAAAACTCGTAAAACGCTTCGGCCCCCATCTACCGCAGAGTCATGACGACTACTCATGAACGATCATATGCTGCTCACGTACGTCCCAGTGTGGAGCACTGTCCACCACCCGATCAAACAGGTCTGGGATGCGGATGCGAGCCGTGTGTCGAAGCGAGTCCTTGGAATATCACGGATAACCATTCGTAGTTCAAAGCGATGGTGTACCTCCAAGGCAGCGACGCCATAAGCCCCCAGCGCATGCACGATATCATGGCGTGACTAGAAGCAAATTTTAATATAACCAAGCCCAACACCACAAGAAGAAATAGCAGCCCACCCGTTCTCCGTCGTCGGCATTGTGGCTCGTTGGTTCCGAGTCCCTCGTGGTGTGCAAAGGGGGAGGTCGCGTCTTTGTCATCGTCGCGCCGCTGCCTTTGGGCCTACATGAATAGATAGTACATGTCCCCTCCATCAGCCTCCCTCATTTGCCTGGTAATTCGTACCAAATGGAGGTCAGGGCGGCGTCGACGTTGACATGGTCGTCGTCTTCCATGAATCGCATCCAAAAGGCCTGGGTGAACTAAGTCAGGCAAGCAAACAGCATGATTTGTTTCGAGTACCTTCATGGACGCATCGAGGGGATCGTGTAGTTGGGACTGGGGCTCAATGTACGCCAATGCTATGGAACGATGCAGAGTTTACGGCAAAGAATGACAAATGGACAAACCTAGGGCTAACTGATCCCACGGGACTTGGCTGCCGTGGTATGAGCCTCTCAACTGCCGCAGTAACTGGGCGTGTGTGATACTGGGGTGGCGCTCTTGCACTCGTGCCAACCACGCACTGGGGTGGTCTCGCGATCGTTGGGGGGACGACGACGGCGACCTCTACCATGTCATGAGAACCTCAAAACACAGTAGTTCCATGTTCAAGGTGTACGTACCATTGGGGATGGAGGATGTCGGTGCGGCGCAGTTAACGCCCTTGAAGCGTTTCGGATGGAGTTTCATCAACGTTACGTAGATAATGAGTCGGCAATGACAACGACATCGTACTATTTAATCGTGTCGGCAATGTCGAGTCCACGAGATCGAGCTGCCTTCTACGAAGTGGCCCCCTTAAACAGTAGCCGGGGGACACATAGCCAGCACTTCAATGGAGTAAACTACAGCCGATATGGTCACACCCCTCGAAGCATTGACGACATGCTAATGGAATGATGGATAAACTGTAACTGACGTAACCGAGTGATGACTTTTGACATGAGCATATAAATTACGAATGTGTTTCCTTGAAACTGCTGCCTTCAGACCACACGACCGTTCACGACGATGTCGAAACGCTTTCGATTGTTTCATTTTGGCAAATCATGGCTACCACACACTTGGGAAACAACGAACGGCGCAACTTGAAGTGGATAGATTCGTTTACAGCTCCCCTATTGGATGAGTGGGACACTTCCACCGACGCCGACTCGCCAAGCCTCCACCACTACCGCAAACAGCCATCGCCTTGGATCAAGGTATTATTCCTATACGTATAGTCAACGAAGCACTCTAAACCTCCCGCTTTGAAATAGTCCTATCACGACCTGTACGCTTCCGCCTGGGAAGCTGCTGCGCGTATGCACGAGTCGTCTGCGTATCGCCTCCAGCGCCAAATGGAACACTTGACGCACCAAGTTCACACTGACATGCAATCCCTCCACGACCGGTTGGACAATGTCCTCGCCAACGCGGACGACGACGTGAAGGCGCAGGCTCAAACCCCGACGGAAGACTTGCTATGCTTGGGATCGCCTCCCCAGCAGCCAGCCCTCCTGCCTTCTTGGGTCCAAGTTCAGCCTCCTGTCGAACATGTCTCGGTGGACGAATTCCAAAGGCAGCTGGACGAGTTTTCCAATGATCAAACCAATCAACTAGTCGAACAGCTGGCCCTCCATGATGCAAAGTGGATGGGGGTACTGGACCAGTTTGAAAAGAAGCTCCTGCAGTCTCTTGCCATCAAAACGCACGAACCTCTTAGTCCCAAGAGTACCGTCATTGGTGTGAACAATCAGGCCGACATTTACGAGACAGAGTCCGACCATTCTGGTGCTGCCGACGAGGGCAAATCGGTGGAAAGCGATGCTTGGCACGATGAGGACTGTCCAGAATGCAATCACAACGTGGACGACGAATGGCAAATGTTGTGATGAATCAAGAATATGGTCGAAGCTTCCAATATCGAGATATGAACCATCCATCGTGTTGGATCGCTCGCATTATGGTAATGTTAGATGTAATTTTGTTGTGGGTCCTAATCTATACTGTACTCTTATGCAAGTGTGAGAGCTAGAGTCTGTCGTTACCAGTAAACGATGTGTACATACCGGTACATCTAACCTTGTACTTGCCTGTATTCAAGGTGAGTAAAGTATTGGGATCACAAAAGACGCCGTTTTGGGCTCGAAGCATTATTGATAGATACGCGCTGAAATCTAGGAAAACTCTAGTGCAAAACCTCTCTCCTGTACTGTATACTAATGGTAGTAGAAAGGTTTTGCTCTCGTGCTACTTACCTCAATTCCCATAGTAATTGGTGGCAGCATCATGGGAATGTTAATGTGCTCCATATAACTTTCGAAGTGTGGACTGCCAACGAGTGAGCTATGTTACGACTGATTGTGTAGGCGAAGCAATCATGTTCAAGTGTCTTCATGGAAGCAGTCAAGTCACAACAGCCGAGTCATCCCCACACTTTCTCCAACCGCTCTGTGCGATGATACAAACGTCACCACATCGTGCCACGTGTCTTTACCCAACATTTGTACCGTATGCAGGAAGTTCAAATTTGAAGTACTGTACGAATCATATCCGGGTACATATCCGGAATGCTCGTCCTTTTTATCGACAGTGAGAGAGAGGATATGCGCCTTACCGACCAAGCTGCGCGTGCTTTGCTTGTGAGACATTGAGGTTTCCAGGTCGTGAACTCATGCGACTTGTAGACACGGCTTCCGCACAAACGTTACGGTGATGCACCACCAAGTGCGGGGGTTTCGTGAAAGCTTTGGCGACGGAGCCGAGTTTTTCTACGTGAACGGCCCGTTTCCGGCGAACGGGCCAATGGAAGACGCTATCGAGGCCAAGTTTGGTTCGTCCGCGCCATTCTTCGAGTGGTTTCGAGGGGATCCAGTAGAAGGCGATGACAACACAGGTACCCGATATGTCGGTTGGGAGCACTCTGTCGCTTACTTGCTGCGCCACCTCAACACCCACAAGCCGTACAACATTGTGCTGGGCTTTTGCCAAGGCGGTATGATGGCGACGCTCCTTGCAGCGCACTTTCAAGCCGACCACACGCCATTTCCATTCAAAGCCGTCGTGTGCGTGGGGGTTGTGAGTCCTCCACTGGATGGAGTAGCCCCATCGTTGAACCTGGGGCTGTCGACAACAGGAAAGACTCCAAGGGGTGAACTCAAGGTGCCAGCAATGATCGTGTTGGGGGAAGCCGACCCGTTCTTCCACACTGGCAAGTACCTCGTCCACGTATACGACAAGGCCACTCGGCGCTACTTTGTCCACGCAGAGGGCCACAAGTTCCCCAGTGTGAAGAACCATCATGCCCTGTACGACGAAATCGTCACCACGTTGTGCCACGTATGTTCTCAAAATCGTTAAAACTGAAACTCAATTTTGACTGTTGCCTCAATTATTATCCGTATCCGGATAAACCGATATTGAAACTTCGACGGGCGCCACCATGAGCAACCTACCGGTAGTGCGGAAACTGCGAGTTCTCTGCTTGTACGTGAAGCACAGATGTATGAGCTTTGCACTTTGACCATGCAAGTAGACATGGCTGGCGCACGAGCACCGGTGTCATCTCTCTCCAAATCGCGGGGTTTCGCCAAGCGTTTGGTCCCACGAAGGCCGAATTCGTGTCAGTGAATGCGCCGTTCCCAGCGTCAGGTCCGGCGCAAGAGGACATCCGCAAGTTCTTTGGCGAAAAGGGTCCGTACTACGAGTGGTGGGATGCAGTGAAGAACCCAGACACCCAGAAAACAGAGTACCATGGATGGGAGCAGTCCGTCGCGTATGTCCAGCGTCAAATCGACGAGTTGGGGCCGTTTGATGTAGTCCTGGGCTTCTCGCAAGGGGCTGCCCTCACCACATTGCTCACAGCGCACTACCAGAAGCACCAGGGTTCCTTTCCGTTCAAGGCCGTGGTGCTGGTATGTGGCTTGGTGCCAAGAGACGGCCTGCCTGACGACACTCGACCCCTATTGGACATTCCGTCGCTCCACATCTTGGGGGAGCAAGATCCAATGCTACCCTTGGGCCACCAACTGCATGACATTTTCACTCCATCACATCGCAGTTTGCATGTTCATCCGGATGGCCACCGATTTCCAGCACTGCCAAAGCACAAGCCCATGTATGTGGCCATGGCCCACTTTCTTCGCCAAGTGATTAACGAGTAATACATACTAATTAATGGTAAAAGGCAGTCCTTTCGATGCACATACTACATACAGTACACACATTTGCTATCCGGAAAGACATCAGAGGGTATCCGGATATTATGGCAACTTGAAGGTGGCATTTCAAATTCGGGCGGCGGAGGCTGGCAGCATCATCTGCGTCCAAGATGTCGAAGCTGCGTATCCTGTGTCTGTAAGTGCAATATGTCGTGGTCTCGCCGTGAATGTTATTTGGATGATGTGTAGTCATGGAAGCCGGACCAATTCGGACATTATTTCGATGCAAGTGGCGGGTTTTCGCCAAGCATTCGGCAACACAGCAGACTTCGTGGTGGTCGATGCCCCATTTCCTGCCTCGGGTCGTCCCGAACAAGGCATCATCGACTTTTTCGGGGAAGAAGGACCGTACTTTGAGTGGTGGGAAGCGTTTGAGCGAACGAAAGTCAACTATCCTGGCTGGGGAGAGTCCCTGGCTTACCTCCAAAACGTCGTGAACACCCAAGGGCCTTACGATATTGTGCTGGGGTTTTCCCAAGGCGCTTCCGTCGCGACCCTGCTGACAGCGCATTACCAAGCCAAGAACCAGAAGATTCCGTTCAAGGCGGTTGTGCTGGTCTGCGGCCTGTGCCCGCGCGATGGCATGCCGCAGCACCTTCTGGTGGAGCCTGGAACCACCAAGTACGACTTGAAGATCCCTTCGATCCACATCCTGGGCGCGAAGGACGACATTTTCGACCTCAGCCAAGACCTTGTGGAAGCTTATTCGCCCTTGGGTCGCCAAGTTCATGTGCACTCGGACGGCCATCGGTTCCCTCCGCCGTCTACCTCCCGCCCCTTGTACAACGAGATTGTGGACAAGCTTCGAAGCATCTGCGCGTTAACGACGGTCTAATGCGGGTATAGTGACACGCATTTGTCGATGCGCCACGTAATACTACTGTACTAAGTAGTACTGTGCTCCGAGTATTTCGTGCCAGATGAACAGCAATTTATGGCGTTGCTTACATGTACGGATAAACTGCAACGTCCGGATAAATCGCAAATCGCACACGTCGCTTGACCATGTATGACATCAAGGTGCAATTCACTTGCAATCGTGCCACCACCCGCCTTCATGTCGACTAGTTGCTTGCAGCAAAGGCTTCGTATCCTATGCCTGTGCGAACCATCTTCCATGCACGTCCATTGATCTCATGCAAATGTACTTGATGTAGTCACGGAGGTCGTACCAACGGAACCGTGGTCTCGCTTCAAGTCTCCGGCTTCGTGCAGGCATTTGGACCCGCCGCTGATTTCGTCGAGTTGGACGCACCATTTCCGGCCTCGGGGCCTCCTGAGGAAGATATTCTGAACCTTTTCGGCGACGACGAGCCGTACTTTGAATGGTGGGATGCCAACCACCACACGAACGCAGTTTATCCTGGGTGGGAGCGGTCGTTAGAGTTCCTGAAACGGGAAATCACAGCGCAAGGACCGTTCGATGCGATCATCGGGTTCTCTCAAGGCGCAATGATGGCCACCCTCTTGACGGCGCACTACTTGCAGAAGCACTGGGTTCCTTTCAAGGCCATTATCTTGGTCTGTGGAATGTGGCCGCAAGATGGCATGCCGGCCATCAAAGAGTCCCCAACCACCGGCAAGCCGTTGCTCAACTTCCCGTCCTTCCACGTCCTGGGCGAAAAAGACTTCATGTACGAAGATGGCAAAGCCCAAGTCGAGTACTTCTCGGCATCTTCCCGTCACGTGTACACCCACGACCAAGGCCACCGTTTCCCCCCGTTGCCTCAATCCAAGGACATGTACAAGGACATCGCTGACAAGGTCCGACGCGTCGTCGCAGCTGCCAGGGCGACCGATGTTTGAACTCCAGTATTGTTCACCGAATTTGTCATCTAGTTACCTAAATAGAAAGTGCATGTCATTTGTTTGATTCATCCGGATACCACCCCATCCGGATATGCAGCTTTCGACAGAATAAACTTCAGTTCGCCAGACAGGGAGAGAGATGGACACCGCCACGGCGGCTTCTTCTGGCGGGGCGATTCCGCTATCACCTTCGTTCCTCGGCGCAGATGCATCATCGATCGGTCTGGACTTTCACGGGGCCACTCGAAAGAGGAAGGTTTCAGACATCGACTTGCCGTTCGTGCAGCCGCCGCCGTTGTCAGCGGAGAATTCCGGGAACAGCGCAAGCAACAGCAACAACGGAACGCTCACGGCACGGGCAGAACCGGGCAGCTTCCGAATCAAGATACAGCGCTCAACTCCTCGGCAAGGCGGTGGACGCGTTCCAACTCCCCCGGCTGTGCCTTCAAACACCATGTCAGGGTTCTCCTATCCCGCCATGCAGTTGAACTCGTTGCCGACCCTTATGCCACAGCAATATCCTCCAGGGATGCCCACGATGCCCAACACATATATGCCCAACCACCTCATGGGAATAAACCCCCACCCGATGCACTTTCAAGGCCACATGATGCAGCCGAACCCTGCTACGTACGTGCCGACCTCGTTAGGCCTGCCACCACCTCCGCAATCCCTCGCTCTGGCTCCCCAGGACTCCCTTCTCGGCAACGAAGGTCAAGACTTGGGACCACCGCCTCCCGCGCCACCACGCATGGCCGTGGAACATTCGCTCATGGGTGGCGGCATCGAAGTGCAGCCTGTCCGAGCTGTGGACACACGCAACTTCGACTGGAATCGACGGGCGGCGGCAGCAGCAGCAGCCGCCGCGTCTTCTGCCAACGTCATCTCCGAAGACGACGAACAAGATGAGCCGTCAGGTCGACCGCGGTCTGAAAGCCTGCCAAACATAAGTCTCGGGTTCTTGGACGGGCTCACGCTGCATAGCGAATCGTCGTTTTTTAAAGAAATATAATCGTAAAAATCTAAAATGACATGTTGAACTTATTCGATTTTGTGCAAAAGCCACAAATCGTCGCCGAGAAAATGGCCCAATTCGACGGCAACGCCCTTGTTGATGCTCTTGCTACAAGACACACGCATGAGATCGAGACAAGGTGGAAGAATATGGGGTGGGATGTATGTACATGTTGGCGGTGGACATTTGCATGATGCCGACGGCCATCGCCAGCTCCTTGCCTTCTGCCATGATGGCGACGGGCTCGCCTTCTTCGATTACTTCGGGGAGGTCGCCGCCCTTGGACGTCAACCCTGGCGCCATGATGTTGGCACCAGACAACACGTACGGAATGGCACCCTTGTCGGCACGGATCACCTTCATCAATGTAGGCAATTTGTGCAACAACTTCAGCGTGGGCAAGAATGGCCCATCTCGCATGTTGAAGAAGAGAGGAGTTCCGTCTTCTGCGCACACAAGTTGCAGGTGCTCCGTCCCCGAGCATTTCGCGACGAGGAGCGGCGACTTCTTCGGCAACAAGAGTTCCATCAACTCCCCGTCGTTTTCTTCCAGCAACGGGTATTGCTCGCTAATGCGCTGGCAGATCTTCCGCTGCACGGACGTCTTCACTTTGCTGATGTTGGACACATGCTCGTCCACAGAGAAGCGCTTGAACATGGTAATGGCCGAAGGAGCGAATATGTCTGGTGCTGTCGCGGTGCCGGTTAATGTATTATCCGGATTAGGTTCATCTATTAAGTTCCAAATAGATAACACCGCAAAAAACCTGTTCACAATTTGGAAGGGCAGATGTCGGCAAAGGGACAGTACGCGCAGCCCATGAACGATGGCACGGCGTCGAATTCACGTCTGCGAATCTTCTGCACGGTGTCTACGACCACTTGAAGGATGCGTTCGTCGTCCATCGGATCGTACAAGACGATTCCTTCGTCGTTGAGCCCGTGGGACGTCTCGAGCGACCGAAGCGCTCCTCCTCTCGGCGGCACCCCATACACACGCGCATACGCTAGCATGTACAACTGAAGTTGCAAACTCGATTCGGCTAGCGTTTGGTTGTTGCGGGGTCCGTCGCTCAGGTTGGACTTGAACTCGACCACGTACGTGCCACCGTCATCGTGGGATGTTTCGAGGCGATCCCACACTCCTACGGCATGCATCCAATGTCACATACTCTGCATGGACATGAGAACGAGGGACAACGTCTTGCCTTTGAGACGAACGTTGGCTTCGGGAAGATCAACGTCAAAGGGCAACTCGACCGCGCGAATGTGACCCCGAGGACTTGATGTTTCAAACGCGATAAACGACAGCAGGGTGTCTGTGGCTTGTGTCATCAGCAGCTCCTCTTCGTCCTTGGATCGAAAGCACCCCGATTCCCAGGTTGACGTGAGTGCGGTCATCGCAGTCTACCAACGATCTAGACTCACGCCAACACTCTTGACGTTTGTACCTCGATGGCATGTGGAGATGGTGCAGCCAGACTCCACGCTGCAATACCCTCATGAAGACTTCGCCCGTACACCAGGCCTGGGGCGTTGGACGGCTCGATCTTGAGCACGCGAGACAGGTAGTATCGGTGCGGACATCGCATGTACTCGTCCAACTGGGAGAACGAAATGTGCTCCAACGGGTACATTCCATGCTTCGGGTCGTCCTTGTGGATGGTTTTCGACGAGGAGGCGGCAGGATGCAAAGTCGGAGATTGCCACAACGGGGCCACAATGCTACAGTATTATTTATGAATGAAATAAATGAAATAGATGAAACAACTACCGACTGGGAGTGTCCCCTGATGCAGTAAACACAATCCTCGTCTTGGCGCACAGCATCAAGTGACTCAGGCGCTCTTTGCACGTGTCCAAGAACTCCTTCCGCTTTGTCACAGACGATGTCGCATGTGTCCAACTTGACTCGACCAGCGCCGTCGGCAGCGTCGAAATGAGGCTCGACTCGCGCGGTTTTCGGCCTGGAAACGCCTTGTCCGTCATGCCGGCAAACACGACCGTGTCGGCCTAAGTGCTGAGAATGATCGTTTTGTGGACGTAGTCGCCTCGTACGGAAAAGTGGCGCGCCTCCGCCGTCCTGATCGACAGCACGAGCACCCGACCTGCCTCAACGTCGTCCTCCTTGGGCATCAGCATGCGACCGTTCTCCCAAAGCAGCTGCAGATACGGAGCCACAAACGGCACGTGCTCGGATTTGGCCGTGCGCTGGGCATCGCCGACGACTTGAAAGTACGCGGCTAGCGCTTGCGACGCCGCTGCGTCATCCTCCGAGGACGGCGACAGGAGCGAGTCCAACTGGCCTACACGATTGATTGCTCTTTGTGAGATACATGTTGGCCTACGTCAAGATGGGAGTGGCCGAGGAGTAGTAGTAGTAGTAGCTACCCGTCTTGGAGAAGAACGTGTGCAGGAGCTCGAGGCAGGTCGACGTCATCGATTGCTCCTGCAAGTGCGAAAACACAGTTACAAAGGACTGCACGGCGGCCGTACTGGCGGCATCCAGGGCGAAGGGCAGAGAGGAAGAAGGGTCGGCTGCTGATGCTGCTTGCACGAGCACATCGAAGAGCGGTACGTGGCTACAATCATATGGCTAGCATGCAGCGTAAACAAATAAATGGCTACCGTTTGCGCTGACATTCCATGAGAGCAGCCAGTGTCGTGGGAAGGACAGGCCACGGAGAAGTCTGAAGCAGGCGGAAAATGTACTTGGACGATGTGGACGGGTTTGCGAGAGCTTGGAGAAGTGCGTGGGCGCTCTGGACGGCTGCGTGCTCGAACATGTTCCCGGGCTCGAACGAGTGGACGTCCGGGAGGCCTCGGCTGCGCAGCGCCGCCAGAATCACCGGCACGTCTGTGCGGTCTGCACATACAACAGCCACCGTCTACCCATCATGATCAGCATGCTCATAAACTTGACCATCCTTCATATGTGTACATTCTAAAGGACGAGAACTCTGAAGTCAAGAGAGCAGCACATTACAAACCTCGGTGGGATCGATAGAGGCCACGTGGTCTGCAATGAATTGCACTTCGTCGCAGATGGACGTAAAGCTATGGGTTGTAATACTAGAGTTGGGAGGGGAAATCGGTCCGGAAGGCGAGGAACGGATGGCCAGCGCAGCTTGTACAATGGACGGCGCACACTGGACGTTTGCCGTGAGCTTGGTATGGCTCCATGCTAGTGGTATTCGTGGGGAAGTACTACTACTATCGGTTGCCTCCATACATCTACGCACAGAAACGCATGTGCTAGTTACTACGGGGACGTCAATAGTGACATGTTACTGTTGGAGTGTGACAGTGTTGGCACTGGGACGTGTGAACGCGACGCAGCGCTGCTTGGCCGAAGCCAGAACCACACGACTGAGCACCTACATGCCAAGATGCAAATTGTAAACTAACTAGTAGGTTTTGGAAAACAGATCGAAGTTACTATCCCTCAAAGCAAGCATGAACTAACTAGTAGTAAGAAGATGTATTTCTCGTACCTTGATCATCGCGGGTGTCATCGCGTGCAGGTCGTCCACGAGGACGCGGTCGAACGAGGTTGCCGCCGCATGGAGGTAGAACAGATGCTCCGCGACGTGGCCGAGGGTGTCCAAGATGGATCCGTGCCACGTGTTCACGTTGTGCTGAAGTAGCAGTGCTCGATAGGACTCATAAGATGCGCTCAAGTCGGTCTGCTTGGCGGCAAAGTCGGCAAAGACGTCGGGCGACATGGTGTAGGCATTGGGGTCTAGGCCACGAACGAAATAAGAGTACTCTTGGGGGGAAATGCCATGGCGTTCGAGGTGTCGGAAGAACGTCAGGAGGTCCTTGATGGCGCCATGGAGCATCGGAGGAGACTTGTACGTCGATCGAAGCGGCGGGTACGGAATCGCGTCCAGGTGCTGCATGACGAACGCGCTCGTTTCCGAGTAGTTCATGATCTTCTACGTGGGTTTCATATGGGAAATGTATTCATGGAGGACCTGTCGTACCTGAGTGGAGGCGATGCCGACGTCGTCGTTGTACGTCTGGCACCATTGCGCGAAGGATTGGACTTGCAAGTGGGGATGCGCATCTAGGTAGCCCAATGGCACTTGGTCCTGCACATGGCGAAGCATCGGAATAGACGAAGAAGACGACTCGGACGGAGGTGCAAACACCAGCGTTGGAACCAGCAAATTGCCAGCATCCAGGAGAAACGACGCGGCACACACGCTCTTTCCTGTGCCCGGCTCTCCCTCGATGATCGCGATCTTCCTAGATGTGGCCATGCGCTGCTCATCCAAGACATTCTGCTGGTCCGAGGACAGCAAGAACCTTCCTCGTTCACCCATCGACCCAAACCATCGGCGCCGCCATCCCAAGTGGCGCGTCGACGAGCGCAACATTATTATTGCGGCAAATAATCCGTATCCGGATATTCGGATAAAATTGGTCAAAACAGCATTTTCATATTATGGGTTTCCTGGAGTTTACTCCCAGCGGCAAGCGCGCAACGCGTCAATCAACTGGGCGGACGTCATGGCAGACATGGACGTGGACTCGTCCATGCGCATGGGAGTGGCTTCGAAAGGAAGGGCGGGAATGTACTCTCCTAGCAGAAAGCAACGCAGGAACTTGCCCACAGTATAGTGCTTGGCCAACGCACTCCCATACTCGGAGACCCTACACGGCAGCATGTAAACCACAAACTCCCATCCACACAAAAAAGACCGAACCGAGTAAAGAGGGATCCAAAGGAGAGGGCGACAGGATGCAAGGTAAAGTATGCCGTGGGGATGGCCGTCGTCGAGGGAGATGCATCGTGGTTGTCGGTGGGAGGAAAGTCGTCGTCGACAAAGCACTTGGACTGATGGACGTTGGGAAACGCGATGGAGAGCGCGTTGGGAAGGCGCACGGGGCGCAAGTACACGTCAGCAGGGAACTGGAACTGGTCTTGAACCCACAGGGCAATGGAGTACAGCGGAATCATTTGCGAAAACACGATCGCACACCACAGGGTCGTCTGACAACAAATTAGGTACTTTGGTACCGAATGAGTACTACCTACATACAGTACGTACCTGAATGCCCAACACAATGCACCGAACGAGGCAAAAGTACAAGTAGTATACGGAATTGGTGGCCACGACAAAGAACACGATCGTGAACAGCAACGTACCGACCAGCATCTACAGACATATATGTTCAACATTACGATGACAAAGCTTCGAAAGAACCAAGAATGACGTGATGGAATCATCCGACCTGGGTAACGTCATACTCGCACGAATCGACGCGGTTGCGCAGCAAGTTCTTCTTCTTGCCCAGAAACAGCCGCCACAACGACGACAGCAAGTCAAACTACTCCCCGTGATAACGTCATGCCTCCACCATTACTGTCCAAGGATAGATAGGTACATTAGTAGTACCTACGTACCTGAACACGATGCAGTTTGGAAAAGTACAGGTACAAGTAGTACGTTTGCATGGTGACAAACTCGACGAAGTCGTAGAGCAGCCCCAACTGCACCGACAGCCCCAGCACACTCGCGGCACTCGCCACCTATGTACATACTTGGACGTGACGTCAACAGCACAACGAACTACTCATAAGTACTACCCAAAGCATGATGCCGACATACGGAGACAGCCCGTCGATGGCGTACTGAGCCACGTCGACCATCAAGTGGATGCCCTTGGTCAAGCTGGACGCCAGCGCCACGTTGATCTAGGCAAGTTTACTACAAATAATACACGAGAAAAGTGTCATACTTTGAACCCCGCGGGGGCATCCACGAGCCAAGTGACTTGGGCTTTGAGCGTTCGGAAATGCGAATGACTCGATCTACATATCAACACGAAATATTATCATGTGGGGGATTTCTTCCTAGTATTAAGTAGCAAGACGAGATACGACGGACTGTTGAAAGTACGCAATTGCAGTCGGCACCACGGCGCGGTACGTGTACCCGCCCACGAGGTCGAGTCCGAACAGCGCCAAGTCGCTCATAAACTCGGCGTACCCACTCTCTACGAAAGAATATATCATGTTGGGATATTTGAAGATGCATACAATATGGACAGAAAATAAATAAATATATTTGTTGAAGGATTAATATTTCCTAAAAATATTATTTTTTGTCAATCGAATTCATATATATGTATCATCCAAAACAAAAATAGATTTATATTATGTTCATATATTTTGGGGGTACATACCTAACACGTGGAACGGTGTGTCTGAATAGTACTCGCGGTTGAATTTCACATATTTCTCGGAAATGCTAGCGATCATGGCCACGCGTCGATTGAGCAGTCGCAGGAACAACGACAACGACTACGACACAGGTAATATTCAAACGCGCAGCGATAATATATATATATATATATAAAATGGCACAAGATAATATATATATATAATTAAGATAAAAGCACTACCTTCACTTGGTGGCCTCCATATAGCGGCATCTTGGCCGGAAAGTGCGCAGTGAGCAGCCACGACAACACGTGGCACACGGGCCGACACAACGCGAACGCGAACGCCAGCGACCAGCTGAGCATGGATTGCACTTTCGATAGCATATCTAATACGAGCTACACTGAGTTGTCAGGGGTGTAGTGTCGTACGTACACGAGGGGGGGTCTCGTCGGGTGTAGCCCACCAGGCATTGCTCGATTTCAAACGCGTGGTTCAGCTAAGGACTCGTGAGGATACGTGCATGAGATGGAGCTTACGTGGAAGATGGCGGTCTGCAGGGGCGTGCAGTCCCCTTCGGCGCCAGTGGTGGACTCCCGCTGGCGCTTTCGAATGGTCAAGTGGCGGTACCGCTGATGTTTCGAGAACGTGGCGTCGTACAACACGATGTGGCATGTGGTCACGACGACCGGCTTGCCGTGTTCCTGCACTTGACGAACGGCCGGGCGGCGATGGTCGCGGTGCCAGGTCATGTCGAGCCAGAGGGGGTGCCGAGATACACCAGGTGGCATGTTGGCTGTGGTCGAGACTTGGGCAGGTGAGATCGTACCGAGGACGGTCAAGGGCGGCGAGTATTCCTTGGACGTGGCGCTAAAGCGTTTTGACAGGGCGTCCACCTCCTCTAAGTCATTGACGTCACATGTGGCATTTCGAATGAAGGGTAGTACGCTGGAGTTTGCTGGCGACGCACTTGGAGACTGGAAGCACCGAGGCCACACAAATGAGACGATCTTCCAGCCGCCATCCGATGATGTAGCTCTGATGGTCTGCATCGGAAGAAGTCGCAGGTTTTTCCGGCCATAAGATGTCCATCCGCGTCGGCGTCGGCATTACTTTGCTGGACCCACCGCTCATAATGGGATTTTCCGAGAGTCGTCGTTGATTGGTTCATTTATCCGGATGTGTCAAGCAAACGACTCCAATGTTGCATTTTATTGCGCCAAATAATCATTTCATTTCCGCCAGTGATTTCGTGGCCGTTCGAAACTTCTTCTGCCGTACCTTCCATCGTGCGGGTGCGCAAGTCCGCTTTGGCTAGGTCACACGTTATTGATGAATCATTCGGCTAATACACACAACGACGAATGAAACAGAACACCTCCAGCCTTCCATCAATGAACGAGCTATGGTCGTTGCGCAAACAAGGTAAGGTACGATTTTGATTATTACTACGTCGGTACAAATTACTTCAATTTTTGGTTAGTCAACAGCTTCGAACGGCCGAAAATCACTGTGATGTGGCCCAATAACGGACAATCATCGCCGACACACCAAGTCTTCGGTGCCGTTCATTGTTACCACCTCGCCGCGCGCCGTTGACCACTTGCATGATGCAGCGCTTCCTCCGCACCGGTATGGCCTCGTGATGCTGCTTGCTTGTGGCTTCACTGATGCCCACGTAGGGTCGTCCGTACGCGCATTCAGCAGCCTGCACACGTCTGCCATGAAGCACGTGGTCGGGACATTGCAACATAGCGTCAACATCGAAGGCAACACGAACCTGTGGCTCGGTGCTGGTGCCGTGGTAAGCTGAGTGCTTGGCACGTGTAGTGCAAACTCAACGTGTGTTAGGACGAGCCGACCATGTCGATCTTGGATCCGTCGCCAGGCTTCACTGCCGCCTTGCGCACGCGGTCGTTCAACCTCGCCGACAGCTATGACCTGTGCGACCTGTCAATTGTTGCACAAAGCATCTCTAACTACTGTGAATCATCTGCAGGCCCCTCATCCACGGTGCTCGTTCCACTCGACACATTTCAGACCCGGTGACCGTCGACCCGTTCGCGCTCGTCAAGGACAGCATCGTGTCTGTGTCGGCCAACATCAAGATGATCTTGGGGTCGGACCACCCCGTGCTGGAAGCTGTGGCCAAGTGCGTTTGTTCTGTAGCCCATATCTCACTCGTTCGAGAATCTCACTGATTCTCTACCAGGTACTTTTTTGACAACGACGGCGGCAAAAAGATTCGACCCACGATGATCCTGCTCGTGTCGCAAGCTGCAGAAGCCGACCGAGTCGCGGACCAGTCGACCTTTCCCAAGTCCCCCGAGTACATTGCCGCATCCCAGCAGCGCTTGGCGGAAATCACGTACGGTCGATGATGTCGAGAGTCCCGCCTTGATTAACCATTGCGATACGCAGGGAAATGATCCACACGGCGAGTTTGCTGCACGACGACGTCATCGACGAGGCCGACACCCGACGAGGCATGCAGTCTGTCAACAAGGTGTTCGGGTCAAAGCTGTCCATTCTGGCGGGTACGTCGCCTCATTCTGCATGGAGAGATGCCAACCTGTTGTGTGTATGCTGATGTCAACTCCTTAGGCGACTTTCTCCTCGCTCGGTCCTCCATCTGCCTGGCTCGGTTGCGCAGCTTGGAGGTACTTAGCCGTTCTAAGAGACTATCATCGTCGTCCAGTTTGAACAGGACTTGTATTATCTAGGCTGTGGAATTGATGTCCACGGCCATCGAGCACTTGGTCAAAGGTGAAGTGATGCAGATGCGCCACGCCGACAAGGGCGGGACCATCTCTCCGTTCGAGTACTACCTGCGGAAGAACTACTACAAAACCGGCTCCCTCATGGCCAACAGCTGCAAGGCGTCGCTGGTGCTGGGAGACCACTCGGACCGAGTGTGCGAACTTGGCTTTGCGTATGGCCGACACTTGGGGCTGGCGTTTCAGGTAGCTCTCGTCACTACATACTAATCGTTCCTTGTGGCGATGATTCATCACGTGTTGGTCGAGTAGCTGATTGACGATGTGTTGGACTACAGCGGGCAGAACACCGGCAAGCCCATGTTGGCGGACCTCAGAGCGGTACATACTACATTTGATGATAGACGTGTCCTGATGATGCTGTCAGGGCTTGGCCACCGCCCCCGTGCTCTTGGCTCAAGAAGAGTTCCCTGTGTTGAAAGAACTGGTGGCGCGTAACTTTTCGTTGGAAGGAGACATCGACCTCGCCGCCGACCTCGTGGAAAAGAGCGTCGGACTGCAAAAGTCCAAGGACCTGGCCATCGCACAAGCCGAGCTGGCATGTCAAGCGGCACTGCAGTTCACTCCGTCGCCCGCTCGCGATGGGTTGGTGAAGTTAGCACAACTGGTGATCACGCGCACCAAGTAGACCACCAGCCCCTCGCTCGACGCTGTCAGGCGAATTTAATAGAACCATGCAAGTTTGTAGAAACTTCGTTGTGATTGGTGAATTAAGCATGAAATTCGAAGCAATTCAAACGACAACAAATAAAAGGCCGGTTTTGATTGGCTAATAATTGACCAATCCAGACGGCTCCATCCACTGCAATCTTTTTCACGAAGGGACGTTTCTCCATTCAACAGCGTCAACGCGGATGGCGAAGTCGAACGACAAGTTCTACAAGACCGTGGTCTTCGCGGAAGACATGACCGACGTGATGCTCGAGAAGGTGGTCGCCACGGCCAAGGATGCGTTCCAGCTCCAAGTGGCGGTATGTACCTCCCCCATCCCCGTCCAATGCATCGGTATCCATACTTCGTCCTAGTCGGGCAAGACTTTTTCCACCATTGCCGAATTCGTTCGCAGGAACATGGAGAAAGAGTACGGACGCGGGTGGAACTGCGTCGTGGGTCTGTCGTTTGGCGCCTACGTGACCCACGAGATCAAGACGTACGTGTACTTCAGCGTCGCATCCGGCGTGTCTGTCCTCGTGTGGAAAACCTAGGCATCGTCCTCTCCCTTCCAACTGAACTTTGCACTCGATTAGTCCATTCCCACTTAAATGCCCATGTAAAGCAACCTCTCTCAACCAGCACCCACCGCCAACCATCATCCCCTATCTAATAGACAGTGTGTGTGGCTGTATTACAATGCTACAAACGTCCTTATCGACTTTGAACCTCATGGCTACACTGGCTACACCCACAGCATCTGCTTCATCTTGCTCGAGAGACTCACTTTGATCACGCTGGTTTCTTCGGTCGCGTCCGAGTCGTCGGCCCGGGGCGACAGCACTTCCTTCTGGTTGATCAGCTTGCCGCACGCCGCCAGCTCGATTAGCATGTCCGTCGCTTCGTTCCGATCCACGACCACCACGTCGATGGCGTCGCCATGCTCCTCGTGGAACGGCATGTTGGCAAACCGCGTGGCCCAGTCCTCGTCGCCGCCGTCCCCCACGACATTGACGACGATGCGGAGGATCTTGACGCGCTTGAGCTTGGTGCACACTTGGGCCACGTTGCGGATCACGCGGTAGTTGAGCACGTCCGAGCTCATCATGACCACCACCACGTCCATGGGCTCGTGCTCCTTCATGGCCTCGCGGACCTGCACGTTCATCTCGCCCGGGTCCTGCGCGTCCTGCATATTCATGCAGAAACTGAACGGCTCCCACCCGCAGTTTTTCATCCGCCGCTTGGCCGAGTTGACCACCACGAGCCGCTCGTCGTCGCCCAGGATTAGCGCCCGCAGCCCGTCGACTTTGCCGTTTTCCTTTTCGCGGCAGTCGCCGACGTACCGCAGCACGAGGCGGAGCAGCGGCGGCCCAATCAGCTGGTTGCAGATCACCACGGACACGATCATCGTGGCAAAGTAGCTGCCCCACCCCGGGTACAGCAGCTGGATCTTCTTGGCTAGCCCCAGCGTCACGCCGGCCTGGGTGATGTAGGCCATCCACGACACTCGGTTGTGCACTTGAGGTTCGTGCGCGAGCGCTCCGCCAATATAACTGCCGAGGAAGATGGCAAAGATACGCGTGAGGCACAGCAGCACAGACACGGCCATGGCCTTGAGCAGCATATCCAGCTCCAACGACGCGCCCGTGAGCGTGAAGAACCCCACGTAGACAAAGTCCGCCATCGACTTGAGCAGCAGGTTGAGCTCCTCGCGGTTGGATCCGTGGTTCCAGTTGTACAGGGTCGCGCCAGCCACCATACAGCACATGAGCGACTCAAGCCACGGGTGGCAGAGATGGCCCAGCACGAACAAGCTGAAGCCAAACATGAGGATCACCACCTGCTTGGACAGCTGCAGCAGCTTGTGGAGTCGACTGCGGCGGCGGATGCGCGGCGTGCGCCACAGGATGATGTACGACATGAACTTGCCCGACAAGACGCCCACCGCGACCGAGATGGCCATCTGCGCCACGAGCTCCATCACGTTGTGGAAGCTGATGCTCTTGTCGCTCAGAAACGACTCAGTGATCATGTTGTTGACGTTGAAGAGGATGATCACAACGATGTCGCAGAGCACGGTCACGCTAAAGATGAACGTGGTAAAGTGGCCCTGCGACCCCGTCTCCTCGATCACGGCCAGCGCCGACGACGGCGACCGCGCAATCATCATGCACCCTGCGAGCATCGCAATCGCATAGCACTCCATCGTAGTCGTGGCTTGCAGGAACACCAAGTAGTTTGCCAGCACGATGATCGTGAGCGTGCCAATCACGTACTCGAACAGGGTCAGCCACAGTGTCACAGCCAGAATGCTCTTGATCTTGCGCCGCATCTCGACCCAGTGCAGCTTGGCTCCCGCCGCCAGCCCAATGTACGCCAGCGCCACCTCGTCCACAAACCTGTATCCCATAAACACACAATCACTACCTCAACCACCATATTACAACGGGATTCTACCGCATTTGGCCGATTTCGTCGGTGGTGATCAACTTGAGCACGAACGGTCCGGTAATAATACCCGTAGCGAGGTACCCTGTGATCCGGGGCAGCCCCACGAATGGACAGGCGTAGCTGATCGTGTGGCTGGCCACCGCCACAATCACAAACGATAAAAACACCATCTTGTCTGGGAGGTACCCGCCAAAGTCCTTGGTCGGGTCGAACTCGTGGGGCTTCATCTCGCGCGCAAATAGCGTGTTATCATCTGTAAAGCCAGTCACGACCTACAAGAACATAAATATATATATATATATCACAATAACAATCGTACCACAGTGTTGCCGCCTTGATCTTGGAGCACGCAGTAGATCGGCAGCTTCCCTGGCTTCCACATGGCTTGGCCTTTGCCCACGACATACGTCAGCAAGTACGTGTCCACGCCCGATCGCGTAAAGCTCCGTGCCTAATATTTTATAATAAAATAAAAATAACATAAAAAAATCCCACACCTTTCAGTTACTTTTACTTTGTCTTCGATTCCACTGAAAAAATAATATTTATACTAATTCTATATATATATATATATATATATATAATACTCCATATGAGACAAATATGCATAATAATAATAAAATATAGTATATATATATATATGAATAACGTTACTAAAACAAGTGTGTCAACCTCCCATGCATTTCGACAATAATAGTATCACAAATACCCCCATCTACTAGGTATGTAAACGTACCACCGACACATTGTTAATCGAACAAGTCTCTTTGTGCACGGCGAGCGGGAGGGTTTCATGCGACGACATGATCTGGATCTCAATCACACTCTCTTCCTGGGCAGGGTCGTCGGACGAGAACAAGAGCTTCGTGCTGACAATCTCGGGGAGGTTGGCGTCGATGGCGAAGCTCAGCGGCACGGCCGTCGAGTACATGAACGCGTTCTTGGCTGCGTTCACGAGCTTGCATTCGACGGGCAGCGTCTGGTTGATGCCCACGTCGTGGTCGCCCGAGCCAACGTGGTACTGCACCAGGTACAGCCCCTTCTTGTCCTCGGTCTGTTCTGCGAGTTCCAACGGGCCTACGCATCATATAGTGTGTGTGAACGCTTTGCCCCAGACGAAGCACATATCAATCGACGGGATGGTTGATGTTTCGTACCGACGCCGTTGACTGAGCAATTGCCAGAGTACCCCGAGGTCAAGTTTTGAGCTTTGAGCGTCAGCGTGACCATGCTGCCTATTTTCGCGGGTGTTTCCGATGAGAACGCCATGAACACACTCTCGATCACGGGGAGCGTGCCGTCCAGCACCATCGAATGCGATAACACGCGGCCTTCCGAGTGCGCCGAGTTCCCGGCCACGTCCGTCACGTTGCACGAGTACGTCATGTCGTCGACCCCGATGTATGGGTCGCCGGCGCGCACGACGACCTGGCCCGTGGACGCGGACAGCGACAGCACTTGGTTCTGTGGCTGCAGCAGACACGTGCCGGAGACAGCGTGCTTGGATTTTGAGCTCACGATAAAGTTCACGGGGGACCCGATGCCGAGGGCGACGATCGACGGGTTCAGATTTGTCTTGTTCTTGGACGGCGGGCGGGTCGTCGCGGCGGCATTCGACGCGGGAGGAATCGCGACAAACGAGTCGATCTCGGGGAGGTACGCAAAGATGGCGATGGGGAGCGTCTCGGTGATGAGCGCGAGAGTTTCGTTGGTCCGGGAGACGGTGCACTTGACTTTGGTCACGCCCGCTTCCGAGTCGGGGTCGCTCAGTTGGATCGTGTACCCGAGCCGCACTTTCCACTTGGAGTCTTTTTGTACCAGCGACACGTTCGTGAGCGGAATGCTGTTGAGCGAGCACTTTGTGTCTACGTTGTCGATGGATGTGATGTCTAGCGAGACTTTGATCTCCATGCCCAAGAGCATGTCGATGCCGCAAAATCCACTTGCGGGAAGGGCCACGGGACTTTTCGACAACGGGGTGCATGACAATGCAATGTCATCGGCAGCGAGCTCTCCCAAAGCACGCGTGAACTGTCCAGCCAGGAGAGCTAGCCCCAGAAGCAGTGATCGCATGGACAGATCGTGTCGTCGGGCCGTACAGCAAGTGTCGGTGACGGCAACAAGCAGAATACTCGTACTACCGCAGTTGGGTAGATGGAACAATTCATGTCCCGTTATTAAAATATCGCGAGTACATACCCAATTGCATATTCATTTGATTTTCACTAAAATAATACTGCGGCCAGGACACCTGCTACACGCATTCTCCTACTCCCTTTACAGTCATTCCGTGCAGATTCTACATGACGCGATCGTAGGCGTCCCGTCAAAAGCGACGAGGGCACTAAGACAATCTCCATCTTCATGAGAACGTCGTCTTGTGTGTGTCGATAACCATCATGGGCTGAAGCTTCTTGGGCGGGCTGCACCTGCTCTTGTCGTTGAACTTGTGAATCTGACGCAAGGCTTCTGTGTGCCCTGCCTTGTGCTTCTGTGCCGCGCAGGATACGAATGATCCAAACGACTTGGCAAACGCCGCCAAGACTTGAGTATCGCTCTGGACCTCCACGGGATTGCGGGGCACGTTGGTGGGTACCTGAATATACAGTGAGTATCGCGTCATGAGGTTGAATGACCTTACCACCCATGTAGCCACACGATCGGTCTTCCGTCGATAGCTTTGGTACAAGGCCTTGACTTGATCCACATCTCGTTGCAACCCATTCGCGCGTCGCTGTTTCAGGCAGTCTGCCTTCGCTCGCTGACGAATCTTCTCCTTGCGTCGCTGGAAACTGTGGCGTCGTGTGAGTTTGCCTCCAGCATACCGTCGAACAGTCCGCTGTAGCAGCACAGCCGCGTTGAACCTGCGTTCTTCAATGGCTCCCATCGCTCGTTTCAGCATCTTCACTGCTCGTCGGGCTTGCAGTCCCCTATCCAAGCGTCACACAGGATATAGCTAGTAGTACTACCGCCAACTCGCTTGGATTCGGATGGCCATGCGGCGCTCCATGTCGTTGATTCGGTGGACAAAGCACACCACGTTCGTCTCAAAGCGCTGCAATCTAAGGTTACTCTAGTAATACTAGTAGTAGTACTAGTAGTAGTTACGTCATGAGAGGGCCACATCGATCAAGGTATTGGCGGTAGTCCGAGCAGATCAACTCGAGGTCGTCGTCGTGAAACCAAAACAGCGCTGTCTTGGTGGCCAAGTCGTGCTTGTCTTCGTCCAGCAACATGCTTGTGATCAGCGGATGGGTCCAATGAATGATGCGAACGCCGGACTGAATGCGCGTCGTCTGCCGCGAGATGACTCCGCGCATTCGTCGTTGAATGGCGATGGCCGCGAGTCGTTCCAACTCGTCTCGACGGGCTTTTTCCAGTCGGCGGCGAAGGGCTTCCTTGCGCGCGAGCAAACCTCGTCCTGCGCACTACCAGCAGCGTAATGTGACAAATGCATGGGGGCGACGGACCTGAAGCTGTATCGCAGCGTTGTGTCGTGCGACCCCGGACTTTTGGAAGGCCGTTGCTTGGTCCGCCAATACTGGCGAGAAATCCAATGCCCCGACTGCGAGATGGAGAGTTCGACCGCAGCCGACACACGTGGGGAGGACTTCTCGTTCAAGACTTGCGAATGTTGTTTGGATGTCGAAGGTGTGCTTGCCAGGGACTACAGGGGGCTTTCCTGTCGATACCAAGTTGTATCCCATGCCAAGGGGTACGGCGTTGATGAAGTTGAGCGCATTGCAGTCTTTGCATGATAGATAAGGACTGACATAGATCCCAGAGGCGGTCGTGTTCCCAACCGGCTTGTGAAACTTCAAGAGGGGCGAGCGTGGACTTCGCGTCATTCGATCCCATGGACGAAATGCGATCTTGGAGAGGCACAAGGTATTATTAGACGAAAACACCTAAAACGTGTTTAACGTCGTGGGTGTGAGCACATTAACGTCGTTGTGTGTTGAGCACATCACACATGTTGGGTAAACAACTGGACCTAAGGATTCACAATGGATTGGGTGGGTACTGCGATGTGGCACACCAGGATGGATGCCAACACGAACTGTAACGTTAATGTTATTATTACGCTGGCAAATCATAAGTTATGGGGAGCCATTCACAATCAGCAATATACTCCGGAGTAAAATGTATGGGAGCAGCCTGACTCGCAACTTTCATCATTTTACACCACACGATCTCATGTGGAGTTAAACCTAACGTTAAACTATGCGATTGGTCAATTCAAAATTGGAGTGAGAATTCAAACTTCTTCGCCACCGCCGCCGTCGTCGCCCCATGGACTCGAGGGAACTCAACATGGGACATCGTTTAGGAAAACTATTGTACTGGTGTATATTGTATAGCAATATCAAAACTCTACTAAGCTGTCGTTCTATTGGGAGGGTGCTTTCATACGAGGTTGCTGACTTCGTCCAACGCCACGTCTTCCTTGAGCATGTCGTACTGCTGCTGTTCTTCTTCGAGGGGAATGAGCACGCACTCCAGGCATTCGGGGTTCCCTTGGGGGTCGAAGAGCAGCGTCAAGGACAAGCTACTGGTAACGCGGCCGTTTGAAATCGCATTTTGCACCACGGTGCGCAACGTTTTGCGGGAATCAATCGCGTTGTGCACAAGCGTTCGAGCACGGCCGATATCGGCACTTAGGCACGAGAGAAGCGTTTCCTTGTTCTTCAGCGCATCTTCGCTGTACCCAGTGACTTCGCGGAACGCCTTGTTCGCTCGAAGGACTTGGATGTCCATCGACATGATCAACGTCGGTGTGCTAGAGTACTCAAAGTACCGTTCGAATGGAGCATACCCCTTGTTTTGTCCGCCGCCGTTCGAATGCAACATGCGCTCGGCGTGCTCGGCCTTCTGCTTGGCGATAATCAAGTCGTTGCGCAGCATCGAGATATAGTGCGCCGTGTTGTCCAAGATCGATTGCTTGTTTTTCTTGCAGCTCACACCGGCATCGTCCAAGGCCTTCTTCAGCGTGTGGATGGTTTCGTTGAGCTTGAACATGCGCTTTTTTTCCTTTTGGTTCAACTCCTCTCGCGACCGCTTCTGACCGTTGAGGCTCTTGTTGTCGTCCATGTCGTCACTCCCGTTGTGCATCGACGACATGCCTTGAACGTTGGAAAAGTCCGTCGATACATGCAGCATTGGTTGGTTCATGTGTTGGTAAAAGTTGTGGTGGGGGGGTCCGTTGTTCAAGACCAACGGCTCGTGATCGAAGTCGCCGTGGTGGCTCAATCCGCCACCGCCACCATGATGTCCATGGGATGGCGCGTGATGCGAGGACGAGTGATGCGACGAGTGATGGGACGCGGATTGATGGTGCGGCGGCAACGCGCTATGGTGGGAGTTGGTGTGGTGCGACGTGCTGTGGTGGGACGGCATCATGTGGAAGTCGCTGGGGCCGCCACTGTTGTGCGATCCTTTGTCCATGTACATGCTTCGCTGCTGCTGGTGGTGGTGCATCATCTGGGACGGCGAATAGTTGTAGTCGTTGCGGTTCATCATAGTGTTCGATCCTTCGTTCCACGTCACAACAGATGCTATACTGTACGGGGGTAGCTTCCTCGTGAGGGTTGCCGAGCCAAATGGAAAATGACAGACATATACCGCCAGCTGGCAGTCGGAAATGTAGCATTCTTCGGAAATCTATAAAAATCACCGGCTTCCTATACAAACCCCAAGCTATTATTTAATCGTCGGCCCAGGATACGTTGATTGGCTGCCTGGTTTGTATGGAACCGACCAAATAAGATGCGCCAACGTCGTCGGCCATGTTGGCGATCAGATATATCCAACCCCCATGCGACGGCGGCAGTCCGAACGTGGCCAAAGGCCATTCCTCCATGAAGCAGCCAGCACCCCAATCACCCCCAGCATACAGTAGACCTCGCTCCAGTTGTAGAAGCGCCTCGTTGGCTGTCGCTTCTCTACGTTGGCTTATCCGGACGCCCATTACTCCATTGGTGGTTGCAGGATTGAACGAGGGGCATACAAACATCAAGTGACATGGCACGCTGGATCGATATTGCACTTGTTAGAGTCGCCACGACGGAACAGAACCCCGAAAGAAGTTTAGGAAGGCGATTCGGACCAAACGTTCGACCTTTGCACGTGTACAGACGACATGGAGCACACAAGTACGATGGCCGACCCCGTCCTAGTTGGGCACTTGCTCACGAATGTACCCTACCCGGTACATAGGCGGGAGCTCTTCATTAGATGGTCCAGTAGGCCGTCGTGCATGATGACCCCACCGTTGTGGTCAGACACCTCGACTGACACAAGCTATGCAACTCCCAATCCACCCAAATTCGTGTGCCGGTACACATGACAAGGTTCGCGAACGTACTACTAGTACATCGTTAATTGGTTGAAAGGCGGGGGGGGGGTACTTGATAGGCATCCCAAAGCGTGGCCTCTTACGAGGGCACTCCACCGCTGGTCTAAGTGGGCAAGCCGAGAAAGGCGACGGTGTACACGTTTTGGAGATGTGCAACGGCAATCACTCGTACCACAGGGACGTGATGGGGGAAAACACATGGTCCACCCGACTAACGTTAAGCAACCTCTGTTCACAGTCAATAGTTTTCACATGGCATCGAAATCGCAGCCGGCGCCGCGATTCTAATGATTCCGAAGACAATGCCTGTGTGTTGGTCACGGCGTACCCGCGATGATTGGTTGCGCAGAAGATGGAGCGATGCTCCATCGGATAGGTGTACGTACATGGATGGACGTCGCAGTCATCAGCGGAGTCATCGTTGAATTCGTGACCATTCGCGTCTCAGACCATGTGTGCCCGAACGCACGCACCATTACCTCATTCCCAGACTACACTTGTCGTTTGTATGGTGGCCCGAGACATGTGATGGCGACACATGCTGCCCCATGCCCAAATTTCAACAAATCGTTCCGAGTGTTGCAAATACAAGAGTATTTAGTTGAACTCGAGAGCTTAGCGGCATAGTGTACTGTACTACTACTAGTAGTACTAGTAGTAGTAAAACGTGGAAACGGGTGGTCGCGAGAGTTTGAGGACACACACTTTATGTGAGATAGATTGGAGTACTGTACACTGTACAGACTGTACACTGTACAGTCAAACGAAGATGCAGCCAACCAACCCTCGTAACGTTGCTGTACAGTACAGTGTTCGACAAGGTCAAAGCAACTGTTGGGAACCACAGTCTGCTTTTCCTGCTTGCTGCATATTCAGTATATATGCATGCGGTTAATTCATCATGGGGTGTCCACACAGCGCATGACGAAAGAAACGACTGTTCCAGGCAAACCCAAAGGATTATTGAAGGCTAATAGTAACGTTATAGCAGCTGCATCACTTTGTAGCATGCATTTGCAAACCCACATGCCAGTATGAAATTTGTGCCACACCTTCACACGTACCTAATGTGTATCGATCCATCGGGTGGTCATTGAATGATTTACCTACTGTATGTACCATGCACCTCCTCTTCCATGGGAAAGGCGTCATCCATGGGAAGGGTGTCTGTCATCAGGACAACCCGATCTACTAGCCAGGCATCATCGTCCTCTTGCGAAGTGGTAGAGGCAGCGAATTGTCGGTTTCATCCGTTCTCATCCGGATAACATGACAAGCTATCCGGTTATTTGGATTCCACGGAGAACGAAACGAAGCATATAAAAAATGGGGCGAGGACTTGGAGTGGCCAAGGCACTGAAGAAGCAGTTCGGCGTCGTCTTTGATGTGGATGGCGTTCTGTTGCGGGGAAAGACACCGATCCCTGGAGCCGCGGATGTGTTGCAGCATCTGCATGATACCAAAACGCCGTACGCAATCATGACCAACGGAGGAGGCGTCACGGAAGTCAAAAAGGCCGAGCAGCTCTCGGATATCTTGAAGTTTGAGATCCCGTCGACGCAGCTGTGCCTATCGCACACACCCATGCGGGAGCTAGCATCCACATACGAAAACGACATGGTGCTCGCCGTGGGCAAGTCTTGTGACAAGACACGGGTTGGTTCCCTATTCCTTGCTTCGCCATGCCGTTGTCGTTGATGCTTGAATCAGAGTCATATGATGATGATATACGTATATCGTGTAGGAAGTAATGGAACACTATGGCTTTCGCAATGTTGTGACAGCGTCCGACTTGCACTCGCATTTCCCCGCCAGCTACCCCGACATCTCCGTGTCAAAGGTTCATGTCAACCACACCACACTGTTGGCGGCTTGTAACTGTTCGATTGTGCGGCATATCGTAGGTGCCGCATCATGGCAAGTTCGACGCGAACGACTTCCGAGCCGTGTTTGTGCTCATGGATCCCATCTACTGGGGCCGCGAGATTCAAATCATCATGGACGTGCTGACATCCCACGAGGGCAAGTACGGCACGTTGGCAGACAACGACCAACATGTACGTCCACTGCATGCATGCATGTATCCCGACGACATCTTGAAAACATCTTGAAAAGGTCAACTTGTACTCGGCCTGCTCCGACTTTCAATACGTCGGAGAGCATCATTTGCCGCGGTTTGGCGCCGGCGCCTTTCGTGCCGTCTTGGAGGTACACTGTACACTAACTCACGTTACTCTATCGCATATATTCCACCTAAATACATATATATATATATATATATGTAACCGTGTCGCAGGACTTGTACATGCGCACGACGGGCACAAAGTTACGCCAAACGCTGTTTGGGAAACCCGAGCCCACGTCGTTCGAGTTTGCGGAGAAGTTGCTCAGGCATCAACTGACTGCCGAGGACGAGCGCCTGGCCGCCATTTACATGGTCGGCGACAATCCGTACACGGACATCCAGGTAAGTAGGGAACTCGACGACTCTTGGTCTAATGCATCATGATGATGATGACAGGGCGCGAATGCGGCGGGGGGGCTGTGGAAGTCGGTGCTCACGCGGACTGGCATGTTCCAAGGAGGACTCAATCACGATGACCATCCCGCCGACGCGGTCGTGGCGGACGTCGGCGCCGGCCTCAAGTGGATTCTCCAAGACTTTGACTCGATCCCATAGTGCACACTAGTACTACTACTATTCATAACTAGTAGTATTATGGATGTACTACTCGGAACACTGGTTTGATTATTTGGACATGACCGACCAGAACGCATTCTGCGACAGCTGGACGTTCCCGACCGTCTTCATGCGCTTCTTGCCCTCCTTCTGCTTCTTGAGCAGCTTCTGCTTGCGCGTGACGTCGCCGCCGCCCACGGCCTTGCCGCTCTTGATCAGCACGTCTTTTCGGAACGGGGCGATGCGCTCCTTGGCAAATACCTACCACCAATGGTTCGTTAGTAGGTTGTCACGAGTAGAGGATGACTAGTTAGTGCATCTACCTTGGCACCGAGCGTGGCTTGGATGGAGATTTCATACTGCTGGCGGTCGATCACGTTTTTCAGCTTGAGGCACAGCGCTCGACCGGCGGCCGTGGCCTAAGCAGCAGGGTGGGTATGCTAAAGGTCATAGGTACGTAGGTAGGTAGGTACCTTGGATCGATGGCAGACAAAGGACAGGGCGTCGAGGATCTTGCCGTTGATCAAGATGTCGACCTTGACAATGTCAGATTGCTGGGGCTCCACTTCGCGGTAGTTCAACGACGCTACGTACCAATATGTGATTTATGACTATCAAGTATATCCAACGTACGATACATATTATAATTCAGAGTAGTATAACTATAAAGAAAAAGAGAAAAAAACGATCAGGATCCCTTACAATTTTTTAATTAAAAAGAAATATCAAAAATATATATATATAAATATTTCCATTATAGGGCGTATTTTTACCATAGCCCGACGTGATGGTCTTGAGCTCGTTGTAAAACTCCGTGACCACTTCCTGCCACGGGAGGAGAAACGTCAGCGCCACGCGGTTGTCCTCCAGGTACACCATGTTGGTCTGCACGCCTCGCTTGTCCTAATAGATATATATATTTCTAAATATCCACAGAAAAATATATATATATATACTTACATTCACAAGCACGAGAATCGTGCCGAGGTAGTCTGTGGGTGTCAAGATGGACGCTTCGACCATAGGTTCTTCTACTTGGTAGTACTTGGTGGACTCTGGAAAGTCACCCGGGGTCTCGACAATCGACCGGCCGCCCTTGGCGTCGATGATCGTGTACGGCACCATGGGCGCCGTGACCAGCACCTGCATGTTCTGCTCGTCCGACAGCCGCTGATGGAATACTTCCATGTGCAGCAGCCCCAGAAACCCACACCGGTACCTGTCGTTGTTCCCGTTATATCTTTATATATATATATATATATAATATTACCCCATGCCCAGAGCTCCGCTGTTTTCGATCTGGGCCGACACACTCGCGTCGTTGAGCGTCAATTTGCCCATCGCATTGCGCAGGTCGTCAAAGCTGCACTCGTCCGTGGGGTACATGCTCGCAAATACCATGCTGCGCACTTCCTATATATAATATTAATAGAAATAAAACTATTTCAATATATATATATATATATAAAGAAAAGGAGGAGATTAAAAAAGTACATACTTGGAAGCCAGGCAGCGGCTCCACGGGTTGGTTTGGGTGGAAAAATGTATCGCCAATCTTGGCTTCCGTCGTGGTCTTCATGCCTAATATATATCACGTCAAACATGAAAAGTTGAATTATTTAAATAGATTTATATATATATATCGAAGGTACCTGCAATGATGTACCCCACTTGGCCCCCTTGCAATCTAATAATATATAATTATATATATATATATCCATGATAATCTATATGAATACAAACCCTTGTGTGGGAGACCGATGCGGCAAGAGCACGCCCGTTTCCTGGATATCATAGCTGGTCTTTGTCGCAGCACTCACGACCTATATAAATATATTATTATATAATATATAAAATATATTTGTCATACCTTGTCGCCAGGAGATATTTTTCCGTCCACTACCTTAACCAGGCACACAATGCCTCGGTAATCGTCATAATATGAGTCCACCAAGAGACACTTGAGCGGCGCGTGGCGGTCGGCCACTGGCGGCGGCAATAGATCCACCACCGTTTGCAACACCTATCACAAATAAATAAAGATATATATATAAAGATATATATATACATATATATATATATATAAAGAAATATATACATATATATATATAAAGAAATAAATATATACATATATATATATAAAGAAATAAATATATACATATATATATAAAGAAATATATATATATCGTACATCGGCAATGCCAACACCGCTCTTGGCCGACGTCAGCAGCACCGACTCTGGGTCCACATCTGCATACATACATCCCATCAACATTTCGCTTTCTTCCACGGAAACCTACCAAGCAGCGCCGAGAGGCTGAGCATGCATTCGTCCGGCTGCGCGTGCGGCATATCGATCTTGGTGAGCACGGGCACCACCCGAAGCCCCTTGTCCTTGGCGGCGTGGTACGTCGCGAGGGTTTGCGACTGGATGCCCTGGGACGCGTCCACCAGCAAGAGAACCCCCTCGCATGCGCTCAGGGACCGGCTCACTTCGTAGCTAAAGTCCACATGTCCTACGATATGGTTAGCACCATGAAGGGGGAGCGAGCGATGGAGGTGTGTACCTGGCGTGTCGACGAGGTTCAACAGGTACCGCTCGTTCGATTTCTTGTCGTGGTACAGCATGGAAGCTGTTTGCGCCTTCACCGTGATGCCGCGTTCCCGCTCCACCTGGAGGTTGTCGAGATGCTGCGCCGATTCGCGCTCTTTCGACGTGATGTTGCCACTGAGTTCGAGCAACCGATCGGCCAATGTCTACATGAACTGATCACGAACAGCATAAAGGGCGAAGGATTACGGATTTTCCGTGGTCGATATGGGCCACAATGCTGAAGTTGCGCGTGTGCTCGACGGCGATGTCGTCCAGTTGGGACGCCATGATCTTGCCCAGTGTCTTCGGCGTCACTTCTACCATTCGCATGAGATCACAGACGAACATAGGAGACACATGCCATCACGAGTAGAGCTGAACGTTCGGCCACCCGTGGCCTTCCAGAGAGCGCCGCGATTGCCGCTTGCTTTGACCCACCGCAGCATGATGCTCGTTGCTTTTCGAGTTGTTGGCTGCTCATAATTACTGTTTTAGCCAATCAAAACCATGCAAAATGAATGCACCAATCAAAGCTTAGCGTCAATGCATCGACCAATCAGATTGCCACAATTTTCTGATAGCGCTTTGGGCCAACACCATTCGAAGCATCTCGATGTGGCGCCTTCCGAAGCAGCACCTCCCGCGCGGCGGCGGCATCTCGTCCTCTGGATTCCTGCGCATGATGAGCGCGACAAACAATGCCGGCGGCGGCATCCCGGGCGACTTTATCGCGCACGTAAAGGAGCTCGGAGTGAGCCTTCCAAACGGCAAGAAACTGTTTGAAAACATGAACCTGGCATTCCTGAACGGCGCGAAAATTGGGATCCTCGGCAGCAACGGCAGTGGCAAGTCGACGCTGATGAAGGTCATTGCGGGTGTGAACAAGGACTTTGACGGCGAACGATGGACCAAGCCAGGTCTGCGCATCGGGTACTTGCAGCAGGAACCGCAATTGGACCCGAACAAGACTGTGTTTGAGAACGTCATGGACGGAATCAAAGAGTCCACGGCCCTCCTCAAGCAGTTCGACGACGTAAACCTGACGCTTCTTTGCCATGTTCCTCATGATCCGCGTAGGTGTCGGCCGCGATGGGCGAACCAGACGCCGACTTCGACAAACTTCTCGACGAGCAAGCCAAGCTGCAAGAAAGGATCGAGCTGTTGGATTGCTGGGGTAGACCACCCAATGCTTCATCTAGATGTTCGATCCAACTCTTCTGCATACTTGTCTAGACCTGACTTACGAAGTCGAACGAGCGATGGCGGCGTTGCGCGTGCCGCCGGGTGACTCGGACGTGACTGTGCTTTCCGGTCGGTGCTTTCATATTGATTGCTTGAATCACACGGAATTAGTGTGATATATTGCTTCAGTTACTCGTAATTAGTGTGATTGGTGGGGTCTCATGCAATTAGTGTAGGGGGCGAGCGGCGCCGCGTGGCGCTGTGTCGTCTTGTGCTGGAGAAGCCGGACATTTTGCTTCTGGATGAGCCGACCAACCATTTGGACGCTGAGTCGGTGGGGTGGCTGGAGACGTACTTGAAGAGCTACAAGGGCACGGTGCTGTCGATTACCCACGATCGGTACGTGGTGAAAACGAGAGACGGGGCTGTCCAAAATAATGATATATACATGTCGCATTCGGTACTTTTTACATCCAAAATGATATATACCTGATTAGGTACTTTTTGGACAACGTGGCGGGGTGGATTTTGGAGCTCGAGCGCGGCAACAACTACGTGTACGAAGGCAATTACACGTACTTTTTAGAGCAAAAGCGCAACCGCCTGAGCATGGACAAGAAGCGCGAGGCGGTGCGTTCGCGGCAGCTCGCGATGGAGTTGGAGTGGGTGCAGACCCATCAGGGCAACAAGAAGGGCACCAAGGCCCGGCAGCGCCAGATCGACGAGCTCAAGAACGACGGTATAAACTGAGTTCACCCTAACGTTGTTCAACGTTGGCGTGTTCGCATGAAGTAGATGGATTCCATCGACAAGAGGAGGGGCAGATTGTAATTCCTCGGCCCGCGCGTCTCGGCAACAAGGTGCTGGTGGTGTCCAACCTGTCCAAGACCATCGACGGCAAGTGCCTGATCAAAAACTTGAGCTTTGAGATCGAGCCAAACAGCATCGTGGGGATTGTCGGGCCCAACGGCGCCGGGAAGAGCACGCTGTTCAACATCATCGCAGGCGAGATGGATGCGGACGCTGGATCGGTCACCCTGGGTAATTATCTCATCACGTTTAGAGGATATATATATATTTGTACGTTAGGCCAAACGGTGCAGATGGGGTTTGTGACCCAGTCCCGCAAGGAGCTCAAGAGCCGCAACACCGTGTACGAAGAGATCTCTGGGGACAACGAGTTTGTCGAAGTCAACGGAGACCGCATCAACACGCGCGCGTACATTGCCTCGTTCAACCTCAAGGGCCAAATGCAGGAAAAACATGTGCGACGATGTATATCTATTTATATATATATGTCTGCTCATCTATATATATATATATTGTAGGTGGGGAAATTGAGTGGCGGCGAACGCAACCGCGTGCATTTGGCCAAGATGTTGCTTGGAGGACACAACCTGATCTTGCTCGATGAACCGACCAACGACCTTGATGTCGACACATTGCGGTAACAATATTATATATATACATATATATATAATATCGAATGAATATAATATATGACTAGATCGTTGGAGATGGCACTGGCAGAGTTTGGTGGGGTGTCGATGGTGATTTCGCACGACCGGTGGTTCCTAGATCGCATTGCCACGCATATTCTGGCGTACGAAGGCGACGGCCACGCCACGTTTTTTGAAGGGAATTACACAGAGTACGAAGCGACCAAGGCCAAGAAATAGATAAAAGTTAAAAAGGTACTTTGCACTTTGGTTATTAGTTGGCTTGGTACGTTTGCTTTTCAAACAACGCGAGCGTGACGCCACTGAGAAAGGCCGGGATCGAGTTGCACATGGTCAAGTACGCCATGTTGCGCTGGTCCAGACCAGCTACGAACGGCGTCTCCAGCAGCTCCAGCTCGCCGTTGTTGAACTGGAACTTGACCTCGTCGCCCTCGTTCTCGGCGTAGATGCTGCGGAGGACCAGCTCGGGGTACTTGAGGTCCACCTTGTACCCCGTGCACTGGTACACGGCGTCGCGGTACTTGGCGATTTGTTCGCGGAACACTTCCTTGAGTCGCTGGTTCATCTTTTGCAGCCCCTCGACCGAGTCATGGGACGACGACGCACTAGTTTTCATCGGCGTCGGCAGCGGCATCTTGGGACCGCCGGGCGTTTGGGGGTTCAAATTCTGCACGATTTCTTTCAAGCGGTCGTTTTCTCTGCGCAATTCCAGCATTTCCGCCGTCTACTCAGCTCACCATTTTATAATAAGGACAACAAGCAAGTCAACCAAGTCCATACCTCTAGCTTTTGTTTCGTCGCGCTCAAAGCCGGGTTCTGTACAATGTAATAACGCTGTTGTTTAACAAACAATGATATATGTAAGTGTCGTACCAGCTGCAGCACCTTGGTCGAGTCGAGGTTGACGGGTCCCTTGGCCAGCCGACGTTCAACGAGCGACGCCGTGGCTTGCGCTTGCTCGAGCTGCGTTCGAAGGTGCAGCGACGCCGCCTTTTCTTGCCCCAGGGCCTCCTCCACTTCTGCGACACGGCGTTTGATTTTGGCCAGCAGCGCAGGCGACGGCAACGCTTGCTGCGTCGATTGCAAGCTCTGGATCGTGTCTTCGGCATTCTTCAGCGCGGTTTCGAGTTGTTGGACCAGCGCCACATGCTCGTCGGACGACCCAGTCGACTCGAACGACTTGAGGAGGGCAATCAAGTCGGCGTTGGTGCTGTGTAGGCGAAGCGCCGTGCGGGACGCAGCGTCCGCCTATGTGTTTAGTGTGTTGTTATTACCAACTAATGTATATATCACAACGCGCAGACCTTTTCCGTTCGATCGGCGTCAGCCGCTTCCAATTGCGCGACCGTGGATTCGAGCGTCACATTCCGTTTCGTCATGGCGTCGATGGTACTGTGCAGCGCCTTCACTTGGCTCTCCAGTTGATGCTATATCATAATACCAATACATTAGACGGAAGACGACGGTCGTAGTTTGATCACGAACCCGTTCGTCTACGAGGGTCTCCAGGTCGTGCTGTTGGCTAGAAAATAGTTCACAAATGGCTTGGGCGGGGCGTTCCGTCGCCAGCTCTTTCGAAACGCCCTCTACAGTTAGGCGCACCAATCACCAATAGTAATAATGTCGGCACGAGTCGTACTGTTGGGGTCGGCGAAGAGGGGTTCAAACGTCGCTTGCCACTGCTTCTTTTCAGCCACCAAATCGTCGTACGAAGCCTAAAAAGTCGAGTCAAGAACAACACTGACACCAAACGAGAGATGGGGGGCTTACGCGCATCGAGAAGGCCTCTTGCAGCTGGCGCTCAGACGCTTCCTGGGCACGATACAGACTCGCGACCTTTTCTTCCAGCGCGGCGTGGCCCTTGAGCTGGTGGCGCAGTTGTCTCAACTAACACCCCAAGTATTGTTAGTTTTCTCTCACATGTCAAAACGGGGGCATGATACCTCGTCAAGGTGCTTGGCTTCAGCGTGTTCGAGATCGGCGACCCGTCGACGATGGTCGCGAATGTCGTTGGCTTCCTTGAGTGTCGCGTCCGCCGCCTTCAATTGCTCCACGGCATTCTACTCAGAGAACCAGAAATAGGTACAGTAGCTCCATCGTAAAACAAGGTTTGGGTAGGTACATACTACCTACCGTGGCCTGGATGGTCTTTTCCGCCAGTTGCTCGCGCAATAGGCGGAGTTCCGATTGAGCTACCTACGCAGTATAACAACATATGTTCGTGAGTTTCAATCGTCATAACGTCATATGCGTGGTGAAATGGCGGGTTGTACCGAAGTCTTCAACGGAGACGGAGCAGTGTCCACTGCCACGAGCGCCAACTTGTCTTCGAGACTGGAGATAGTCTGGCGCGCCTCGTTGGCGGCGGCCTTGGACGCTTCCTCCATAGCCCGAAGGTGCTCCATCAACTCTTCCAGTTCGTCGTCCTTGTCGTGCAGCGCTGCGTCGTGTTCGATTCGAAGCGCTTGTTGGGCTTGACGCAGTTCGAAGACTTCAGTCGTCGCACGACGAAGCTTGGTCTGGGTCTCTTCTTCCTCAGTCATCGTCAGCTTCAAACGACGCTTCAACTTCTCCAGCTCTGCATCCTTGTCGGCCATCTCCATCTCATGTTTGTGGCGCAACCGCGCTTCCAGGAGTCGTTCGGCTTCCAACTCGCGTCGCAGCATCTCGACGCGAGTGAGCGCCGCGTTCTCTCCCTCTGTTCGTCGACGCTTTGCAGCAAACCCTGAGAGACTGGAACTTTGCATCACGTTGCCGCCAATTTCAGAACCATTGGCCGTCACAAGGTCGTTTGTGAGGGACTGTACTTTCTCCTCAAGTTTTCGGGTATACCAAGCGGAACGAGGCTGTTCCTCGCCATGTTGACCGACGACAGCATCGTCACTTGCGTCGCGTCCGCGCTTGAGCTCACGGGATTCGTCGCTCCATTCTGCCGTCATGGGGATTCCTTCGTCCGGACCGGTTTCCGAGGCACTTCCCAGGGTGATGGAGCTAGTCTCAAGTTGAAATGCTGGTGCATCCGCATGGGGAATTGGTGATAGTTCTCGTGTACTTTCCATCAAGCTTTGGTACCCGCCGCCAGTCTTTTCCATCAAACCGCGCTTCGAAATTCAAATTTGCGTTTTGAATGCTGCAGTAGGTTTAACGCATGATTATTAACACAATATATTAATATTTTAATATTAATATATTGTGTCACACTATTAATAGTCTCGTACTACTACAGTACGCAGTATTAAAATAGTAGTACGAGACTAGTAGTGCTACTACTATTTACTACTTCGAAGTACTAGTAGTACTAGTATCAATTGACGCTTATTAATATATTGGTTGACTTTATGAACCAATACAAAACAAATATTATTGATTGTGACAGGTAGGCGGACAAAATGTAACCGCTGCCTGCACCCACGACAATTAGATGGCGCACTTGGCGGGAATGATGTCGGTGGTGAGGTCCTCCTTTTGCTGGCCTAGCTTGCAAGTCACTTGCACGTTCAACGAGCGAGCGGTGCCAGGGCACGGGTCCGCGCCAAAGATCCTACAGCCAAAACGATAAGACTTTGACATCTCCATACTCCCTAGCCACGTACGTCGGTTCGGCTGGCACGACGCATGTTTGCACTCCCTGGCACAACGCGTTGATGGCGTCCGGAACGCCCTTGAAGGCGCAGTCGCCCTTTCCGTAGGTCGAGCCAGCGTCCGAGTCAATGACGTAGCCATTGGCGCACGACGCAGACGCCGACCCGTGGTCGCCAGCGGTGGCCCACGTCTGGTATTTAGGCTTCTGGGTGCATTCGGCAGAGATTGTCAAGCGCTTCCCGGTGCCAACGCAAGGGTCGCCAAACACACTACACCATAAAATGATTGTCAAAAGTACTGTACTTCTACACAATCGGGGATGTACCCGTTGGAGGCGGAGACGCCGCACGATTGCTGGCCCAAGCAAGCGCGCTCGACGACGCCCTGCGAACCACCGGCGTAGCACCAGCCGTAGCGAGCTCCCAACCCACTTCCATCAGGCAACCCGTAGGATGCAAAGATGATGCGGGAGATCTCGTGTTGGGCGTCCTGGCAACCCAATGTGGCCCAGCCATTTTCTCCCACACCAGAAGTTACAAGGGTGGCTCCAGGGCTCAGGTAGAGCGCGGGGGTAGGCGGGGCGGTAGGAGCAGGGGGCGAAGGAGGGGATCCCATGGTACTAGTGCTGGTGGAGGTAGTAGATTGAACGCAAAATGTAAAATGAAGCTTTGAGGAATACCGAGGTGTGTCGATGGAACTGCTTGAAACGGCTGCAACCTTTGGATACGAAGCTTGGATTGAAATAGGGGATGTAGAACTTCGAACTTTGGTGTAGTGTGTCCCTTCGCGAGTAGGATATGGCTCACAGTCTGGATGAATGCGATGGCAATTGCTCGAAAATACCATAGCTGACTGTTGTTGTTGGTTGGTGTATTTGTAGTTTATAGCGACTAAACTAGCTTGTGCGCGGCCGTGGCCTTATCCCGGGTCAAGAGTGAGATCCTCGTCGAGGTAGTCGTACAGTGAGGGGAGGAAGTGTGAGTGCAGCGGTTATCCTGGGTGACTGGATGCAAAGTCCAAGCGATAATCGGGAGTCACCTTCTATAGTAAATCTGCGGCTTGGCATTTGTCCCGAGTGCGGTGCTTGAAGGTGCAATCGACTTTGGCCGTAAGGGTACGGGCTTCCATGTAGAGGGCGCGGAGGCCTGGGTGGCGGACTCGGTTGAGGCCCCGTACCTGTAGGATGAGAAGATACCGTAGCTGACTGTGAACAGCAAAATGAATTAGATGTAGCCGATCCGGTTTTGGCTGAACGTGCCAAGTCTCAAAGAGGCCACCACTTAACACCTGTTGAAGCTATCACGAATTATCGAACTAACTTTGTTCGCATTGCGCTCTTGCATTCGTTTCGATGGTCGATATGAAACAACTCGTGTGTATCAATGATTTTAATAAAGCCAGGACTAGTAGTAATACTTCGCAACAAAGAACAAAGTGAATAGACATGGTTTGGTAACATTACAACTTAACATCATGCAAAGCATGCACAACAACAACGTGTCCACGTATTTAGATGGCGCACTTGGCGGGAACGATGTCGGTGGTGAGGTCCTCCTTTTGCTGGCCTAGCTTGCAAGTCACTTGCACGTTCAACGAGCGAGCGGTGCCAGGGCACGGGTCCGCGCCAAAGATCCTACAGCCAAAACGATAAGACTTTGACATCTCCATACTCCCTAGCCACGTACGTCGGTTCGGCTGGCACGACGCATGTTTGCACTCCCTGGCACAACGCGTTGATGGCGTCCGGAACGCCCTTGAAGGCGCAGTCGCCCTTTCCGTAGGTCGAGCCAGCGTCCGAGTCAATGACGTAGCCATTGGCGCACGACGCAGACGCCGACCCGTGGTCGCCAGCGGTGGCCCACGTCTGGTATTTAGGCTTCTGGGTGCATTCGGCAGAGATTGTCAAGCGCTTCCCGGTGCCAACGCAAGGGTCGCCAAACACACTACACCATAAAATGATTGTCAAAAGCACTGTACTTCTACACAATCGGGGATGTACCCGTTGGAGGCGGAGACGCCGCACGATTGCTGGCCCAAGCAAGCGCGCTCGACGACGCCCTGCGAACCACCGGCGTAGCACCAGCCGTAGCGAGCTCCCAACCCACTTCCATCAGGCAACCCGTAGGATGCAAAGATGATGCGGGAGATCTCGTGTTGGGCGTCCTGGCAACCCAATGTGGCCCAGCCATTTTCTCCCACACCAGAAGTTACAAGGGTGGCTCCAGGGCTCAGGTAGAGCGCGGGGGTAGGCGGGGCGGTAGGAGCAGGGGGCGAAGGAGGGGATCCCATGGTACTAGTGCTGGTGGAGGTAGTAGCAGGTGAACCTCAAAATGCAGAATGCCAGGCGTAGGAACCTCACCAGGGTGTCGGATACGTTGTACTTGGCTTGGTTTTGAAACGGCTGCAACCTTTCGGTGAAGCTAGAGCTTTACATTTGGCGCGAGTATGACGTCATAATTCAACCAATCGTAACACGATGTCGGTGGTGAGGTCCTCCTTTTGCTGGCCTAGCTTGCAAGTCACTTGCACGTTCAACGAGCGAGCGGTGCCAGGGCACGGGTCCGCGCCAAAGATCCTACAGCCAAAACGATAAGACTTTGACATCTCCATACTCCCTAGCCACGTACGTCGGTTCGGCTGGCACGACGCATGTTTGCACTCCCTGGCACAACGCGTTGATGGCGTCCGGAACGCCCTTGAAGGCGCAGTCGCCCTTTCCGTAGGTCGAGCCAGCGTCCGAGTCAATGACGTAGCCATTGGCGCACGACGCAGACGCCGACCCGTGGTCGCCAGCGGTGGCCCACGTCTGGTATTTAGGCTTCTGGGTGCATTCGGCAGAGATTGTCAAGCGCTTCCCGGTGCCAACGCAAGGGTCGCCAAACACACTACACCATAAAATGATTGTCAAAAGCACTGTACTTCTACACAATCGGGGATGTACCCGTTGGAGGCGGAGACGCCGCACGATTGCTGGCCCAAGCAAGCGCGCTCGACGACGCCCTGCGAACCACCGGCGTAGCACCAGCCGTAGCGAGCTCCCAACCCACTTCCATCAGGCAACCCGTAGGATGCAAAGATGATGCGGGAGATCTCGTGTTGGGCGTCCTGGCAACCCAATGTGGCCCAGCCATTTTCTCCCACACCAGAAGTTACAAGGGTGGCTCCAGGGCTCAGGTAGAGCGCGGGGGTAGGCGGGGCGGTAGGAGCAGGGGGCGAAGGAGGGGATCCCATGGTACTAGTGCTGGTGGAGGTAGTAGCAGGTGAACCTCAAAATGCAGAATGCCAGGCGTAGGAACCTCACCAGGGTGTCGGATACGTTGTACTTGGCTTGGTTTTGAAACGGCTGCAACCTTTCGGTGAAGCTAGAGCTTTACATTTGGCGCGAGTATGACGTCATAATTCAACCAATCGTAACCTTTCAAAAGATACGTCTTACTAGGGTTAGCACTATGCAATCATTCTGTTGTTCGATGGATATGTACTAAACTGCACTTGGTAACGTTTGTAGTCTTTGTGGCTAAGGGCAATGTTAAAGATGAGTTGCAAAACCTCTCTATCATACTGTAATTGACTTCAAATTTGTAAAGCGTTCTTGTTGCTTAATGCAACTGAAGTACAAAGCCCCAATGATAATGGTAGAGTACTGTACATTAACTACTGAAATGGTGGTGGTGATGTGCACGCAACCAAGGCTTGGACAAATTACCTTGAAGTTGCGGAAGCATGTGGGTGGCTTCAACCTGGCCATATGGGGATTAAATACCCGGTGTTTAAATCCCATAGTTAAAGTCAGTATTAGATGTGTCTACTACCGGGTAACGTATGATACACCCGGTATTTGCAACCACGATTCCATATCCGGAAGATCGTATCCGGAATCTCCGATGGAAAGACCCATGCATCTCAAACCTTCAGATTCCAATCGACGAACATGCTAGCACGCCGCGCGACTCAACACGTCCGTCTCGGCGGCATCCGCCACCAAAGCGCATTGACCTTCTCCAAGTACCCCTTCCTGAAGGAACTTGGCTTGAGCGAAACCAACGACGGTGTGTTTGACGGATCGTGGTTCGGTAACGGCCCCGTGTTCACGTCGGTGAACCCTGCGACTAACGAACCGATCGCCAAGATTCGCACGGGCACCAAGGCCGACTACGAGCGCGTCGTGAAGAGCATGGATGCTGCGAAGAAGGACTGGGCAGAAGTCCCCGCGCCTATTCGAGGTGAAGTGGTCCGTCAGATTGGCGACGCGTTGCGCGCCAAGCAAAAGGCGTTGGGCCATCTCATTGCGCTGGAAATGGGCAAGATCGCCGTCGAAGGCGTGGGCGAAGTGCAGGAAGCGGTGGACATTTGCGATTTCGCCGTGGGTCTGTCTCGCTGCCTGAACGGTACTCCCCATCGTGTGCTAGTCCTATTATCAAAGTTGGTGATGTCATCCACTGCGTGTAGGCTTGATCATTCCTTCGGAACGCCCGGGACACTTCATGATGGAGCGCTACAATCCCCTCAAGGGTCACGTGGGTATCATCACGGCCTTCAACTTTCCCTGCGCCGTCGTGTTCTGGAACGGCGCATTGAGCTTGGTCGCCGGCAACACCCAGCTATGGAAGCCTTCCGACTCGCTCTGCTTGACAGCCATCGCATGCAACAAGGTCGTCTCGGACGTCCTCACCGCCAACGGCTACAACCCCGCCATCGCCTCGGTCATCTGCGGCAGGTAAATCACTCGTTGAGGAGTTGAACTCACACTTCTTGCGGACCGCAGCGGCGCGGAAGTGGGCGAGCCCATGATCCAAGACAAGCGCATGGAGTTGATTTCGTTCACAGGATCCACCCATGTTGGTAAGTCGACTTTCTAGCAGAGTCTCCATTTCTTGGCCAAGTTTCACATATAGTTGACAATTGAACATACTTTTCCTGTCCAAACTCCCATATTTTGGGTCAGTGAATGGGCATCTATCTCAATATTCCCCACTTTGGAGATGATATTTGTGGGCTCATGAATGGGTGGCTTGACTTAGGTCGACATGTGAGCCAAGTGGTGGCGGCCCGCTTCGGCAAGTCCATCTTGGAGCTGGGTGGGAACAACGCGATGATCGTGGATGCCGACGCCGACCTGGACATGGCCCTGCGTGCGACACTGTTTTCGGCCGTGGGGACCGCCGGCCAGCGCTGCACGACGCTCCGCCGCCTTTACCTGCACGAAGCCATTTACGAGTCCTTTGTGGCCAAGCTTGTGACCGCGTATGACCAGATCACGATCGGCGACCCTCTGGACCCCAACACGTTGTGCGGGCCGCTGCACAACCAGGCGGCGGTGGACAACTTCGTCAACGGCATCAAGTCTATCCTCGCCCAACACGGCAAGGTAAGAAGAGCAAGTTGTTGCTTTGCACGATTGTCATGGTTGACGGGGGGGATATGTAGGTGCTTCGAGGCGGCAAGGTCTTGCCTGGCCCAGGCAACTTTGTCGAACCGACGTTGGTGGCCATTGAACACGACGCTCCCATCGTTCAAGTATGGATAAGATATGTCGATAAGAAGTTTGTGATGGATGTGTGGGGTAGACAGAGATCTTTGCGCCGATCACGTACGTGATGAAGTTTGCCGACTTGGACGAAGCGATTGAGAAGAACAACGACGTGCCCCAGGGATTGAGCTCGTCCCTGTTTACAAACAACCAGGCGGCGATCTTCAAGTGGACGGGCCCCGCCGGGTCGGACTGTGGCATTGTCAACGTCAATATTGGCCCCAGCGGCGCAGAGATTGGCGGCGCGTTCGGCGGCGAAAAGGAGACGGGCGGCGGACGCGAGTCTGGCAGTGACTCGTGGAAGCAGTACATGCGTCGATCCACGTGCACGATCAACCACAGCAAGGACCTGCCGCTGGCCCAAGGCATCAACTTTGGTTAACTGTTAACACGAACACCCCCCCCACACGAAGTGAAATAGAGTTAGTTGGTTGCCTCTGTCCGACTTGATCATTCAAGTGTCGATAACTACTAGTATTGGTTGCCCATGTTGCCTATGCATTTTTGCCGTGCTTGACCTCTCTACCGAGTCAGCTCCATGACTGGACACAGCAGCAAGCTATGACCTGTGGAGGCCAATACTTGAGATACAGAGTCTCTGGTTGTCTATCATGTGATCAACCGCCTCTAGGACGGACGGGAGGGCGCTCCGTTCATGACGGAGCGTGATCTCGACGCGGCACTGGCGCAATGTGTGCCTGCTGGCAGCACAGATGTGCATGATCACCTCAACATTCATGCGACGAGACATCCGGATAATCTGCTTCAAGGGGGCACTCACAGCAGCCGTACGTACGATGTACAATGTTTTCATACTTACAATTGGATATATTCATATTCGTACACGTACATTATGTACCTCAATGTACGTACAATGGAATCCCACCACACACAACGCCAGGATTTCAAACTTTAACAATCGAGGATCATGACGCAGTTCCGCCGCTTCAGCAGCGCCACCAACACATTGACCCGCCGCCTGGCCAACGAGATCTCGGACATCAAGGCTGCTGGAACGTACAAGAATGAGCGTGTGATCACGTCACCCCAAGGAGCGGTGATCAAAGTTGCGGAGAAGGCGGTGCTCAACTTTTGCGCCAACAACTACCTCGGGCTGTCCAACCACCCCGACGTGGTGGCGGCTGCCAAGAAGGCGTTGGACACCCACGGGTTTGGGTTGAGCTCCGTGCGCTTCATCTGCGGGACCCAAGACATCCACAAGAAGCTGGAGCGTGCGATCGCCGACTTTCACGGCACCGACGACGCCATCCTGTACCCATCTTGCTTTGACGCGAACGCGGGGTTGTTCGAGGCCATTCTCAACAACGAAGACGCGATCATCACGGACGAACTGAACCACGCGTCCATCATCGACGGCATCCGGCTGTGCAAGGCCGAGCGCCACCGCTTCAAGCACATGGACGTTGCCGACTTGGAGGCCAAGCTCAAGGCGACACAGCACTGCCGCACCCGTTTGATCGCTACGGACGGCGCATTCAGCATGGACGGGGACGTCGCTCCTCTGGATCAGATCTGCGACTTGGCCGACAAGTACGACGCCCAAGTGTTTATCGACGAATGCCATACCACCGGCTTCTTCGGCAAGACTGGCCGCGGCACCGACGAGTACCATGGCGTGCAAGGTCGCATCGACGTACGCTGTCGTTCTCGATAGATGTCATGGACAGATACACCCTAAGAACACTACATGGTACTAGGTCATCAACTCGACGCTGGGCAAAGCGTTGGGCGGCGGCACGGGTGGGTACATCATCCTATACTCTTGTGTGTGACGAGGTTTTGTACGTGTTAGGCGGGTACACGACCGGGCGCCAGCAAGTGGTCGACATGCTCCGTCAAAAGGCGCGTCCGTACTTGTTCTCCAACTCGGTGTCTCCCGTGGTCGTCGGTGCGTCGTTGAAGGTGTTTGAACTGCTCAACTCGAGCTCCGAGTACGTCGACAAGATCCTAGCCAACACCCATCGGTTCCGCGACCGCATGGCCGACGCGGGCTTTACCGTCTCCGGTGCCAGGTAGTTAGTCCATACATTCAGTACTACGAACAAGGATCCACTTGCCAAATGTCCTCGAATTCGTCTGCCAAATGGCCTTGAATTCTCTCAACGATATCCACTCATGTGTAGAAACCACGCGATCGCCGCCGTCATGATTGGAGACGCGCGGCTGGCGTCCAAGTTGGCCGACGACATGCTCCAAAGAGGCATTTACGTGATTGGCTTTAGCTACCCCGTGCGTCGCCAGATAGAGAGATTTCGTTATCTCCATTCATATACATGTCTATGTAGGTCGTGCCCCAAGGCAAGGCGCGTATCCGTGTCCAGCTGTCGGCGGCGCACTCGCTGGAAGACGTCGACAAGTGCGTGGACGCGTTCATTGCGTGCGGCAAGGCCAACCATGTCATCTAAAAGTCAATATACTTTGCCCATGCAACCTACACTCTGTAGATCTAACCTACACTCTTTTGAGATCAATCCATAGCATCAGTTACTTAGCTCAATTCAAAGCCTTCCGTGTTTTGCATGGCAAACACGAGCTTGGCCGAGAGCACACTGAACGACTGGTACTCTGGCAGCACCAGTTGGTTGAAGCATGTGTGGGACCTGGGAAGTGCCGTGGCCTCCAAGTCCGACTTAGTGATGGTCAACGGCGGATCGAACCCGTCGAGCGGCATCGCAGGGCTGCCCGTGGCAAACTGGAGGAACATCTGGCGCGTCGAGTTGTCCCACGCCCGCAGCGCCTGCCACAGCCACAGAATCACTTGGGCGGTGGCGTCGTACCCGCCCTGAAAGTGCACATTGCACCGGAGCAAGTCGACGTCTATCACTGGATTCCCATTCAAAAGCATCTCCAGCTCCCCTGTCCATAAAGTTCAAGAAATACTCGTCACTCGAGTGGGAAATATATATATATATATATATATATATGTACCCCATTCAAAGCCATGGAGCGACGCTGGAGGCAACAGCATGTGCATGCCATGCAAGAGCGCGTCCAGTTGCGGCCGCACGGCAAACTCAGTCCGCCACTGCACCATGAGCTGGACGTACTCGGCCTTGTTGGCCTCGGTCACGTCCACATTACGCCCGTTTTCTTTCAAGTCAACTAATCATCCCAATCAGTGGATGTATATATATATATCCAAGAAATAGTAGAATTTATATATCACATACCTATGATATTGTTGCTGCGCGTGATGGAGAAGGTCTCGTACAAGACGTTGGTCACGTCGTTGTGCTGGATCCAGTGGAGTGATTTGGAAAACTGCGGGTCCAAACCGACGAAATCATCCCATGAGATTGCCAGCCCCACCAAATGCTTGTACAGCACAGGCGCCAGTGGCAACCGCACCACTTGGCGGTCAAAGATGGCTTTTCCCAGGAACTTGCCTGTTTGCCCGTGTCAGTCGACCAAGTCAGGTATATATATATATATATATATATATATATATATGCTGTATGTATCCATATAATACTGCACTACCGGTAGAAAATTTTATTCAGTATATATGTATGTACAGTATGTATATACACTAGAACATTTCATTCAGTATATATATATATGTATATATGCGTACCGAGGAACCGAAACAGTTTCAAGTGCTCGGGCGAGTCCGACTCTGGGTGGATCTCAAGGAGGCCGTTGTCTACCAATATATATATATATATATATTCAATAATGAAAAAAGGTCAATAGTCTTCTTGGTTGCACTCTTAACATACCAAGTGGGCGAAACAGACCGTGGGAGCGATGCGCGGCTTGCTTGGATACTTGCAAGTACCAGTCCTACGCGATATATTAATACCAATCATGATATCGCCACTTGGCATAACACAATATATATAAGTCATTCGACCTTGGTCAACCCGCCAGAGTCGATCCCGCCTTCGCCTTCGAATGTTACTCGGGGCTTGTGCTGCAGCTCCTTCTTGGACGCCCGGTGGAACCTCGCGACTGTGTCGGCAAACATGGTCGGGCGTGCCAGCGTCACTTCGAACGGCGCCGTCTGGGGGGGCACACACAAGCGCAGCTCCCTGTGGAAGTGGAACCGCTTCTTCCGGAACGCCATCTCCCTCGAATCTTCGGCGTCGGCGGCACCTCCCTGGCGCGCCGCCAGCACTTCCGGCGGGACCTCGTCCGTGCGCTGACACGTAAACTATGTCCATAACCTCGTGATAGGTCTTGCCAACAATCCAATAAGTAGATGTCTAGTACCTTGTTGAAGTAAAACACTCGCTCTTGCTTGCAATCCCAGCACTCGATCCACCTCATATATCCATCATCTAACATGACATGATCACGATGCTCGCGGCTACCTGTCGCTGCCGCCCTCCGTGGGAAGGGGCTGGACTTCTGGGCGGGCAAACTCTTTGGTGCGCACGGGTTTCGACTCGACCCAGCTCGTCTCACCCACGCCATTGACCGCCTTGAGCCGAAACATGTAGATGGATTTTGGGGTCAGTCCCGGGACCAAATACCCTACCGCCCAGTCATCGAGTCTCTGCGTCAAATATAATATATAGACATACCGCAGTCCCGACCGCTGTACACGGCCGTGTAGGGTGACGTGGCGTCCACGAGGGGCTTCATCTCCAAGTGATAGGCTTGGACGGGCGATCCGTTGTCGGCCACGGCGGACCAACCGACGCTGATGAACGTGTCTGAGACGACGGTGGCGAAGGGTGGCGTGGGGGCCGCCGCCACCCCCGCGAGGGTCGAGAAGGGGCCGGTCACAGCGCTGTACTCGCTCCACCCCTGCGATTCCACCGTGTCACATATGAAACACATGATCGGGAGAAGGGGGGGGATTGCAAAGCTGGCTGAACGTTTACATACACCAGAGTATGTACGTACCGCTGGGTTGTGGCACTTGGCGCGAAAAGCAAACGCCGAGTGACACGAGAGGTCGCTGAGAGTCGAGTGCGACGGCATGAGGGAGGTGAGGAGCACCTGCCAAGGCTTGTGGAGGGTTGGGAGGTCGTTCCACGGCTTGTACTGCACTTCGAATCGGTCGACAATGGACCCATTGGACTCTTTCCAGCGCACCTATGTCCATACATCAACAGATGCACATGGACACTCGATCGCGAACAACCGTCAAGCTACAGCCGGTGGCGCCGACAAGGGACACGGGATCAGGCGGCAGGGGCGGCACTTTGGCAGTGGCCAGCGCAAGCAGGTCCGACGACTTGAGTTTTCGCTGCCCGTTGTTGCGATCTGTTACGTAGGCATTCCTAAGATAGAGTATATCACGTCATGATGGGGATAGACGGGGGATGGCGGACCCGGAGTTGTCGATGGCGACGACGAGTGGGTAGCTGATGGTGGCATCGAGTGGAACGTTCTGCTGCTTGAGGATAAGGTCGTCGAGGGTGATCCACAGGTAGCTGTGCATGCGATGCTGTTTCTCTTTCGCTGGTGAAGCGATTTCGGTGGTGCTGTCGACCGCGAGCGTGTCCAATCGTTGGATTTTGATGCTCACGGGAGCATATGGAAAGAGATTCTCGACCACGTACGTCTACAGACAGCCACTGATCGCTTAGTTCGTACCCCATGGCGGTAAAAACATGGTCGTGGACAATCGGATTGTCGTACCACGACTTGCTTGTTCTTGTCTTGCAGGTCCTTGATCCTACGTCAAAATGCTTACGTCCATGATTGGCGCCTCGACATACTCGTACCGCTTCTCCTCTTCGTCGAGGTCGAACTCACTTTCGTCCGAGCCAGCAACATGCAGCCGTTCCACCGCAATGCGCTTGGCCGATGCGGAAACTCGCGCGCCCATTCTCGACCATTGGTAACCGAAAATGCACCAAAAAAGATCTGAAAAATGCCCATGCTCGCCGTCGCACAACCATACTTCAGGACATCTGTTGCATAGATAAAATAGTTTGTCATTCCATTTACAATATTGGTTGTAGCAATATTTTTAAGTGGATTATATTATTAAAACCGGTTTTTTATTATGGCTTACCTTGTATGCAAATTATGTCGACGTATATGCAATTATATATTGGATAAAAGCATGTTTGTCTTCCGGCCGAACGTTCCTCCCCGAAACTGAAACGCCAACCTTGACGTGCTCGACGGACACTTCATTTTGGACATCGCGTCCACACAATTTAAAATGCAGCTCCTCGAAACGTTCCTTGCCGAGCGACCGTCCATGTCGGCCCTCAGGCCACCAAGGAAAGCGTCTTACCAGCCATCTATGCGCCTCACCAAGCAAGAGATTCGAAGCATGTTTCCACCCACCGACACCTCTCCAGCTGCATCGTCCACCCCACGACGGACGTCCGAGCAGCGGCGACAACTCGTGTTCGATCGCGAAATGGAGAAGCAATTGGTGGAGAAAGAGCTCGTTCGGCGCAAATCGGCCCCGATTATACGATATCGTCGATCCATGGGCCAGCACCCCCAGGTTGAAGAAGATGCTGCCACAGGCTCGTCGCCTATGGCAGCATCCCCAGCAATTGCGACGAAAGACAACGAGTCGACCAACGACGCCATGCTGGAACGGAAGGCCTTGTGTGGCAAAGCATTCCACTTCCACGATGGCAAGTTGATCGACGTGAAGAAATCGACGCGGCCGACGGCGCTGATTCCACTGGATTGGGAGATCATGGACATCCCACCACCTCGCTCGTCGTACGAACGGCACAGTTTCCACGGCACGCCAGCATCAACATGGGAGGATATCGTCGAGCGCCATTCCCTTCCAGCCAATTATTCCTATTAAAGTACTTCTAGACTCAAAGTAATAACCTAGATTAGACTTCATTGTCCAGCACTGTATATGTGCCCAACCCCCAAGGAAGAGTTATTACTTAGTTGGCGAGCACAGAGGGAGGGAACGTCCAGTACATGACGCACTGCGCCACGGGAAAGAACAGCGCGTAACCGATGGCGGTACCCAAGACCACGTCCGATACGAAGTGCCGCCCGAGCGCGAGTCGGCCGAACGAGTTGATTGCCGCCCACGTCCATGCGGCCGTCAGACACGTCGACGTGGATGTCCTCGACGTGAGTCCAGCCGTCGCAAGAGACAACAGTTCCGGTTCGACTAGAGTGCAACGATCAGTGCAAAGATAATGGGATTCGAAGGCGCATGTACATTGAAGCAAAGCCGAGAAGAGCGCGACCAACGCGCCTGCGCGGGTGCCGTGGCCGGAAGGAAACGAATACTTGTCCGGGCCTGGAAAACGCATGTCATCCTTGTGGAAGGAAGGTCGTTGCCGCTTGAATATGCCCTTGAGAGTGAAATTCAGAAGCAAGTCCACCTACATATTCCATTCGGGGAATGCGCCATGAAGGTAGCATTGGAAGGTAGAGCTTACGACCAACACGACATACAGGTACGCGAGAAGGTACTCTTGCTCGCGATTGAGGTCGGGAAAGTACCCTGTGTACCACGCCGCGATGCCAATCGGCAACAGAATCGGAAAATACCTAATCAATCCATCAGACCATTGAGGCCGTTGGATGGGATAGCTTGTCGTACAGGACACCGTCACCAGGAAGACAAATGACCTCCCACATTGCCTTGGCGAGATGCGACTGCCCAACATGTCCATGAATGAAGGCGACGATCTCAAAGTCCGGGCCGTCATTGAGAGCATTCATCGCGCCAACGACTCACAGTCAGGGATGACTTGTTTGAAATGTTGAAAAACGGTCCGTCAAAATCCGGATAAAAAGCCTTTGTTGTTTCCGGATACGCAGGCAACCGAAGGACATTTGGCAAATGTGAATAAAAGACATCGTGATTTTGGGAAAGCGTGTAGCTTCTGCCGACTACTGAATTCCATTCAAACTGTATATTCACGTTATATGCAGTCTAGAGGACATCAGTGGTGCATTTCGCTGGCTGGTACGCAGTGTAGATGGGCCCAACGTACTTGGAGGTTTGGCGGCATCGGTACGACACGGCCAAGGACTTGACAGTTCCCACACATGGGTCGGAAAACACCCTACGCATTCCCCATGGTGATGAGTCCTATCACTACACTGCATGATGGGTGACACATACGCGTTGTGAGCAGGGACCGTGCACGTTTGCTGGTTGAGACACACCGAATTCAACACGGTGTAGCTGGAGGCCGCGTTGCACGAGCCAAGGCACGGCGCAGTGAGCATCTTTCGCCCTGTTTCGCACCAGTGGTTGCCGGTCGCGTTGTAGCCAGGCTGGCCCCACTCCTTGTTGTGCTGGAATCCGCACGCTAGTGGCGACAGCGTCGACTCGTCCGTCCCCAGCACTTTCTCGCAGGTCGACGTTGACGACTTCCAGAGGCAGTCGTGGTGGTTCAACGACATGCATTCAACATCCCCCGTGACCGGATGCAATCGAATGGGGGTGTAGATATCCCCCACGCATTGCCACGACGTCCCCGTGGGCGCCCACGCACTGCAAGTGCCTTTGGGAAGTCCGTAAGTGGCAGCCGTAATGCCGTAGATCTCGTAGCCGCTTTCGCAAGCTAGCGTCAGCTTGCTGTTCTCGGCGACTTTGATTGCTGCGGCATATTGCACTTGTTGCGTGCATTCCGCCGTGACTGCTAGTTTCTTGGCCCCTGACGTTGGCGAGCCAAACGTCCTGTGAATTTTCAATGTGTCAGGAATCATCATGTAAACTCATGGACGACGTACGCGTCCGAGGCGGTGACGGAGCACGCGTTGTTGGTCAAGCAGGCGGCTTCGACCTTGGACTGGGACGTTAAGGCGTGCGCGACACCGTACTTGACTCGAAGGCCTTCGCCACTGGGCTGCCCGTACGATGCGAACAAGACGCGAGTGATTCGAAACGACGGGTCGGGGCATTGCAAGTCCAGCGTGGTATCCTGCACCGCGACGCCAGCCGCGAGAATGGCCCCGGGAGTGAGGGCGAGCGCTGGTGTGGGTTGCGCAGTGGGGGCCGGGGTAGGAGCGGGGGTGGGTGGAGGGGGAGACGAGTTGGTGTTTCCCATGCTACTGACTGCCTATACTGTACCTAGTTACCTAGTGGATCTAAAATGCGCTTTTGATCAATGAAAACCAACATGCAGTGAAAGGTCGCCGAGCGTTTCAGATTGTGTCGAAGCTACATATAATTTTGACCAATCACGTGAAGCCAATGCGAACCACATACTTTGAAATACACTACAGTACTTCGAAGTACAACACGAGGTCGGCGGATGGCGAGTTATTGCGGACATATCGAGAGATCCTGTAATGTCGAGTGTCCCAGAACGTAGGTGCATGCGCGAACTGGTGCGTTCAGACGACTCCGCCTTAAGCAACTACATAGCAGCTCCACATGACGCCCCAAAACGTGACAAACCCAAGGATCGTCCGCACTTGTCGCTGCTTGCGTTGCTTTTAATGTTTCTCCATATGCGATAAGTAATTGTCCATACGCACGCAGAGAGGGGTCCCGTACATAGTGAGGCTGCATGCTTCGCCGTCGTCTTCGATGGAGCTGTTTTGTGTGAGATCTGTCAAAAAGCAATTTTCACACTAACGTTATTAATATACTATATAATACTATTAGATATTATCAGCTGTATTACCTAGAAACCAGACACGAAATTCAAAGAAAACCAAAATATACAAAGCTACTGTACAATAATGCTTACATTTCTAAATTTCAAGCCTACCACCCCCGAATATCCGGATAACGACGGATAATAACCTTCGTATCCGGCTATATCCGGCCATATTAGCTCTTGGCGGGCTTTGGAATTCAAACCCTACTCACTTTGTCCAGACCAATCATTCTGAAATCTGCTCAAGGGGCAGAAGAAGAAGAACCTCACAGACAGTGAGTGCAACAGCATGGTTCAACACCTTCTGTTGCGGTGCACCAAAGCCGGCAAGATAACCATTCTGCTCACATGCATATATAAGCTGTCACTTGAAATCCTACAGAGCATGGAAATGAGTGCATTCTGCACTCAGATAGAGGCGCAAAACATTGTCGATGATACGGACACTGACGATAATCTCGTCGCGGCTTTAGGTATTGTAGAGTTATCGTACGAATAAGGTGGTAATTATCTGAATACAAAAATGTGCATTCTTTCTCATACAAAAATGTGCATTCTTTCTCGGAAATTCGATTTTCAAAAACGTGCATTTATAATCGGACAGAGGTAGTAATAGGCTTCATCAACATGGACAAAAAAATATATACTAGTATTACTTACAATTCGAATATACTCCGGAGTAGTTTTAGTCCAATTACTTACTACCTCTGTCCGAAAAAAGATTGCACGTTGCGGAAAAAGTGAAGTTCGAACCACTCGTGTTTGATTGTATTGTAATTGGAATTTGCACGACGGCCATCGTACAGATACTGATTGGTCAAAATATTAAATTCCTTGGATATGATTGGCCAATTCATTTCATGTGAGCGTCGACCAAGACATTGCCCAGAGAGCCTCGCCATGCTTACGAGTGCCAAGTCAAGGTGCATATCGCGGCCAGTACACCTAAGTGTATATATGTAGAAGTCATGTATCGAAGTCGATACCGCATATCTCTTCTGCGCTTACATAGGAAGCCTCCATTCTACGAATCATTACGGCACTATACTGTGTTTCTGTCTTTCGCACAAGGCCGCTTGCTTTCACGTAAAAGATGTAATCTTGCTCAAACTCCTACCGGTACAGTTTGCTCACACGTGTGTGGCCATATATCGGTAAATTAACGTTAGCGTGCATTGCGAGCTGCACGGTAAATGTCCACGATAGTGTTGTCGAACGAGTTTTCAACATCCACCTTTTATGTAGTAAGTATGTCACGAGTGTTGAGAGCATTCAGTTGTAGAGTCAGCCTTCAAATCGAGTTATCGTTCACGACAACCAAGTGAGGAAGGAACGGAGGATAAAGAGCAAGTAGAAATGCAAAGTGTATCAAAACA